GTGATTCTGACCACTTCAAGAAACCTCGCAGAATACTTTGACTCCTCAAGTTGTGTTCAGCACGTCTTCTGTGATATCTTCAAAGTGATTCCTTCTTTTATCTGTCAATCCAGACGTCCAACCCAACAGTGAGCTCATTGCCAACTCGAAGATCACCTGTGTCCACCTTTGATAACGATAAGAAGTGACGTATCGCGAGCTAGCCGACCGCTTTGCTCCACCACGACAGATTCTCCCCGCTGTCTCTGCACAACGGGAATAATGTCGAGCAAAGCGGCATTGAAAGCCGTGCGAGCAGCTTTGGAATCGAAAGATTACCAAACTGCTGCTGAAAAGGCCAAGGAGCTTATCAAGAGCGAGCCGAATAATTACCACGCGTATGACAATCCCTGATCCTTCATGAAACATGACTAACTCGGTTTGTTATTTTTTTCTAGGAATGTCTTCCTCGGTCTCGCCAGCGATCGATTGAATAAGAATAATGAAGCGGAGGACGCTTATTCCGCTGCGACCAGTATCAACCCCGACGATAAAACGGCATGGCAGGGCTTGATCTCCCTGTATGAGAAACAGGGTGGCTGCAACGATGATGGTTATCACAAGGCAGTCATTGCTCTCGGAAAGATATTCGCCGACAAGTATGCATTGATTCCTTCTTAATTCCTGTGTACGAAAAACATAGTGCTGATGACTTCTAGCGACGAGCAAGAACGCTGCCAAGATCTAATTAACAAATACACGAAGTCGATGAAGAACAAAGGGACCTCTCAACACAAGCATGCATTGGAACTTCAGATACCGGGCTCACCCCTGTACGATTTTCTTGAGGGGCGGTTGCCCCGTCCATCCCAAACATACCAGCGATTGATCGAGATTACCGAGCGTCAAGAAAGAGAGTTTATCAATCGTGAGATTGGAGAGCGCCGAACGCGTCTTGGTGCTCGCATCGAACAAGTCACCCAGGAAGTTCGGAGGGAAGCAGCGAACAAGAGCCGATTGGACCAATTCTACCAAGGAATGATTGATTGGACCAACGACGATACAGTACGCCGTCAATACGAGGAGAAGTTGTTTCAGCGTGCATATGAGGAACTCGGAGTTCTGCCTGACGCCGAGAAGGGGGCGAAGAGAGCAGCCGTTTTTAAGGCAGCACATGACATGGTAATCATAAAACATCCGTTCGAACCCGCATGGAAAGTTTTTCTGGGGTGGCAAGATGTTCAGGATCTCTCCCAGTATGACGTTGGCCATCTGCGTGAGTACATTGAGTTCTTTCCAGAATCTGGGCTCTCCCAGGTTCTCAAAGGATTCTTATTGAGCGAACTATCGCCATTTCCCAAGGAGCCAACGGACGAAACAAAAGGCAAGGATGGCAAGGATGGGAAGGAAATCACAGCCAATCAACCCGATAATGAAAACGATGACGATGCAACTGTTACCCAAGACCCTCTCGTACTTATGGTCGAGGGCTTGGATTCCGCTCGCGATTCAATTCTTGCCCACCGCATAATGGCAGATGTCTACCTCTCTTTCGAAGAGTATGAGAGCGTGGTCAATGTTGCTCGTAAGGGGCTACTGTACATCGAGAACTTGATAAAGTACAGTGGAGTCAAGATCCCCAACACCATTGATGCCTTGAACAACGCACTTGCCAATGCCATGATTTATTATCAATCCCCCCGGTATCACGCAGATGCGAAAAAAATATTTGAGGACATCCTTGAACGGAACCCAACCTCGTCCAATTGCCTACTTGGGATTGGTCTGATTTTGAAAGAGGATCAGGACTACGCAGAAGCTGTCAACTTCCTGCGGCGATCACTAGCACGTGATTCTTCTAACCTCAAGATTCGTGGAGAGCTTGCTTGGTGTGAGGCATTGCATGGTGACCTTGAAGGTGGCCTAGCCAGTCTTCAGGCTACGCTTGAGGATCTAAAAGAAGCTCAACCGGACAACAGAGAGTTCAAATCTGAGCTTCTTTACCGCATTGGTTACTGCCAATGGGAGCTTGATCCGTCCCCAGCTGCCCGCAAAGATCGCAGTCGTGCTTATGCTAGCCTCTTTGCTTCCATCCAGGCGAATATGAACTTCGCTCCAGCATATACCATTCTTGGTTTCTACTACGCAGACTACAAGAAAGATAAGATCAGAGCTCGTAGATGCTTTCACAAGGCTTTTGAACTGTCAACCTCTGAGATTGAAGCCGCCGAGCGTCTTGCTAGGGGCTTTGCTGACTCGAAGGAATGGGACCTTGTCGAAGCAATTGCGCAGCGAGTGGTTGACTCCGGCAAGGCTAGGCCTTCCCCTGGGTCAAAACGCCGAGGGTTTAGCTGGCCATATGCGGCATTGGGTTCGGTTCAGGTCAACAAACAGCAATACAGCAAAAGTATTGTGTCCTTCCAAGCAGCGCTTCGACTCAAGCCAACAGATTATCACTCATGGGTCGGTCTTGCCGAGTCCTACCACCACTCTGGTCGATACAATGCCGCCACCAAGGCCTTTGAGCAAGCAAAGCTATTGGAGCCAGAGCTTTCAGCTAAAGACCAGGAATATGTATGGTTTGCAAGGTATATGCTGGCAAACGTCAGGCGAGAGCTTGGTCAGTACGATGACGCTATCGCTGCCTACGAAGATGTCCTGAAATCTCGGCCTGGTGACATTGGTGTGACTCTCGCGCTTCTTCAGACCTTGACCGAGAGTTCGACGAAGAGCCTTGGCCTAGGTCTCTTCAATGATGCAGCGGAGCTCGCATACCAAGCTATTTCGGTGGCCACCTCCCTAGTGCAGATTAAAAGCGACATTTTCAACTTGTGGAAGGCTGTAGGCGATGCCTTCTCCAACTTCTCATACATGAAAGCTAAGGCTGGAAAGCTATCCGCTCCCAGCTGCAAGGCTTTACTGGCAGTCGATCTGGACCCTATGGCCCTTGATGTCATGACCGATGTTGATGGTGTCGGAACTGATTGGCTCGCAGCCAATGAAAGCGAAGAGTCGATGCCAGCTGAATTCTACGTTCACTTATCCATAATCGCATTTAAACGTGCGCTGCATATTTCTGCGAATGATGCTCATTCTCAAGCAGTTGCCTGGTACAACCTTGGTTGGGCTGAATATTTGGCCTATCGCACTGTGCAGCCGGATCCAACCAAGAAAGGTAAGAAGTCTCGCAAGTTCCTGAAAGCAGCCATGCGGTGCTTCAAGAGAGCAATCGAATTGGAGGCGAGCAATTCCGATTTCTGGAACGCGTTGGGTGTTGTCACTGCAAGCATGAGTCCCAAAGTCTCCCAACATGCCTTTGTGCGAAGTTTGCATTTGAATGAACGCAACGCGCAAGTTTGGACAAACCTTGGAGCACTATACCTCCTGCACGAAGAAGGCCACCAATCATACAAGACGTTCTTGCGAGCGCAGGCCACCGACCCAGACTATTCATTGGCTTGGGTCGGCCAAGGCTTCGTATCACTTATTGTTCGCGAGACACAGGAGGCGAGGGGTTACTTCGAGCATGCCTTTGACATCTCAAACTCATCCGATATTCTCACTAAACGCCAGTTCAGTCTGACCCACTTTGATCATCTGAATGCGGCCTCTTCATCTAACGTGTCCGAACTCATTCAGCCATTCTTCGCACTGCACCAACTCTGCATCCAGGATCCGTCAAACCTGCCGTTTGTGCACCTTTCTGCCCTGTTAGCAGAGAGAATGGGCGAGACCGCAGATGCCGAGTCTAGCCTGGAGGTTGTCTGTGCAGGCATGGAAGACGAGTTTGAAAAGACAGAGTCCCCGGCTTCCCTTTCGAGGTATTCCCAAGCAAACGCAGATATGGCTCGTGTCCTCCTTGCACGCCATTCATATGAAAAGGCAGCAGAGAAGGCCGAGCTCGCGCTTACCCTCTCTGGGGAGGAAGACGCAGAGAAATTCGATCCCGAAGCTTGCAAGAAGCTTCGTCTGTCTGCGCATCTGACAGCTGGTCTAGCATATTACAACCTGAAGTCTATGGACCAAGCCATCGATATGTTCCGCGATGCCCTCGAAGAGGCAGACAATGCTCCAGATGTTGTCTGTCTTCTTGCCCAGGTCCTGTGGGCCAAGGGTGGTGAGGAAAACCGGTCTGTTGCTCGGGAGCAACTGCTTGACTGTGTGATGAACCACCCTACTCACATCGGAGCAGTCACCCTTTTGGGTGCCATCGCTCTCCTTGATGCGGACCGGGACGCCATTGAAGCAGTTGAATCAGACCTTAACAGCATGATCTCGCGTGATGACATCGATCTCCACGACCGAGCTAAAATCATCAAACTCCTGAGTGCCATCTCAGCAACGGGACTCAATGATAATGCAGCCGTTCCCGAAAGCATCAGGCGCATTGGTGATGCCACTGCTGCCGTGATGCTTACACCGGGCCAACCTGCCGGGTGGATGGAGTTGTCGGCAGCATCGCGAAACCCGTACGCAGCCGCCATGACTATCAAACGCGCTCTGCGCAGCGTGCCTCCTTACGGTAATCTCGGGGCTGAGGACCTCAGTCAAGCCTACTCGCAAACCGGCAAGGTCGGTGACGCCTTCCGAGCGATCATGATTGCCCCGTGGAAACGCAATGGATGGGAGGAACTGAGCCACAATGTGCCTACCCGGAACATGTGGACACGCTGTACGGGCCATAAATCAGAGGAATCGGACGACGACAAACCTCTCCTGCCATGGAAGCGCCGCACAGGCCATGGACCTGAGTAGTCGGACGACGATTTGACTACCCTGCCACTCCACAACAACAAGCGCCGTACAGGCGCTAGGGCTAAATGAACTTGATGCACAGTGTATTTAGTTGAAATGTACATCAGCTTTTAGCGAATGAACATCACAACATCAAATTCATAAGAAATATATCCACAATAGACTAAGAGAAATGCAAAGTCCATACCTTAAGATTAATTGCGAAGTAGAAGAAGCACACTCCGCCATCTGTTCAGCCGGTTGAGCCCACGATGACTCGTGTTTCCTCATTCCCCTTCGGCGCCTGCGGTCTTCTCCAGCAACCTAGCCTTCCTACCCTCCCTCCACGGTTTATCCAAAGCCTCGATCTTCCCCCCGAGCAGAGTAACAGACCCCGGGGAAAGCAACACCATACCTCTCGCGACAGACGGATTACGAAGCAAGAGCTTCGCCCCAATAGCAAGTTTCTCCAATGCTATGCCATCGATACGCTGCATTTCAACAGCCACCGCCATAGTTCCCGCCGCATCCTGAATAATCAGGCGGTGCGGCCCATACCCACTGTTCCCGGATGCAGTCGCAGCACCGTTCGAAGGATTGTTATTCGCACGATTATTCTCCGACGCCTCGGGGTCCTCGCCTACAGCGATTGTGCGCACGATCTCACGGCCGCGGATCGCTTCGCCCCGCTCAACGCGTTCAATTGCTTCGATCTGGCTCCATAGACTCGTGCCGATGTCTTCGATGTCTAGCACTTGCACGGGGATTGAGCCTTGCAGCCGTCGCTCTTGGACCGCCGGGTCGTGAATATCGACTGGGAGTACGCATGATCTGTGCTTGGAGAGTGATTCTCTGATATCAGAGGCGAGGAGACGGAATATAGCCGTCTTTGTGAGGGCGGATGCGGGGATATTGCGTTGCGCTGTGCTGGACGATAATAGGAAGGCACTGAGCCAGGGTTGGGCGACTGAGAGGGATTTGGTGCTCAGTATCTGAGCTGCAATTTGATCAGGACTGGTCATGATGTATTGGACTCCCTCAGGATCATATTGGCGCGTATGGTTAATCTAAGGGAACCATCGAATTCGGGGAAGCTCTCAACGCGAAAATAAAGCACAGACCACCGCTTAAAGCAATTGACCTGGCCCGACTCTGTTACCCCCGACAACTCCGACACACCTCACGAGACATCGCAATGTCGACCATATCTTCTCCACGCCAATCCCTCGCCTCCTCTAGAGCCCTTTCCCCGGGTCCAGCCTCCTCCCGCCCATCACTCGATGCCTTGAACACCAGCGTCAGCGGGGGGCTCAGCGCCGCATCTACCCCATCCACTGCACGAGCTATTTCCCCCTCACTCCATCCCCGACGCAATCGAAGTGCCTTGCGAGACTATTACAATCTCAAGCCACCTGGGGCGGGCACATCTGCCTCCCGGGACGCATCTCGCACTCGGAGTGAAGCAGGAGACATATCCGACCCAGCCAGTCTAGCGTCAGGGACGGAGCTCGACAGTGCAAACTTCGACCCGCAGCGGTATGTCGAGCACCTATTGTCATCGTCGTCGCTGTCTACGGTGCTCAAGGCGGAGAATACGTTGGTTGGGGATATCCGCACTCTCGACGGAGAGCGGAAAGCGCTGGTCTACGATAACTACTCGAAGTTGATTCGCGCTGTGGAGACAATTGGGAAAATGCGGCGCAGTATGGATGATCGCGGTGCGCCGTTGACAATGACGAAAACGCTGGGTCCGGCTATTGCTTTTGTTGCTGAGACTGCCAGTGGGCTTATTAAAGAAGGCGAGGAGCAACGGCGGCTGATGAAGGAAGCCAAGCTGGAAGATGGGACTTCGAGCAAGAAGAGTGAGAAGGATACTGTTCGGTGGGTGCTTTCTTCACCGCAGAGATTAGAGAAGCTTATGGCGGAGGGTAAAGAGGAGGATGCGCAAAAGGACTGGAAAGAGATCCAGCATTTACTCGACGCTTGGGGTGAGGTCAAGGGGGTTGCTGAGGTTCGGACAGCGTGTGAGAAAGTCATGAACCCGGCACGCAACGATGACTGAGCACCTGCTTATACATACCTTTCTTCGGCCATGATCCATGCGATTGAAGCTCTTGACAATTGACTTTTGTCGAAGTGAGCTCTCACTTTTGACTGGAACAGCGGTTGCCACCATGAATGAGCTGGCTCATTCATGAAGATAGATCGTTCCTGATCTATACAAGACATGATCAGTCATTTGTCCCGACGAACATTCTACGAAATCACCGCTGCCCCGGCTTTTGGGAATGCCTTGGACACACAACCTAGACAGAGACAAATACAGTACATGTTTGAAAGTTTGTGCGCTAATCCTCGCCGAGTCACGGCTACGTTTCCTATCACCGACGACGTCGTAGCTGAGACGACGAAAGCAAGGAGCCCATGTGAGCGGAAGAGAAATGCTGGAAGAAAGATGAATTTGCCTCTTTGGAGACCACACGGGCAGTTGGCGGCTAAGTCCTGGCGGTAACGTTCGCACAAGCGTCTAACGTTAACTCGCCACCTTCGAGGGCAGACACCCAAACCGCCAACTTTGTTTCCGCCCTCTACCATGCAGAGAGCGCGGTAGTCACCTGCTGTTGGGCAAAGGTTACATCTAAACAGCGTTCCAACCAATCAAAGCAAACTTCTCGAGCCTCTGTGGGCAAAGTTTCATCGAGTCCATATATGATGAAGCTTGCAATCGCATTCAGGGACTTTGCAGTCGTAAAATCCTTGGTAACTAAATAGCCACCCTGTGGCATGAGCACAACCTGCCGGGATGAATACCGCATGTGATGATGTCGTCACCAGAACAACGCCTCCTTCCAGTTGATGCGCCAAGCTGAAGTAGCTTTGCACGCTGGCCGTCAACGGTCTTCATGGCATTCAAATTCTTATTCGTGGCTTGGGTGTTTGGTCACTGACCAAACATTGTGCCTTTTTGACCTGTTAGCCTAGTGATGAAACTCAAGCAACCGCATCCCTGACACTCTCCCAGGCATGTATCATACAGTTCCCGGGAGCGACTGTAGGCGATCCTGGGAGTGTACTCACTCCGAGGAGCTTGACCTTTTGCTCCCAGGATCATGTCACGCTGCTCCTGAAAATTGCGCGCTGCTCTGTGAGGATCTCACGTATGCGTAGTTGAATGATCAATATTGAGGAAGCTATTGTCTATTCTAGATACAAGATTATTCTAAATACAAGACATAGCGCGAGGAAGCGAAGAAAGGATGCCTCTTCCTCCGCGGTCTCATTGGCAAAGCTTTCTCTTGCTCAGTGGCCTAGCCTTACCAGCAGCCTTTCGGCGCGTTCAACTGCCCTTGCAGAGTCGCACTGGACGAACTTCGTAATGTTCCTGCCCTTTGCAAACGCCATTATGATAGCAGCCATTAAGACGAAGGGCCAGTCTTCCACCCTTGGCTCCCCATGCCGGTTTTTGTTCACCGCACAATGAACTTCAATCATTCTCTCAAACTTGTCCAGCCACATACACAGCCCCGGCTGCGAAAGAATTCTGAAAAATATCTGGACTGCCACAAAACCCCGTACTCTATCGCATGATGGAGTCTGGCCCAACTTGTTCTTGTAATTGACCATGATTCGAGGGACCGAAAGGAGAAGTTGGAAGACTGGCAAATGTTTGAGAAAATCAATTGATTCAAAACAATTAGCTTACGTCCGAGGTTTTCATCTCAAACGATGTCATAGGTCTGAGAGGACGTGAGAGCTTCAGCCAAAGCTCATTATCCGGATCATCATCATCAATATACAAGTAGCCAGTATCCGCGCTATCACCGTAGACTCCACTGTATGCCCTGTACTCATCTTGAATCTTCTGCGCAGTCTCAGTTGACAGCCACATATATCTCTCCACAATTCCCGGGTCGACCGGCAGACCGCCATAGATACCAGGGGAGTCCCATTCGCCTCTGGGATGCTGCCCCCAAGGAACAGCCATATCAGAAAACTTGACAGAGGAATGGGTCAAAAAGTCCCTGGGCTCCAAATCAGGCCCCAAACTCGTTTTCTTGGTGGTGTCATAAGGGTCGAACTCTGAGATTTTTCCGCTTCCAATTGAACGCTCCCTGACAAACTCCTCCAGATATTGCAAGTAGTAAGGGTTTCTGCTCTGTTTGGCAGCCTCGAAATAGGACTCACGGGGAGGGGGATTCAACGCCATGAAAAGCGATTGGTAGTCACAAAGTATGGAGGTGATCGCAATTTGCGGTCTCATGGAAGGGCACTTGCCAGCCAGCTCACGCAAAGTGTTCTCATGAGGCCGCACAGGCCACCAGATAAGCCAAGGGAGGCAGTCAGAGTCATCGTCAAGGTCAGAGATATCATTGTTCATGATTCTACGAGCATTTATCGCAGTGCGAATCTCGCGACGCTCGCGCTCATTGCCTTCGCTGAGCAATTTACCTGGGAGAATGATTCGCCCAGGGTTGGTTTCCAGCTGATAGGCCCACCATCGGGCAAAACTTGTATGGTGATAAATCCCACGAAGAATACAATTGTATTCAATTTCTGTTCTGAGCCTCCGTGGGTGCATGAATCGAGCGTATCTATCCACATTACCCTCCCATGCAGCCATTTGCGTTGGAAGGCGTTTGTCAAGAACTGGAAGATCAGGCGAAAGAGGCATCCACAAATCCTCCGAGTCTCCTGGGCCGAGTATCGCATCGCGATCTATTTCAATTTCTTCCTCGAACCCAATAAATCCATCTTCCTCGATGTCAATATCATCTGCAGTTGTATCTGGCAAGTTCTCTGGAGGAAGAACACGCTGGCTCAAAGCCCGTCGGGGCTTCATATTGCCGTTTAGAAATGCGGGTGCTTGTGGGCTTGTAAGATTAACCGATCGAGTGAAATCATCCATAACAGCCCATCTTTGAGGGGCCGACATGATGATTTTGAAGATTTCGGCGTCTTCGGCAGCATTACAGGCTTCTTCAGCAATAGAGACGTCTGGCAGAAGATCCAATTCTTTGTAAAGATCCGTATACAAAGCAGCAGCACACGCGCGGCCGACTTGGTAGCGCATAGATGGATACCGACTAGCGAGCTCGCGATAGGTTTCTTCCGATGCAAACTCTGGATACCAAATGCAGTATGGCTCGGTGGCAGGTTGCATATCGGGGATGACGTTACTCATGATCAGGCGAGCATTGCGCGCGCGAGAAAACTGATGTGCATCGTCGCCGGAACATAGCTCAATGATTGTCGGGCTTGTTGCAAATTGAAGTGAGTCACGGATCCCGCGAATGACTGCTCTACGATGCCAAAAAGAGGTCACATCAGACGGGACTTTTTCGCCCTTTATTGCCGCGATGCATTGGTCAAGGTCGTACTCAGCGGGTTGTTGCTTGCCCGCGTGGACTGGGAGGTCCGTGGAGGAAATGACAGAGCTTTGCCCTGCAACCTGAGTAGCTGCCATGAGGATAAATAGCGCAGGGGACGTCAGGCTGACGATTTACGGAAGGGGTCTGCAAGAACTTGAGGAGGGGAAAGGCGGAGCGTACGCAGGAACATAGGGGCCAGGGTTACTTTCGTTTCGGATTTAATGCATACAATGGTGCCTTCATGTCTTAATTTGGATACCTGAATTACAATTACAGAGGCGTGTCTGAGAATTAGGCCCATAAAGCTATTTCTGCCATACAAATCCATATATCGCATGATTCTTAGACGATTTGAACCTAAATTCGGAGGTAATAGCGATCCAATGAATTATGGATATCTCTTCAGAGAAAATAATACGTATAGATTCGGGGTGTTAAAACTTATGAACAGTCACTGTACGGATACTGATTTGTAATTTTACAGTACAGCGTATGCAGGGCATGCAGCATTGGGGGCCGCATGCCCAGGTGGACACTAATCTGATTACATGGCGAATAAGACAAAGAATTACCTAAATATTTGCTGGTACAACCCCAAGCAAAGACGATCTAATCCGAAGAAAGCGATGATAATGCAGGTACCTGGTGGACAGCAGAGCGAATGACGGACGTGCGTGGCAGAACCCGTGTTTACTAAATCCTTTCGCTCACTTCGTTCGTTTCAGGGCACAACTACCATACATACACTGGGAACTACGTTTCAGTTGACTCTGATGCGGTGCTTTGATTCTGGCTGGGGTCTATTTAATATGAGAGAAACATACTAGTAGCTGATGAACAATCGATGCTGGCAAGTACTGGGGCTCGTTACTACTGGTAATACATCGAGATGTATAGGGTAAAACTTACTAGTAGAATAACACCACTTGAATTGACAACTTTGACATTCTTGTAGGGACTTTCCGGCAAGGGAAGACTTTGTAAATAACTTCGGAGATATATCTCTGAGAAAACAGTTGATGTCCAGATCAGATCTTCCATGTCAGAATTCTGTTCTATAGAGCCCCTTCCTATATGGCGGGCACGGCACATTTGTCCCAAAAACTTTCCCAGGGCTTTATTTCTTCCCAGTGCAGAACATTATTGTCAGTGTTTGCCGGACCACCGGTAATGGCGTTGCGGTTCCCAAGTTCCTCGCCCTATGTACCAGCATTAGCGCCCTGCGAGATGGTCTTTGAGAGAAAGCAACTTACCCAAGCCATAAACTTGTCCCAGGTGGTAAGGCCCTTGCCTTTGATCTTTTCAGTGTTGGCGGCAAATGTTCTTGGGAAGTCAACTGCTTGGTATCGTGGCATGCCTGGAACATCGGTATCTGCTTCGGCCATCACAACGGTGCTGCGATATTCGCCTTTTTTGTTGGGATCAGCTTCTTGGAGGTTCCAACCCTGGTCGCTAGATAGCTCTCTGACCAGCCAATTGTTTGTCTGGCCCTTCCTAAGAGCCACAATTCGGCGGGAAATATCCTCGGCGCGGCCAAGACGATCAGAAACATCCCCAATCGTGATCAGATGCCTATCATCCTTGACAGCCGCGACCTTCTGACTGACAGTTCTAATAAATCGGATGTGCTTATCTGCGTCTGACTCTGAGTCACCTTTCGACCCCGAGCCTCCCCCTCCACTTCCTCCACCCCGGCCTGAGATGAAAGTGCTGGCCTTTTCTTCCAACTCAGCCAACTTGGGACTGATTGTCGATAGTGAAACCGTTCCTTTGAAGTTGTAGACTCTATTATCTGCCAATTCCTTTTGCGCCCTTTGGAGGTCCCCTTGAGATGATGGCTCAGTTATGGCAGGAGGAGGCTCCAGATTAGAAGGTTTACTGAGCGTTCTGAGCATGAATTCCACATAATTCAGAGGCTTGTCCGTCTCTCTGCCGTTTGAGTCCAGATGTCGGTTACTTGTTCCTGCGGGTCCTCTTCTGTCTCGGAAAGGAAATATGAGCTTTTGTCTTTCGGCGGTCTGAATTTGGCTGTATGAAAGTGTTGCAAAGTTAGCCATGACAACCTGTAGGTCACTCGAAATATTACTAGGACGGCGAAAATAACGTACACAAAAATCTGATAGGCTTCCCACATGAACATTTTTTCATAAATATGCGCCTGAAGATTGAAGTCGGTGCCTTTATAATTGTTAAGTTCGCCGGGGCTGACTCTTCGATGGTGGGTGTGTGAATGATGATTGGGATGAGAATGGGCCGAACAGCTTAAGCCCGTAAGAGAAGCAAGCCATATTATAACGAGTCCCAGAAAAGAGACCTGGGATGCCCGGAAGAGCATATTGACAGTTCCCACCAAAGATAGTCAAGTGGTTCTTGAGGTAAAAGTAATAAGGAAGGACTGGAGGATGACTTGAAAAACGGGGGCAGAAAAGAACACTAATTCGTTTTATGCGATGTCCTATTGCCCCCTCTCCCAAATGAAAAGCTCCAGGATAATAGGTTCTATTTTTACGGCTCGATTTTGTTCGAATTTCGGCTTTTTGGCGATTCATACTAGCAACCAGTGACGGTCGCGCATTGGGCAAGTTAATTTTACTTCGAACCCCTTAATAGGACCCAGACTAGAGAAAAAAAAGAACAAAAACCCGAAAAAAGCCTGAAAGAAACCTGAAATCAACCGGAAAGAGGGAAGAGGACGTGCTCCACGAGGTAGTCTTACATCGTACAGGTAGAGTGAGTGGGACGCTGCTATGACCAATAGTGCTCATTTATGGCTCATTATGAGAATTCCTTTCTCAGGTAGTCCCATCAGTCTGCCAGCCTTTGCCAGAAGTCCAATTCATGCGTAGAACGCCTGACCGCTGTATTCCGTACGTTAAAATATGCGAAGGTGGAGATGGGATTAGTAGCGGGACTTCCGACAAAGACTATTTCAAAACTTATTCTTGGTCTTATCTTCTATAATTTCCGAGCGCCGCATCTTACAGGGAAACACCGAATATCAAGTGATAAGTGCTGATAACGTACTTCAAGTGTATTCACCAGTTTACCCCAAGAGAGTCTCATTGCTGCTACTCTCAGTCAATTTCGCCAAATCATCCTTCATGGGAAGAACTATTCCATGGCTGAGACTCGATATGGAGTCCAGGCCCACACGGGAAGTCTCTGTAGATCAATCGGACGCTAGTGTTCACGCGATCTGCTGTGGATGTAACCTGGGGGCGGAAAAAAAGCAACTTGGGGGGCTACAGCCCCCGGGGCCAAGGCTGGCATATACATATTAGTGTACTGACGCCGCGAATCATATGGACAGGCCTCATGGATTGTCTCCACTCTCCATATAGATCCTGCGGAATACCTGCGGACTGTCTCAGGTACCCGGCAGAGGCTTAATTTCAAGTTTTATTCGCGCACGCTATCGCTTGGAATTAGTCTGGCAATCGAAACCAGCCCTGCAGCCCCAAGACCCTGTATTTGAGGCTGGGACTGTCGTTTCCCTGAACTAAAGACCCTAATGGGGTAGCCATAAAAGCGTATGAAACATCCGAATGTCTCCACTTGTACTAGTAGTGGTCTTGGCATTAGACTCTGCGTACGGAGTACATACTAGCATATACCAATGTACTAGTCTGGGTATGAAATTTCACTCTTTCTCATCGAGAAGGTTGGATCCGTTGAGGTAAATCTCCTTTCAAGGATCAGCTGGAAAGTTCTGGATTGGGGCGCACGTTCCGGCTTTATTCCAAAGTGCATCGCGGTACGGTCCTCAGATGCTGTACGGGCTGATGAGCGGTCATTTGATTGTCATTAGCTTCATAATGGTTGACCCACCGGAATCCTTGAATTCCCACAGCGTATCGTTCCAAATTTGTCATTTGTCGTCAGGTTTGCTCTTTTCCAAGGTTGATATAAATGTTCCAAGCCTACTGGGAACCCGGGCAGTGATCAGCACCACAGCACTTTCAAGTTCTTTTCAAGTTTACGTTCATTCCAGGTTATCGCCTGGGGTAGTATTTGCCTTCATTCTTTCACGATGAATACTGCCCTTGGGGATTTCATCCCTTTTCTTTCCTTGAGTTTTCTCTCTCTTTTTTCTGTTACAAATGCCTTCACCCACACTTCAGCAAGCTTGAATGTCTTGCCTGCACCGGGTTGCCCAGAGTCCTGCTCGGTTGTCGGCTCAAACCCGAGCAATTGGACCTGGATTGTTCGCCAAAGTGATTTGAGCATCTGTGACCAGCCAATCCTATTTGATTTCCATTTTGGAGACGACTCGACTTCTGATTTTGTTGTACGCTCCTGTGCTGTCCTCGAGCCTTTCCACGAGCAGATTCCAAGCTCGAATATCAAAGAAGCGAAATGGACCAATATCAACGTCACTGATTCGGATGCTGTAACACAGTCGTTGGTAGTATCGAATTCTTGTGGAGCATCTCAGCAAACTTCAGATGTGACCGTTCAAGTGGGCCCTGCTGGTGCTATCAAGGATACCAATGACGCCAATGCTGCTGTTAAGAATCTAGCATCCTACATGACAAATGTCGCCTCCTGTGGCTTCACTGTTGTTCTGTCAAAGGTTGGAGAAACCGTCGCTGCGCTTTATGCCGGAGCGGATGTCTATCCAAGCAGCGTTGGCCCATACCTTGACAGCTTTACCAAAAACCTTGAGGGCGGATCTCAGACAATCCAATCATGCGACTCAAACTCAAAGCAAGACACGACTATTGGAATCTATATCGTGGATTCATTGGATGAGCTCGAGGATATCCAACGCGTCTTCAAGACGTGGTCTAAAGGCGATTGTCTTAGCGCAAACGGTGAAGACTCGATAAAAACAAAAATCATCACGTTGGCATCCTCTGGAGTCAGCAAGCGGTCCGACATCTTCTCATCGGTCGAGGATCTCATCGCCCCCCGGGGTAACTGCAGGACTATACAAGTCAAACTGGGAGATGGCTGTGGCTCATTGGCAAGCCGCTGTGATATATCAGGAGCTGATTTCACCAAGTACAACCCCGGTGCTAAGTTTTGCTCGAATTTGAAGGCTCAACAGCATGTTTGCTGCTCCGCGGGCACTCTTCCTGATTACACCCCTAAGCCTCAGGCGGATGGCACGTGTTTCACTTACACCATCCAGCCCAATGACAATTGTGCTGATATTGCAGCCGGGTTTTCTATTACCCAGGATGAGATCAATACCTTCAATAAGAACACTTGGGCATGGGCTGGCTGTGGTGCGAACGATCTAAAGCAAGACCAAATCATATGTTTGAGCAAAGGTAACACGCCTATGCCAGCTCCGCTCAGTAATGCGGTATGTGGTCCTCAGAAGCCTGGTACCAAGGCTCCACCTGGGGACTATAATGGCTGGAACCTCACTGAGCTTAACCCCTGCCCTTTGAATGCATGCTGCTCAGGGTGGGGCTTCTGCGGTACTACAGAGGAGTTCTGTACCAAATCACCCGCCAAGACAAATGCTCCAGGAGCCTTTTTGAGTGGTAAAAACGGATGTATTTCCAACTGCGGCACAAAGATCGTCAACAACGAGCATGCTCCAGACAAGTTCCTTCATGTTGCTTATTATGAAGTCTTCAACCTCAAACGCGAGTGTTTGAATATGGATGTCACTGAGATCAACGATGCATCCTTGACTCATGTGCACTTCGCTTTTGCTGGACTGACTGCCGACTTTGACATTGCCTTTGACAATGACGATTATAAAGCGCAGTTTGAAAAATTTGTCAAAATTAGCACATCCTACAAAAAGGTCCTCTCATTTGGAGGATGGGCTGAGTCGACTGACGCCGCGACCTTCCAGCGATACCGTGATGTCGTCAAGCCTGGAAATCGTGACAAGTTTGCGACGAACATGCTCGCATTCTTCAACAAGTATAAAGGTTTAGACGGTATCGATTTTGACTGGGAATATCCTGGAGCTACCGATATCCCTGGTGTCCCTCCAGGCACCGGTGATGAGACGAACAATTACCTTGCTTTCTTGAAGCTGATGAAGAACAAGATTGGAGATAAGTCCCTTTCAATCGCTTTACCTGCTTCCTACTGGTATCTGAAAGCATTCCCAATTGACAAAATGGCCGAGTATTTGTCGTACTTTATCTATATGACTTACGACCTTCATGGACAGTGGGGTGAGTTTACCACCTATCTTCCCGATCGATGAACTTTACTGATCATATATAGATTATGGCAATGCCAACGCAAATGTGGGCTGTCCCGGCGGAGATTGTCTTCGGTCGCATGTCAATAAGACCGAGACCGAGAACGCTCTTGTGATGGTCACGAAGGCCGGTGTACCCGCAAACAAAGTGCTTGTTGGAATTTCAAGCTACGGCCGCAGCTTTGGTATGATCGACCCAAGTTGCACTGGCCCCATGTGCAAATACGGCGGTTCCTTTGATGTTTCTACGGCCGAGGCTGGACAGTGTACCAACACCTCTGGATACATCTCAAATGCTGAGTTAAATGATATCATGTCGAATGTGAACGCAAGCCAGGAAGGCTACAAGGGCCGCGTGTGGTATGATACGGAATCCGCTTCAGATATGATGGTTTACGGTACCACCGGAAAAATCACTACGTGGGTGGCTTATATGGCCGATGACACCAAGAACGAACGCATTGACTGGGTCAAAGGGCTCAACTTTGGCGGAGTCACTGACTGGGCTGTCGACCTCCAACAGTGGAACCTGGGCGTGGACACCGGCTCTGAAGAGGCCAAGGACCTTCAACTAGCCGATCTTCCTAAGGGGTGTCCTTCCGACAATTGGCCGGACAGTCTCGATAAGCTCCAGGCTAGCATCGATTCTATCGATGTAGAATGTCGGTCTCAGGCTGTTGTTTGGGTTTTGCTTAAAACAATCCCCACAGTTCTGCAAAACTACAAAGATGCATCTGAAAGCTATGATGAATATGTTAGTTCAAGGCCTTTTTGATACTGGTGCAATCAAGCTAATCTGCTTCTAGTTCGGTTATTATTCCGAATGGGTCAAGGACAACATCAACGATTCCCTTGAGAAGTTTATGTGGGGTGATGGAATGAAATACATGGACTGTAAATGGACAGCGGACAAAGCAGATGGTGGCAGTGGCAATGATGCTTGTACAAAGATGGTTGTTAAACAGGGACAACCAAGTCAAGGCGTTGTCACTATCACATATACGGTACGCGATGAAGATGGGTTTTACAACGCGCTTCAGAACGATTACGGTATCCTCAAAGACTGGATTGTGTGGGAGGAGACGTCGGGAGATCCGGAAGACGCTCCTTGTCCCTGTCCAGTACCAGGCCACTGCATTCAATGCAACAAGCCCCACGGCGAAGTGTACCACAACTGGCCACAAAAGGCTGCCGATGATGCTATCAAGGTTCCTAACCTTAAGTCTGTGATCGACACTGCAGTCCCCAACATCACCGCACTTCAAACTGTCATGCTCGGAAGTTTCACGGAGATACGTTTGGGGGCCATGGATGCCACCGACGCAGACATGGCCACCGCGTACAGCATGCCCGTTTTCATGCTTGCAGACACGACCGAGCAAATGAAGAATATTACCAAAATCGGCAAGGAGCAGAAAAAGGCCGATGATGAAGCGAAAGTCAGCTTCATCTTGGACATTGTCAGCATTGTTCTCATGATTATTCCATTCGCTGGAGAAGCAGTCGAGGCAATTGGTGGCGTGGCAAACGTTGCCCGCGCTGCTTTGGTCATGGGCGAGGCTGGTAACGCGGCTCTTTCCGTCTACGATATTGTCAAGGATCCATCCTCAGCTCCTTTTGCTATACTTGGTCTACTTATGGGAGCCGATGCCTCGATCGTAGGCAAGTCTGCCAAGACTACCTTCTCCAAAGCCGCCGCTTTCCGGCATGCTATGAGTGACGGTACCTTGAAGTCTTTCAGCAAAGAGTTCCAGGCAAATGACAAGATCGTGCAAGACATTGTCAAGGCTTGCAAAGCCTAAATTTCATAGTTTTTGCTCTCTATGGATGCCCTACAGGGTAGGCCTGAAAGGCAGCTGCTACTCACAACAAAAGCCTACCAATAAACTTTAAATCACATGCTTATAGGAAATGCAACAATTATTGATGCATTCTGACGTGCTCACTGTTTCCCTATGCAGTTTGTAGCCCTTTATCTGTGGCATTTATTCCCTTTTCTTTCTCTTCTCTGGCAGACAGCTTGCCGACCAACGTGCAGCTTGCCGTTCAGCTTGCTGCGTTGGCATTTTCTTTATATGTCTGCAGATATGCTTCTTCTGTTTTCTGGTGGATGGAATCTGGCTGGCTTTGTGGTGCGAAGCTATATAGACAAGCTTCAGTACAGTAGTTAGTTTCCCATCTTCCATCAATTCATCATTAATCGTCAATCAATTCTTCAATCATAAACAAACTCATAATCCCTATTTCCCTTCAAGAAGCTCCCGACTCGAATACATACTCGCCTTCAGTCCATACTCATTCTTAGAGGTAATATCCAGATGAGTGAACGCATCAGACTTGTAGTAAATCGACCTCGGCCCTTTCCCAACAAGCCCAAGATCATCCAACTTACTCACAACCCGCTTAACATCCTCGACATCGCCGAAATCAGCCGTATAGACACAAATCAAACGACTCGCTCCAGACCCACCATTCGTAGCAACTTTCACAGCATCCCCGAGCTCCCCCTTCTCCATCGCCCTAACAACGACGCCCCAGAACTCATCGACTTGACCCACAGTCGGAAAAAGCATCCACTTCCCATTTGTAACACCCGTCTCCCTCGCCAGATCCAGAATATCCTTCTCAAGTTCCTTCCGCAGCGGATTCAATTTACGCGTCAACGCAGCCGTAGTCTTCGCCCCAGACCTATCATGCGCCTCGCGCAGTATCGCACTCCCATTTTCGTACTCCTGGAGAAGCTCCCTGCCTCTCCTAAGCAGAGCGGGAACGTCCCCGCTCGTCTTCGACGGCAGATGCGGGTTGTACATCCAAATCCAGGGGCCTACGACCGTGGTTTCCGTCGTCGATGGCGGAAGACGCGATAAAAAGTGATCTACCGGCTCGGTCTTCCCGCGTTTGTTGCGCGGCATGCTGTCTGTTTCTGGTGGTGCATCGCTCATACAAACGTCTGGTGATGTCGCCTTTGCGCGAGTCGACGACGCGCGGAGATGCTGCTGCATGGTGGATAGCAGCTTTGGGTGAGTTCCTACCCAGAATGGCTCTGGGTCGTAGGATGAGACTTGTGCTTCTAGTTTGGTCTTTTCGTCGTCGTCGCCTGATATGGATTAGCTGGGTTTCGGGGATGGGTTGAATATGGAATGGGTTTACCGTAGAAGCTTGATTCGTCGGAGAATATTTCATCGGTTGCTGTGGTTGATGGCATTACCTAGGCGTCGCTGGATGATATTATGATGCTCTGGTGGTTCTTGTTGAGAAGTAGTTGGAGATGGGGGGAGTAGTTGAGAAGTAGAGGTGGGCCCGCATTTGAATTTCCCCTCTCGCGACTTTACGAGTTCACCTGTTAATGTCTCATAGTAACTAATACTTTGATTTGAAGTAATAGGAAGACTAATTTAATAAGTATATGAATATGACACTCTTTATGCATTAGCTATCCACAGTCTTTGAATATATTTATAGCAGCATATATTCTACTATCCTACTTAGTCCCAACTTATTCGGCTCTGTTAATATCAATTCATCAAGCCTTTCTAGTGCCGTGAAATGACCACCCTATAATATTATGTCTAATAGTACACTAGGCGGGTAGTAGGAAATCTCCAATTGGGGTCTTTAGTCGAGAGCCTTTTACTATTTACACGCCTTATGCTGTATTTGAATCGCAAAGCAATCGATTATTTTAGCAAATGATTCTTAAGTAAAGTAGAGTAGAATTTTCAATCCCCCCTCTCCCTTTTAAAAGTCCGCTGCCACCAGGATACCTGGGGGGCGGGCTTCAATTTCAATGGGCAAAAGAAGCAATTTGCCAAATATATAGTGTAAGCCGAATATTCTTTTAGATAGGTGCCTTCGTTCACAACATCCACATTCCCGACTACAACATTCACCTCGATCCGAACAATCCTGGACCATTTCTTCGCGCATAAACCAGTCTGAATTACGCCTGAAGCTATAGTAGAGGTCTTTGGAGTCCAAGTGAAACCTATACTCTGCTTGGTAAAGGGCGTGCTCCTTTATAGTTTATTGTGCTTGGATCTCTTCAAGCTGCTTATTTGCGTTCTCAAATTCAGTTGTATCAGAGTTAGACTTCCCATTTGATTCGATAGCCATAGCCTTTGGTAGAGCTATAACCTTATGTTGTAGCCATTCCTCACGCTGTATTACTTCACATAGAGCGCGCTCGGTAGTTAAGAAATAACTCAGTGAGTTTAGACCGAACGACGTAGTTTGACCCGTATCTTAGATATTCATCTTTTTGGTAAAAGTCAAAGGTTGTACCACCGAAGAATCCCATAATCGTATTTAGAAAAGCTGTAAGGTTAGTATGGTGGTTACACGAATGCAGACCGCATTGAAACAAAACAAGACCTCGGCCAATCAACCGATGAACCGAAAGGACAAGCATATAGAGATACCATATTAATTTACACAAACTGGTTAAACATCACAAAAGACGCCACAAAAGACACCACAAAGGACGTACATAATAGTCGTATCGCCCCGGTGGCATATTCAGTCGCCCGTAGACGTTGTACAATCGGCGATTCGTGGTTGGTGAAGATACCGGGATCCACCTTACCCCGCGAGGTATAAATCGGCAGTTTCTCTCTCTCTTGGGAGCACACAACAATGACCGAGCCAAAGACTGAGAGCTCGCAGCTCGCCGATTGTAGTCATATTCCGATCATCGACCTCTCAACTTTGGATAGTCCAAATTTCGATGAGCGACGGAAGCTTGCTCAATCGATCTATGATGCTTGCACTCAGGTTGGCTTCTTTTACATCAAGGTGTGGCTCTTAGGGCGCTCTTGAACCTGATCAGCTATTAATTTTGCCCGCTCAGAACCACGCAATACCGGAGGACAAGATTAATGGCATACACGGTTCCGCGAAGCGGCTCTTCGATCTCCCCGAGGAGCAAAAGATGAAGTTTTATATTGGAAACTCCCCCGTACGCCTGGAAATCTGAAGTTCAAAAATACATCCTAAGATTATACTAGAAATTCCGCGGCTACAGTCCCCTAGGTGGTGAGAAATCCACAGGGACAGACGATGATCCCATTGCCGAAGAAGATGCTGTCAGCGCTCTCTCTGAAGCCTTTGACATTGGATACGAAACTGCAATGGATCCTCAAAAATCGACAGATGACCCTCTTCCCCGTGATCCCTACGGACTGTATGGAGATAATCAATGGCCCAGCCAAGATATACTTCCAAACTTCACAGAGACCTATATTGAATATTGTTCCATGATGCTCGGGCTCTGCCGAAAGTTGATGAGAATATTTGCCCTCGCATTGGGCTTGCCCGAAGAACACTTTGATGCGATGACTAAGAACCCAGGTGTCACGTCTAGGATGATGCATTACCCGCCTCAGCCAGTGAAGGAAGAGGTTCGTGAAGGACTCGGGGCTCATACGGTAGGCAATTGACCAAAAGGCAACAAAGATACCGAATGATTTACTTATCCGCTGTCAGGACTTTGAATGCTTCACCATTCTCTCACAGGGTAGTGTCCCGGGCCTGCAAGTCTTGAGCCACAGTGGTGAGTGGATACTGGCTCCGCCATTGCCAGGAATGTTGGTCGTCAACATTGCAGATTGCCTGTCAATTTGGTAAGACTAGCTCGGTCATTCAGGAGAATGCGTGCTGACTTATTTAGGACGAATAAAAAGTTCAAGTCGACTATTCATCGGGTGACAAACTTGACTGGACAAGAACGTTATTCGATTCCCTTCTTCTTTGGAGTCGACTATGATACAACAGTGTCAGTTCTACCGAATCATATTTCGGATGATCGGCCTGCATGTAAAGAGCCCTTCAAAGCAGGCGAGGTGAGTCATAGAATGGGTTGAGTACCGATGTGATAACTAACGAGGGAATAGTGGGTTCGCGAAAAGCTATCAAAGGCGTATGTTGGCTATGAAGGCTAGGATACTGAATCTTATTGAGACATAATTTCCATCTTGCTTGCCCTGCTAAACTTCAGTCATCCTGCACTGGAATATGTTGTTCAAAGGCTGATCACTTCTTCCCAAATAATTAATCCCAACCTTCAATCTTCTCTAAATCCAACCCTAGGAATCCAACTAGCCCCGGTGAACAAGAGGAGTTTGTAAGCATAGTCGCGGAACCCCGCACATGACATGACGCAGTTGCCTGATCGAGCTATGTGACACCAGTGGGTCCACTTATATATAGATTAGGTAGTCTCCTCCCGCTTCCCTCTTCTCTTCTCCTCCTCTCCTTGTCGTCCATATTTAGCTGGATGGATAAAAGCTACTTACTTCGCAATGTCTTTACTATTCAGTTCTCCACCCTCTAAGGCGACGGCCTCCCTTACACCGTTCAAGGCCGCCATCCCTAAGGCCAAACTCGTCGAGCTCGAGACGTTGATAAAGATAGCGAAAGTAGCACCACCCACCTACGAGAATTCCCAAACAGACCACCGTTATGGTGTCAATAGGGATTGGCTAGTGAACATGCAGGATCAGTGGCTTCGGTCTTACGACTGGTAATGATACTACAGCCCACCATATGTACATCCCAATACATGTTGAGACTGAATTATTATACTAGGAAATCCTCCGAGGATCGAATCAACAGTTTCCCTCAGTACACTATGGAGGTTGAAGATCTTACAATTCATTTTGTAGGATTGTTTTCGGAAAAGAAGGATGCTGTTCCTATCATTTTGTTGCATGGATGGCCTGGTGGGTCTATCTTGGTCTTAACCTCACAACAGGAAAATGAGCAAAACAGAGACTGACATATCATTAAAGGGAGCTTCCTCGAGTTTTTGCCTATACTGCAGAGGTTCCGAGAGGAATACACGCCAGAAACCTTGCCCTATCACTTGATTGTACCTTCTTTGCCCGGTTACGCATTTTCCTCTGGGCCCCCATTGGATAGGGACTTTGGAACAGGTGACATCGCTCGTGTTTTTGACCGACTGATGAAAAACCTCGGCTTTGAGAGCGGATACGTTGCCCAAGGAGGTGATATTGGAAGTCAAATTGCCAGGCGTTTGGGCACGGAGCATGAAAGCTGCAAAGGTACGGAAAAGTCATGGTATTCCTTTTGCGGTGATTGAGCCTTCTCTGACAAGTTGTGTTATAGCTGTACACGGTAAGTGCTTTTTTCATCAAAGTTATTTAAAGACTAGAATACGAATATCAGCTAGTCAACGCGGTTTTCATGAAAAAGCCGGACGGCATGACAGACGACCACCTGAACGCCTTTGAATTACAGGGCATCGAGAATATGAAGAAATTCATAACTACGAGCGTAGGCTATGCGATTGAGCACGGCACTCGACCCAGCACCATCGGACAAGTTCTGGCATCGAGCCCTCTTGCTCTACTAGCGTGGTGAGTCGTGCAAAGCGAAGCGTAGTCAGCAGAAATCGCAAACCTGACACCTGCAGGATTGGAGAAAAGTTCCTGGATTGGGTCGACGATCCGCTTGCCCTAGAAGACATTTTGGAATCTGTCACCTTGTACTGGCTTACGGAGACGTTCCCGCGGGCGATCTATACTTACAGACAGGTGAATTTCCCTATTATTTTCGACTTCCATCAGCAGATATCTGATGTGGGTAAATAGAGCTTTCCTGCGCCACCGGTTATGATCGCCAATGACCCTCGTTGGTATATCCACAAGCCATTTGGATTTTCTTCTTTCCCTGGGGAGCATGTTCGACTGCCGCGCTCGTGGATTGAAACCACTGGAGACTTGGTATTCTGGGAGCAGCACCAGAAGGTATACGATGTGGCATTTGAAGAGCCGAGATTTGATACTGACGCTGTTTCATTATAGGGTGGTCATTTCGCGGCACTGGAGAGGCCTGATGAATTGAAGGCGGACCTAGTCAAGTTTGTAGATCAGGTGTGGCCAGGTATTAAGAGAGCCGACTAAGTTGAGACTAATAAGTAGGGCAGTAGAGCATTTGCCAATTGAGTTAAAATTGTCTGGAGTGGAAAGTATTCAGGAACTGTGAGTAGCTGATGCAATATTAACCAATGAGAGTATATTTAGTCGCCCGTCAACGTCGATTCCAATAGTAACATTAATTTAAACTACGTTCGCACTTTGTTATTGATATTTTTGCATTTCATTTTCTATCTCATATGTACTCCGAGGCAAATCAACCTTACTAAAGTACTCGTATCACAATAAACGATTCTTGGGACTAGTTCGAACGCATATTATCAACTAGCCAATGTTTAAACCGAAGCTTCGGGGGCTTCAGGTGAGGCTAAGGTATCCAACCAAAGCCAGGAAATGACGGCCTGGATGAGGCAGGTAATAGCTGCACCGGGTGAGTAAATTGAACGATACGTTATGGAAAGCATGACTCACCTAGTGCCACAGTCATGTAAAAGAAGCCAACTCCTTCGAATAGCGAGCCAGTCAATAGAGGCCCGAGCATCATTCCGAGACTATATCCTACTTCAGTCATGGAAAAGACTCGCAAGTTGCTTCTGTTGGCCTCGAATAGCTGCGCATCTTTAGTTTCCATGTCCTTGACAACATCTATTGAAAGTCACATTTGTTAGTGGAGGAACGAACTACACAAAATGTGATCACTCACAAGCCAGTTGCACGGCTCCTACGCCGCGCACAAGAGGTAGGATACTACCCAAGGCAATCAAACTGGTGGTAAAAATAGACTTTCCAGCTGCATCTCCTCCGGCCCATGGGAAGTGGGAGTCTCCGGGCATCCCTAGAAGTAAGATGAGAGGGATCATCGCAAGCCAGCCGAAGACAGTAGGTCCCCGTATTCCGACTCGATCGCGAAGCCATCCGGATGGACCGCTGAGAAGGATATTCGGGACTTGGAGACAGAAGAACATCATACTAATGAGTAAACTCTTCCAACCGAATGCTTGTCGCAGGTGGACAGGGAGAGTGTTGTTAATGCCAGACATGAGGGAGGAGACAACGACGACGTTGGCCAATCCGGTCAAAACACGTGGATCGGAGAGCATGATTCTGTAGTACTCATGTTTGAGGTCATGCTTGTTCTCCACTTTACAGTCATCTGGATTGACGGTAGACGGTGCCTCAGAAAGCAGTGCAGTCGTCTCTTCTGGGTCCACCTCATTGCTGACCACTGACACAACAGGCTTGCTCAAAGAATCAATTTTCTTTGACGATTCGAGGCCAGGCTCAATCATTACCAGGCGTGCAATGATATCCAAGACGAGTACGATCAAGGGAAGTGACCAGGCGGCCCAGTAGCCAAATAACTGGAGCAATGCGCCACTCACTGTTGGTCCGCCGACCATTCCTGCCGTTACAAATGACATGGCCATGCCCATCGACTGTCCAAGGTGTTGCTTGTCCACATTATTTGCCAATAGAGCAAATCCAACCACCCAAGTTCCGGCACCTGCCATGGATTGCAGGATGCGACCAAGGAAGAGAATCCAAACTGTTCACGAAATCAATTTCAAATAATCATCATCAAGTTTAAATATTCTCATACCGGATGGGGCAAGAGCAATCATAAGGGTCCCTATAAAACATCCTGCCAGGGCGATCAATAGTGGTTTCTTTTGGCTCGGAGTCTTCTCGGCAAAATGCGCGACAATCGGGGCAGAAACGAGACCAATGAACCCATGAGTGGTGAGCAATGCCGTAGTGAACGTCTGAGTCTGTGATGGATCCAGGTGCAGTCGTTCTTCAAGCATATAACTCAAGATCGGAGTAAGAAACCCGTAGAGAAATGTTTCTGATGGATGGTTAGCATGACTCAGAGTGAGAACCGTGAAACAACCACACACCTGCGAATAAGGCAACCGTGATGGACGAAACCACCAAAAGGCGAGATGAACGCCACCTGTAGCCCCATGGCTTTGTATCCTTGTCCATTTTAATATATTGAGAGTTTGACAAGAGAAGAATGAAAAAGTGGGGGGCAGAGAAGAAATTAGTTAAGTAGTTTTCAGGCGCTATGATCACAAATAGAATCCCATTATATCAAGCTAGCTCATGGAGATAACACTATTTTCGATTTCGTTTACGAGCCCTGCATGTTTAGTTCGTCTTTCTAGTGCCGGCAATGGCTTTCTATTGGTAATGCAGTTCAGATCGTGCTCGCGTCTAAGCCGAACACCCTGATCGATACCTCAATGCGCCTCTAATGCACCTCAAATGCAGCTACAAGGAAGGCAACACGGAAATCACAACGAGTGTGTCACACTTAGAGTTCACGCCCTTTTTGCAGATCCGTCTTATGTACTATGTACTATGTACAAGCATACACATCCTGCAATGGTATCCCGAACAGAACTTCAAGAGCTCACGGAACATTTACATTTCAATCGCGATTGATCCACTTACCCCATAAGTGTCGAGCTATTACGCAAATCTGCCAATGTATCTAGACGCACATAGCCCGTCGGCAACCGTCGGACCTGCCGCGGTCTTATGTACCAAGTATGACTAGGCAGATCAAAGTAGTATCGGCACCGTAGCTTGCGTGTTCGGTCCTCTGATCTGAAACTGGTAAACGGCTGAATCCTCACGGGGTAGAAAAACGGGGTCTACATGCAATGCGGTGAAACAATGATAGTTCGAGGGATAAGCCGCGGCGTGAGGCATGCATGAGACAGATCTTACTGCAAGTCCAACTTTGAGGGTGTATATCATCTTAAATTCTGATAGTAATGTATTGTTCTATTCAATATATATTTTCTCTTTGGAATTTACTTGGTAACTCCAAATGCAACCAATCCGGCATACCATCCTAGTAGGAACTATATATAGCGACTATAATGTAGTATCGGTTCTAGGCAATCGCTACAAACAGTGAGTCTTATTGGTGGGATACTCCGAAATGGCTAAGACCACTCATATAAAACGCCAAGTATACTTAGTACACATCCAGACTATCCTCTGTAGACGCGATATCCTCGACTTCAAGGTGGATATCTCACCGCCCCACTATGTGATTTTTGACTCCAAATCCTATCAACGCAACAGATTGAGAGCAACGAGATTGTCAAAGGATCTCATTTCGTTCATCGTGTGCATCGTCGGAGTGGAAATAGTGTGTCACGCGACTTGAACTTTTGATATACGTACCCTGTCGCGGTGACATTGTCGGACATATTCAAGACGCCACATTCCGCCCCCTCCGGAGTCGACAGCTAAACTCCGAGACTTGCAAGGGCTAAAATCATTCTAAATTCGGACTAGAGCAAAATGGGAAGCATTCAACATCCCCAGTCGGCGACTACAGTCTTTCTAGACCAGCCACCCAGTTGCCTGGAGTTCTGTCCCGAGGCCCCAGACTATTTCATCGTGGGCACCTACCTTTTATCAGAGAACAAAACTGAAGATGGAGGAATCGAGCAGTCCAAAACTGGGAGTCTACAACTATGGAAATTAGACCCTGTTAGCAAGACATTGTAAGCTAACCGCAATCAATCATATTACCTAGTATAACGCCCTCATAACAAACCCACTAACAGCACTTAGATCCCAAATCCAACGAATTGCCCTCCCATACGCAGTCTTTGACCTGCATTTCCACCCAAGACACAAGAACCTATTCGCAATTGCAAGCAGCGTGGGATCAGTGGCTCTATTCCAAGTATCCAACTCCACCACCGGAGACGCATCCGCAACTCCAACTCCAAGCATCACCGAGATATGGACGAAACAAGTACACGAAGACCCCTCAATCCCAGCCCTATTTCTCGCCTGGGCACCGCAAAACTGGTTCCCGCAGCTCGCAGCCGATGGCTTCGCCGTCACATTCTCAGATAGCCGGACAGCCGTCTTCGGGACAGAGGAGGACATCCGCCAAGAACAGAGTGTAGCCGAATGGGGTACATACGAAGCCAAACAGATGATCGAAGTCTGGTTTGTCGCATTGTCCACAAGCACCGGAAGCCCAACTGCGAAGTCCCCGATCCCGTTCATGTTCACGGGGAATGACTTCGGCTCGCTACACACGCGCCGTTTCGATAATACCGCCGAGTTGGATGATCCGGACGAGCATGTCTCGCCCATGCTGCTCGAGCATGATGATCGCGCCCGCCACCACACTGCTGGTGTCACTGCTATCTTGCCTCTTGATGTTCCCCTGGTCGATGATGCGCCGGTTCTTCTGACGGGGTGTTATGATGAGAGTCTTCGTGTGTACCATGCTACGCGGAGGGGAGAGGTTCTCGCTGAGCAGGGGCTTGAGGGTGGGGTTTGGCGACTGCAGTTGTTGGATACGACGAGGATTCCGGCCGAGGATGATGCGTCGAAGGTATCCGAGTACCGCTTTCTGGTGCTGGCGAGCTGTATGCATGCCGGGACGAGGCTTGTACGGGTTACGTGCAAGTACGAAGATAGGGCTCCGAATTGGGAGATTGAGGTTCTGGCGAAGTTTACTGAACATGAGAGTATGAATTATGCTAGTGGCGTGTGGGAGGGTGGACAAGATACTACTGAGATATTGTGCGTCTCGAGCAGTTTCTATGATCGCAGGCTCTGTGTCTGGACTGTTGATCTATAGTCAAATAAAAAGCCATGCCAAATTGGGAAGGCCATCTAGACGCTGAGACTATACCGTCAGCAGGTCCCGGTTTGTCGACTATTGTAATGCTACTGGAGATTCGTAAGCCGAAATTATTCTAACATGATTGTAGTCATGAACACGCTAGAGAATGCACGATGCATAAGCGACAGGTATACAAGTACAGCCGCGCCCGAAGACAATAAAAGAGTCATTCATATCCGAAAAAAGTATATCGTTCCCATTGAGCGTGTAATTAGACAATAGTCTCCAGCTCGCGAGCGTAACCCAAAGCATTCTCAATAACGGTGCCGCTAGCCACCAGAATATCCCGCTCAGACCTAGCAGTCGCCTCGGGCTCAACAGGGAAGTATATCCGACCGTCGCGGAGGATCCAGCCGCGCTGCTTGGCAAATTCGATCACTGCACCCTCAGACTCGAGGAAGAGGAGGTTCTTGGCGTTGGAAATGGGGAGGGAGGGGTATGCCTTCTCTGAGCAACCTGCGATTTCATTGCGGATAGTACCGATGAGAACCTATAAAGCTTATGATCAGTATGCTTGCCGACAGAGACATTGAGCTCGAGCTGAGCACGCATGCAACTTACATTTGAAAACAGACCAAAGTCTTCCGACGGAACACGTTCGGACTTCGTCTCCCTCCACACCTTGTCATAGCTTCCCTCCATCAAGTTGCGCTCCAGCTCAACTGGATACTTGATGCACGCATCATCCTCAACACTGCCACCCTTCAAGCACGCCTCTTCTACCAATCCCTCTAGCACTGTGTGGAAGTTGGCACTGTCACCCATGCTCAAAAGAAGAAGCAGATACAGCCCCGTAATCTTGCTGCGCTGGCTAGTGCTGAAGTCGAGTTTCGAAGAGCCCTGCCCGGGCAGACCGGCATGTCTCTCAAGATCGTAGAATGGCTGCAGTTGCTGGTAGTACCGTGTGAATAGCTGCGCGTCAGTCTGGCGGATGGAGGCGAGTGCTCCGAGTTCGAGGACTTGGCGGGCAAGGACGACAAGCTGGGGAGGTGTGGAGGAAGTCGGAATCAAAGCATTTTGCATAAGAAGAGCTCGCTTGGAACGGCTGAGAAGGTCGTTGGCGACGTCGAACTGTTTGCGCTCGATAGCACCGTGGAGCTCTGACACAAGGGACTGTAGATCGGACATGATGGAGATTGTGTGGGTTCAGGGCAATACTGAAAGGAAATAAGGCAGCCTAGCCGGTGTATGGCAAAGGCAGTAATTAAAGCAGCGGAAACGATAGAGAGTTTGGATTTTGATTGATGATTGTTGGCGACATTCCGATGCTCATGACGGAGCTGTGGTAGGCGGTCAGCGTGCAGTCACGTGTGGGCATTTTGATAGTCGCTGATGATGACTTCCACTACTACCACCACAAGTCAGGCTATATAATATTTGTTATTGGATTGAACCAAAAGATGGCCCAGTATCTTGACAGCTATATATACTATTCAAATTGATGTCTACGCATGGTCATCCGGCAATGCGTGTCCCGGATGGCATACGGATGTTTTAGCCTAGCTAGAACAGGTATGGCGCAATTCAAGCTTAGGTATCCAGGAAAATAGCAAAAGGTAAAGGTAGATGCATATCAACTCGATATAATTCTGAGAAAGTAATTCGTCACTCATCGCAGGCCCAGTGAGCCCGGCAAATCGAGTGACACAACGAACGTCATAGAATGCAGTGACAAACCTTCTGATATATATATCAACAGCCCATCGAGAGACTGCCTGTATATGTACTAATTATGTACTAATATCTAAAGCATACATCAAATTTATACTCAGTACAAGGTGATATGCTTCTGTTTGACTCCCTGGGAATTAGAGACCGGAAATTATCAGGATCCAGCTATAAGCTGTCAATCTAACCTCATGAACAGTCTCATACTTGTCCGACGGAACAAAACCTTACGTTGCAATGGTTTCAGGCTAGTGCTCCCACTGGGTATGATCAGCCCTCAGGGCTCAGAGCTTCTCACTCTTTGTCAATCTAGTAATAGAAAACAATCAAAACAAACCATCCCATATGGCATCCTCGATTTTAGGAACTTGCTACCTCTAGTCGTTCTCCAACATCCTTGAAGGGTAACATATATATGTGGTACAGTACAGAATGACGAAGTATAAAGTCAAGTTGATGGCCTGAAATCTACTCGGATCATCTGATTTCCGACCTCCGTGCGATGCGGGATGATCGACGTCACAGTGAAGCGCAGTGAGTATCGCGTCAATCTGACTTCAAAATAAGAAAATTTATATTGGATACTGTGGGATTGACTTTAATACAGCTCGACTTCTCGGATATCCGAACTTATTCTGGATTTTGCGCCCAAGGTGATTTATATAAATATTTGAATGTGGGGAAATACAGAGTGCCAATCATCTATCGCAAATCAGCTCGCCAGAATTCATTTAGCTTCAATATCGTGCGGGGTGGTATGATCAGCTCAGATCAAATCGACGTCATTGCTACATTCCCACGTATCTCACAGAGCCTCGACCTTCCCCAGTCTTTCATCTCCGCTTTCAATACTGAACCAACATTTTGCAAACGCCATGGCTGAAGCAGAAACACAACCACGTCGACTGTCGGCGGATAACCAATCAGTTTCGAAAGCCGATGTTTCTATGAAGGAACGCTTCTTCCGCTACTTCCAGCATGAGATCACCGGTATGTTCCCGTTGGTATTCAGACGCTACATCATTATCAAGCCACACAATTTCAAAAGACCCTTGCTAATGACATTCTTCTAGATTTGCAGCAGGAGATGGATCGGCTTGCAGATACGTCTCTCGTGGGTGGTGAACGTGCCGATGCAACAGACCACTGCCTTGCCGGGATCGTACGGTTATCCAATGAGGTCAAGGATGCAGCGAGCTATATCCCCACTTATGATCAGAGGGTGTACGCAGAGGTAAACGCGACTCACAATATACCCAATAGAGCAGAGCTGACATAATTACAGGCAATCAAGGCTTTGCAGGATCGATTGAGCGAAATACGTGCAACATTCGAGCCCCGATCCAAGTTTAGCTTCAAGAACAAGAAAAACACCTCTGCTGTATCTTTGTCTGATGCTGCCGTGCTGGCAGTTGAAGGACGGCTTAGCATCCCTGGGTACCACTCTCCAGGTGCCTCGTCTATTGACTCGTCCGCCAACCACACACCCAACTATCCTTCCACCCCACTGAACGAGCCAGACAAGCAGCAACAAGAGCGACCGGAGCTTGCGCCCACTTCATTCCCAGGTGGCCCGGTCGGGGACTTTAGCACAAATTCCCAGTCGGAGAATCCTCCCCCTGGTGCGTTTGCGGCCACCGGCGTATCCTCTGTGTCGGTCGATGACCATTATGGCCTTCATATTATGCTTCCGGCCTCTGGGTCGTCACCCACAGTCCCGGTATCAATCACCTCCTTGAATCGCTGCATCGTGGATATGTCCATTCCTACCGCCAACGGAAAGCCATACGCCAGTCTGACTGCCAAAGGGATCAAAGAAAGCTTATTGATCTGTGGTCAAGTCAATGGCCCCGCACACATCACCGGTGTTAAGAATAGCGTGATCGTGATCTCATGTCGCCAGTTCCGCATGCACGACTGCAGCGACGTTGATGTCTATCTCAGCTGTTCTAGCAACCCCATCATCGAGGACTGTTCCAATATTCGGTTTGGTCGGATCCCGAAGGCCTATGTCAGTGTTCTCCTCGTCGCTATATCTTTTGGGTTTAACTTACATTCTTCTATCTAGGCTTTGAGGCATGACCGTCCCGATCACGAAGACCGTTGGAGCCAGGTCGAAGATTTCAAATGGATTAAGCAGGAGCCTAGTCCAAACTGGAGGCTGCTCGACCCCAACGATGCCGTTCCTGAAGAGGTCTGGGCAGAGATTGTTCCCGGCGGGCCGGGATGGTCTCTTGAGGACATCTTGCATGCCATTAATGTAGTCCCAAACTAGTTTTATCCGCTTGGTCGTTCGATGTCTTACTTCCTGCTTTAATGGACATGTTCCTGCAGGACGCATCCTCGATATCAATTGTCATCATGCGCTCACGAGATTGATTACGCCATTTCTACTTCGAATAATTTCAAGTTCTACTCTTTTATTTTTGATGCCACCATTATCAATTACGATTTTTTGCAATGTTTGAATTTGTGGAAGGATTCAAGGTTATTGCGTTACTTCAGCATGTACTTGTAGACTCAGCTATATATCTGTAACTACACACAGAAATATACGAGATTGACGAAGGAGCATATACTGACTTGAGTGTAATGTACAATCTCTCATTTAGTGGGAGAGGAATATATATTTTAGGCGCCTATGCAGCCTAGTAGTCTGACAGTATGAAAACGTTTTTCATGCTAACATTACGCTAGCCTTTTGGATGTCGTTTATAGCCCGGAGGATGAAGATAATTGGCAAATTACAGAATAAGACATAAAACGCCTTTCCAGGTTTAAATGTGATCAATAACATTACTTTTGAGAGGTAGACTAGGTCACTGTTTGTGATCTGCAAAAGTTCAAGGATTACGCGTTCCAAGTTGTGGGCACTTTAGGGTAATTCTTCGCGTGGTAGCCCAGGTCTTCATAGACGGTTGCATCTCCTAGGATTCAGGTCAGTCTCAGGATCAACAGAAAATTAACGTCGCAACATACCTTGGAGGGAATCAACCCGATGCTCGTCTTCGTCTGCCATTTTCTCCAATTCCTGACCAGGCTCTTCCTCCTTAGGCTGTTTATCACCCATAGAAGACGCAGCCTTGCCAAGGTCATTCTGCGCCGAGCCGATCATGAGGAATTGAGAATAAGGATAGTCCAAGAACTCTGGCTGCAGAGGCACCCATCGGAGATCTCCGAATTTCTCAAGTACCCTAACGAGAACAATGTTAATATGAGAATATTTAAATCACTCCATGGAAGACAGCTTACGATGGAGGGAATTCTGGATTCTTTGGTAATTGACCAACTGGTGGACCAGGAAACTTGGGACTCTTCGACTGGACGATCCAACTTCCGCGTTCTTGCAGGCCAAAGTCCTCCTGGACATCACCCAACTCGGCCGGAATGGTCAGGATATAGGCGAGATGGGATGCCCGAGGTGCGGAGGTGATCGCGTAGACACCCTCCGCGTAGGGTCTGGCTGCCTCGGTATGACGTTCACCTCGGGTGGAAGTCTGGTAGGTTTTACCAGCGATGAAATTATCGTGGAGAGCTTGCATGGATTGTCCAGCCTTCTCCACAAATCCCATTTCTCGTTCTCTGGAAGAGGTCGGAAACTTCTTTTTCGGGAGTATCATCAACCGACACGAGGCGTCTTTTTCGACGGAGTCTTGGCCGTTGTCGAATTCCGCTCCAAGGGCGGTTGGACGGAGGACAAAGAAGCTCCGCGCGACATCGCCGAAACTTTCAGGCTCGTCTACATCGACGCGTGGGCGGAAGAAGAAGTAGATGAAGCCTTTTTCGAGAATGTTGGAGGGTACTAAGTTTTCCCTCTCCTCGGACTTATGAAGACCTCCCTCAATTCCTTGCGGTTTCTCCGGATGGCTTTCGACTGGTTTCACCGTCGATGCTTGTCCTTCGGGTGGTTCTTCTGTCTTGACAGGTGCTTCTTCTGTCTTGACAGATGCTTCCTCTGTCTTCTGCACTGGACGGTCTACCGATGTACCCGGTACTTCCTCCTTTTTCAATTCGTCTGGCTTTATATCCTCCGTTTTCTCCTTTTTCGGCTGTGGAGCTTCATCGCCTGAAGCTCTCCGCTTTGTTCCCTTGGAAGTCTTGCCGGTCGGCTCGGCGGAAGTTGAAATGGCCTCCTTGGCCTTCTGAGCAGCGTGGCGTGAGGATGTCCGTGTAGCCATGATGAATGGTGGATTTTGTGGACGATGGTGAAGATCAAATCTGATGAAGCAATGGGATTTAGCCCCTAGGGCTGTAATGAGATACAGATGACGTCATGTCGTACGTTGCAAGTCCGCATCCGTGACTTTGCTAGAAATGACCGCTCAGAATGCCATTATAATAGAAGTTTCAGTCGATATCCATCTCATCGGCCATGGGCCAGTTGTTCATGGGGTCGTTGCCGTTCAAGTCGATCGATGCTGTCTCCGAACCGGAGCTTTCATTCTCGTTGGCTTCCCGGAAAGCGCCAAATGAGTCTATGTCTTGAGCATGCCACTTTGGAATTTCGCTAAACCTTTGCCTTTTGGGACGATGCTCATGAACCTCGGTCTGGGTCTCGGCCGACGCATGTCCTTGTGCGAAAAACGGGTAGCATTGTTGTGTAGCGAGAGTGTTGTGGGCTGGCTTTCTCTTCTGTCCTCTCTTTCGCGCCGAAATAATTGTATTGCTATTCGATCCATCGGGTTCGTAGCCCATGTCATTCAGGTAGTCTGTCAAGTCGCGCTGCCATCGTTCGAACCGATCCGGGAGGCATAGTCGATCTACCCTGGGTAGGCTAGTTTCTAACTCATCATCAGGCTCTTCGATATCGTAGGGCTTGATGACTCGAATTTTGTCACTGTCCTCGAGCGGATCCATGTCATGCGCAGGCGTTGAGGGTCCTGAGTCGTCCATACTCTGCTCCCTTTCCTTGGGCTGATGGTCTGCTGCAGCATCAGAAGTAAGGTCGGCGAAGTATTCAATGGGCTCCTTAAACTTGTCAGGACTCGTATCATTCATTGGAAGGTCTTCCATTATCTGATATCAAGTCTTGAACCCAAACGGCGTTGACATGGCAATCCGAGGTAGACGGTCAAGTTGCAAAAACCATAACTGAGCTCCCAAGGCAGGAATGATGGAGTATGTGACTGGAGAAATGTATGCTATTAAAAAATAAAGTACAATGAAGAGATCAGGAAAATCGCACGAGAATGGAACGCGCAAGAAAGCCATGGTCGCTATAACATCATGGCCTTCCAGATGCTTCTAACGTGGGGGTGATAAATAACCGCATATATGTCCACTCGACGTTGAACTTTGGATGCCGGTTCGAAAAAAGAGAAACCATAATAGGAATGCAATATACTATGAGAATATATCACGATTCCACTTCGACCCTGATCTAAAAATAATCAAGTCTCTTTGGACAGCGTAAAGATCGAGACCAGCTCCCCTGACCTCTCACCGCCCGGCAGCATGATTGGCCGATGTCATTCGCTTCCACAATAGAGTCCACGTTTAGTTAACTGCTACACTAACACAAGCATCAAGTGTTTACCTTTCGCTCTTTTCTTTCTTTCAGGTGGATGCGGTGGTCGCCTCTGCCTTATATTGCTCTCTAGTGTGCGGAGCTTGCTACTTTACAGTGCGGCTCCGGCCAAATCTTCAAGATGCAGTCCTCCCCAAACATGCTCACCAAGGTACACCCCCTCGGGCATCTTAATGCGCCATCGAACAATGGGACTCAATTGAAGATGCTAATCATTCTCTCAATTGTTTAGTTTGAGTCCAAATCCTCCAGAGCTAAAGGAATCGCGTTCCATCCCAAACGGTCAGTCAATCCCGCGGAGGGACACCTAACACCTCAAAGTGCTCAATCTGACCACAAAACAGACCATGGATCCTCGTCTCCCTTCACTCATCCACAATCCAACTGTGGGACTACCGTATGGGAACTCTTATCGACCGATTCGAAGAACACGATGGCCCGGTTCGCGGCGTTGACTTCCACCCAACCCAGCCCCTGTTTGTATCGGGAGGTGACGACTACAAGATCAAGGTCTGGAACTACCAGACTCGGAGGTGCTTGTTCACATTGAATGGCCACTTGGATTATGTGCGAACAGTTTTCTTCCACCCCGAGCTGCCCTGGATTCTGTCTGCGTCCGACGACCAGACCATCCGAATCTGGAACTGGCAAAATCGGTCACTCAGTAAGATGCATTGGAGCTACCTGCAATAACATCGACTAACACGTCTACTCTTTTTAGTCTGTACGATGACCGGTCACAACCATTATGTTATGTGCGCTCAGTTCCACCCCACCGAGGATCTCATTGCCTCGGCCTCGTTGGATCAGTCAGTTCGCATTTGGGATATCTCCGGCCTGCGGAAGAAGCACTCGGCCCCAACCTCGGTTTCCTTCGAAGACCAAATGGCAAGAGCCAACCCAAACCAAGCCGATATGTTCGGAAACACCGATGCAATCGTTAAATTTGTGCTGGAAGGTCATGACCGTGGTGTTAACTGGGTCTCGTTCCACCCCACACTACCCTTGCTCGTGTCAGCCGGTGACGACCGGTTGGTTAAGCTCTGGCGCATGAGTGATACTAAGGCATGGGAAGTCGATACTTGCCGCGGCCATTTCCAGAATGCCTCCGCTGCTCTGTTCCACCCGCACCAAGACCTCATCCTTTCCGTCGGCGAAGATAAGACGATTCGCGCATGGGATCTCAACAAGCGTACATCCGTTCAGTCCTTTAAGCGCGACCTTGATCGATTCTGGGTTATCGCTGCCCACCCCGAGATGAACCTGTTTGCCGCGGGTCATGACACTGGTGTTATGGTCTTCAAGCTCGAGCGAGAGCGCCCTGCGTCTGCTATCTACCAGAACCAGCTGTTTTACATCACAAAGGATAAGCACGTCAAGTCATATGACTTCAGCAAGAACGTCGAGTCGCCGCCGTTGCTTTCGCTGCGCAAGCTGGGTTCCCCATGGGTCCCCCCACGTACCCTCTCTTACAATCCCGCTGAGCGTGCTATTTTGGTTACCACGCCCGCCGATAATGGAACTTATGAACTGATTCATCTCCCCAGAGATGGTACTGGGGCTGTTGAGCCTACAGATGTTAAACGTGGACAGGCTACTTCGGCAGTCTTCGTCGCCCGCAACCGCTTTGCCGTCTTCAGCCCCTCGACCCAACAGGTCGATATCAAGGATCTTAGCAACTCCACAACGAAGACAATCAAGCCCCCAGCGGGCACAACCGACATCTACTTTGGTGGTACCGGATGTCTGCTCTTCATCACCCCTACACATGTTACTCTTTTCGACATTCAACAAAAGAAGCAGCTTGCAGAGCTTGCTGTCAGCGGGGTGAAGTATGTGGTGTGGTCTAACGATGGATTGTACTGCGCTTTGCTCAGTAAACACAACGTCACTATCGTGACCAAGACACTCGAGCAGGTTAGCACCTTGCACGAGACTATTCGCATCAAAAGTGCTACCTGGGATGACGCCGGTGTCCTGCTTTACTCCACCCTTAACCATGTGAAGTACTCCCTTCTCAACGGTGACAACGGTATCATCCGCACTCTTGACCAGACTGTATACCTCGTGCGCGTCAAGGGACGCAATGTCTATGCTCTTGACCGCAACGCCCAGCCACGCATCTTGGAGATTGACCCGACTGAGTATCGTTTCAAGCTTGCCCTTGTGAAGCGAAATTACGACGAAATGCTTCAGATTATCAAGACCTCGAGTTTGGTTGGCCAGAGCATCATCTCTTACCTGCAGAAGAAGGGTTACCCGGAGATTGCTCTACAATTCGTTCAAGACCCTCAGACTCGCTTTGACCTTGCCCTTGAATGTGGTAATCTCGAGGTCGCCAATGAAATGGCACGGGAACTCGACCGTCCCAACTTCTGGACCAGACTTGGAGCTGAGGCATTGGCTCATGGTAACCATCAGATCGTCGAAATGACTTACCAAAAGCAGCGTAGCTTCGACAAGCTCTCTTTCCTCTACCTCTCTACCGGTGACCAGGAGAAGCTTTCTCGTATGGCCAAGATCGCCGAACACCGTGGCGACTTCACCTCTCGTTTCCAAAACGCCATCTACCGTGGCGACGTTGAGGACCGCATTCAGATGTTCAAGGAAGTGGACTTGTGTATGTACAACCCTAGTGCCGATTGTTTCTTTCATACTAATTCTCGCAGACCCTCTCGCCTATCTTACTGCCAAGTCAAATGGTCTGGTTGAAGAGGCCGAGTCCATTTTGGAGGCTGTTGGTCTCACCGAAGATCAGATTGTCCTACCTACACTCGATCAACCTCTGAAGGTTCCTCACCCTATTGTACCCACTTTCAATTCCAATTGGCCCGTTAAGGCTGCCGGTCACTCGTCCTTCGAGAAGGCTCTTCTTGGAGAAGTTGGTGTTGCTGATGAGGAGGCTGGCGCTGTTGGATTCGAGATTGAGGAAGAGGAGCAAGAAGCTGATGTCGCCCGGGAAACCCTCGATGATGACGAAGAGGCAGTTTCCGGATGGGATATGGGTGATGATGTTATTGTTGAGGAAGAAATCGACTTTGTCAATGTGGAAAGCGCCGAAGCTGGCGCCGGCAGTTCTGAGGCTGATTTGTGGGCTCGTAACTCCCCGCTGGCTGCTGATCACGTCGCCGCTGGCTCTTTTGACACTGCGATGCAGCTCTTGAACCGTCAAGTTGGTGCCGTTCAGTTCGCTCCTCTCAAGCCTCGCTTCCTCGAAGTTTACAAGGCGACCAAGACCTACCTCCCGGCGACTGCTGGTCTACCGCCTTTGATCAACTACGTGCGCCGGACCATCGACGAGACTGACTCCCGGAAGATGCTTCCCATCATTCCCCGAGACCTAGAGACCGTTGCCAGTGTTGACTTGCAAGAGGGTTATGCCGCTATGCGGTCCAACCGATTGGAGGAGGGCGTGGCAACATTCAAACGTATTCTTCACACTGTTCTCGTTAACACCGTGTCATCCGAAGCCGATGTGGATGAAGCGAAGAAGATCATTGCCACTGCTCGGGAATACATTCTCGCTATGTCGATCGAGCTCGAGCGCCGTACTCTCTCTACCAACTCCCCTGAGGATCTCAAGCGCAGCCTTGAATTGTCTGCCTACTTCACAATTCCCAAGCTCGAGGTCGCTCACCGACAACTAGCGTTGATGGCTGCCATGAAGTTGGCCTTTGCCAACAAGAACTACGGCTCAGCCTTGAGCTTTGCCAACCGGATGCTGGCTAATGGAGGCTCCGCTAAACTTTTGGAACAGGTAAGAATTCTTAAAGTTCAATTTTCCACTTATAATATACCAATGCTAATTATGAAAAACAGGCCAAGAAGATCAAAGCTCAATGCGAACGCAATCCTCAAGACCAGATCGACATTGACTTCGACCCCTTCGCCGAGTTCGATATCTGCGCTGCGTCCTTTACCCCTATCTATAGCGGCTCTCCCAGTGTCTCAGATCCCTTCACCGGCGCCAAATACCATCCCCAATACAAGGGAAGTGTCGACCGGATATCAGAGGTTACGGAGATTGGTGCCCCGGCCAGCGGCCTACGCCTGTTCGTCCCCAGTCAGTTTTAATTGCCGCATGACGAAGCATAACGGTTTTTTGCCTTTTTTCTCTTCTTGAAATGAAGTTACAAAATGGGTACATTTTCATCTGCACGAGGAGAAGTTGTGTTTGGCGGCGCTATTCATTTTTTTTGGCTGGGAGAAAGACAAACCTTCCTGCACACAGTACCAGTCCCCTTGTCTAGATGTCTTTTTGTATCCAAGATTATAATTGCTTAGCGATCTAGTTTGTATGCGAACATGTTTTGTCCAAAAGCTCTATCTCCTAGGTATTGCCCAAAGGTCTTGTCTTCGCCTGGTATTCATGTATTACCCGCTTAGTAGTGATAAAAGCAATCCGTCTTTATTTGCCAAATATGCATATCTAATGTACAAGGGAGATCTAAACCGAAGAGTAGAGAGAAGACCACTCCAACAAAAACACCATAAACGTACAGTTCAATTACACCGACCATCTTTCCACCCAGTTCGCCACCTCTCTTCCCACAATCGACAATCAAACTCCTTCTTCCCAAGCTTCCGATTGACCTCATTATGCGCCTCGCACATCCACCACCCAAACTCCTTCCGGCTCTCCAGTCTCGGCTGATTCCGCCCACTCGGATGCGCCATCCATCTCTGGAAATCATCCGCGCACACCCAGCAAGGGTACAGCTTTGAAAAGAACTTCAAGAACCCGCCCATATTAGCCTGGTGTTCCGTATCTGCCTTTTCGGGGTATGTGGCTGCCATCGAGTGCAATAGTGTCCATGTGGAGCGACCTAGCTCTTCGACGTCTGGCGGGCAGTCTGAGGGAGTTTCGCTCGGGGAGGGGGTTGCAGCGGCGGCCAGAGCTGGCGTTGAGGTCGTCATTTTGCCTGTGTTCGAATTGGGGGATGAGGTAGCGTTGGAGTTTGCATTCTTGAGTTCGGCTTGCTTGGTCAATGCTCGCCATGAGGCGACGGAGGTGCAGGTGCGGCAGCTGTAAGGTGGGTATATTAGCGCCGATCTCGGTTACGGCTAGTCGTAGATACGTACGGCTTTCCATCTTTGTCCAGGACTACACCCTTGGGCAATGGCGCGGCTTTCGGGTCATCGTCTCCGGTTGGCTTGGAGGAGCTTGCGGAGTTCGCGGGGGTTTGCTGGTTGAATATGGACCCTGTGCCTTTATATTGACTACTGACTTCCGGTGGAGCCGATGCCATTTTTCACCTGTGATTATTTGAATCCCTCGACAGATTGGTGATTTGGAGTGGTGAAAGTGATTCGAGGTTGATTTCTAATGGATTGCGGAGAAACACCGGAGGCGAGAAAGAGGTAATAGTGACGGATATTTGGCGCAACAGTCAGTAAAGAGAACTTGGAATAAGCTAGCAAGATCCTTAGAATCAATGAGCTTTGAATATGTAGATCCAGAAACTGAGCCCTTGAGCAAGAGTCGCAAATGACATACAAGTCTAATGTCATGCCGATCAATCTCGATCCGGCTTTGTCATCCATTCACACGCGCTCGCTCAACCCAGACGCGCTCAAGTTCGCAGTTTGATTGAGATAAATAAATATCTTTCTTCTATTACTCTGCTCTTTGGTCCTTATTTCCTCACATATCGTCCGAGGAACTGGACGATTCATACGAACTCGCTCCTACACCATTAACCTCCTTTCGATCGCCATAGAGTGACATAAACATGCCGCCGAAGTATACGTTGTCCGACTCTGAAGCTGAGGGTGAGGCACCCAGCACTCCCTCTCATCAGATTCTCGAGAAGAGCCTTCGTGACCAAGTGGCTGCAATCTTCAAGGCGGGAAATTTGGAGGAATTGACCGTGAAGCGCGTGCGACTTGCTGCGGAAAATTCACTAGGTCTCACAGCGGGGTACTTCAAGACTACAGGTGACTGGAAAGCGCGGAGTGAAGATATAATCAAGGACGAGGTGGTGAGTCTTTGTTTGCATTTGCAGTGCTTCTTTAGCTTGCGCAGCTTCAGCGGAAAGACACTGATTGCGATGCTTTTACAGGGAATACAAGATCAGGCAATATTAGATCCACAATCACAAACACCTTCTCCCTCGAAGGCCAAGCCTACTGCCCTTGCGAAACGAGCAAAATCCGAGACCGCAACAAAGCCCAGGAAGCGCCAGAAGACTAAGACGCCGGTATCCGATGAGGAAGATGAGCTACCGGCCCCGCCATCCGAGACTCATGAGGTCACAAAGCCCAAGAATCGATCGAAGGCACCTATAAAAAAGGCACCCGGGAAGAAGGTCTCTGTACAAAAACACAAGGACATGTCAGACGGTTCTGACTTCCCTGGTGATGAGAGTGATGATGTCGCAAAGCCGAATAAACGATCGAGCACGCCAGTGACGAAGTCCCCTTTGAAGAAGTCGCCAGCAAAGAAGGCCTCCGTACCAAAACTCACCGAGGATGTATCAGATGTTCCCGACGATGCTTTGAATGCCACAAAAATGACCAAAGATACCAAAGATGATTCGGAAAGCGAGATGTCGGTGGTGCTTGACGAAGAGCCCCAGCCCAAGGCCCCACGCAAGCGACAAAGAAGTGCCGGAGAAACTGCAACCAAGACGAAGAAGAAAGCGACCAAAGCCACCAAAGCCAAGGAGGAGGATATTAGCCCGGACCAGGCTGAAATCAAACGACTACAAGGATGGCTCGTCAAATGCGGGATCCGTAAGCTTTGGGGTAAAGAGCTGGCGCCATATGACACCCCCAACGCCAAAATCAAGCATCTCAAGGGGATGCTTCAGGATGCTGGAATGACTGGCCGGCCATCTCAAGAGAAGGCAAACCAGATCCGCGAAGAACGGGAGCTGAAAGCGGATTTAGAGCAGATCCAGCAAGGCGCAAAACAATGGGGTGCTGTGAGTGACGAGGATAATGATGAGGAGGCGAAGCCTCGGCGTAGGCTGGGTCGGGGACGACAGTCGCTTGCGTTCTTAGAGAGTGAGGGCGAAGAGACTGATTGATGGATAGCATAGGGTCCGTAATGAATGAATTTGTCGGACTGGTTGAGCTGTGATGAAATCGGATGATGCGTTTTATCACTATGTATTTCATACTTCATAGTTCATAATGTCCAAAAATATAGCAATAGGAGTCTCCCTCATCACCCGACTTTCGGTCTACTCATGCGCTGCGCAGTCAGGCTGAAGATGGCAACAGAAGAGATAAAGAGGACGAGATTGTAGAACTAAACTTGTTAGCATGATCAAATCGACTCGAGGGGTCCATTGACATACTGCTTTTCGCGAGTACTCGTTCTCCTCCGCCTCGGTTCTAGCCTCGACAAAGAGGCGTCGCAAGTTAGGGAGGTTAGCCTGCAGAAGTGTTAGTCTTGGTGGTTGGATAATTTGACTGATGTAGAATAAATACCATTTACACCGTGATGGTCTGGACTAATGGCAAAATAAATGAAAGAGAGAGTTGATGGCCATAGAGCGGGAGAGTCCAGAAGCCACCATTTGTGGACAACTTTGATCGTCCGAAACACCCTTTCTCTCCTTCGCCCCCATTCCTCCTCGAAATCTACCCACCCCGGATTGTTCACGCACCTCTCTGTGTTTGCGGACAAAGTGACGAACAATCTCGACAGATTCCATTCCCTGACCTCGCGCGACCGTGAAGCTCCCAATCCCCCGCAGTCGCCAAACGCTACTCGATTCCCACCCCAATCCCATATCTCTAGGCGGAGGCACGACCTAGTCGTTGCTGAAGCTTATACATCCTCGCCATGGCGATGAACAAGATCCGCGGCGCCTTTGCGGTGCCTCGGAAAGGAGAGACATTTGAATTGCGAGCTGGACTTGTGTATGCGGCCCCCTCCACCATGCGCTGGCCACCTTGCCATGGCGAATGATGGATGATATTAACTATTATGACAGTTCCCAGTATGCGTATGAACGGTATGTATGGCAGTGAATCCTCAGTCTGCCCCTGGTAGTATATGACGGAGACGTGGTTTGGCTGACAATGCAACAGGAAGGAATCCATTCAAAAGACAATCATGGCCATGACCCTAGGAAAGGATGTTTCGGCCCTGTTCCCGGATGTTCTCAAAAACATTGCTACGTCCGATCTTGAGCAGAAGAAATTGGTCTACCTCTATCTCATGTGGGTACCACCGTACAACTCAAGGTGGCTACGTATGCTGATCGGTCGAATCTCACTTTCAGGAACTACGCCAAATCGCACCCTGATCTATGTATTCTCGCCGTGAATACCTTCGTGCAAGATTCGGAAGACCCCAACCCACTGATTCGTGCGCTAGCAATCCGGACAATGGGTTGTATTCGGGTGGAGAAGATGGTGGACTACATGGAAGAACCGCTGCGCAAGACCCTCCGAGACGAGTCGCCATATGTTCGCAAGACCGCTGCGATCTGTGTTGCCAAGCTTTTCGATCTGAACCCGACAATGGCCATCGAGAACGGGTTCTTGGAGATGCTTCAGGAGATGATTGGAGACCCCAACCCCATGGTCGTCGCCAATTCAGTGACCGCACTTCAGGAGATTCAGCACACAGCACCCGAGACACATGCTCTACAGATTACTGGTAACACTCTGCGGAAGATGCTGATGGCTTTGAACGAGTGTACGGAATGGGGGCGCGTGACTATTCTCTCAACTTTGGCCGAGTATAAGACTACCGACGTGAAAGAGTCGGAGCACATTTGTGAACGAGTCGCTCCTCAGTTCCAACATGTTAATGCCGGTGTGGTTCTTGCGGCAGTCAAGGCTGTGTTTTTACATATGAAGAACGTCAACCCTGACTTGTCGAAGACCTACCTAAAGAAGATGGCTCCGCCATTGGGTATGCTCCCACGCTGCTCTCATTGCACTTATTTTTTACTAATTCTGTATAGTTACATTGGTTTCATCAGCCCCCGAGGTGCAATACGTTGCATTAAGAAATATCGACCTTATCTTGCAAAAGGAGCCTGACATTCTCAACAAAGAGCTCCGTGTTTTCTTCTGCAAATACAATGACCCCCAATATGTCAAGTTCCAGAAACTTGAGATTATGGTACGCATAGCGAACGATCGCAATGTGGACCAGCTCCTTGCTGAATTGAAGGAATATGCCCTTGAAGTCGATATGGACTTTGTCCGTCGAGCTGTGAGGGCAATCGGCCAGGTTGCCATCAAGATTGAGAGCGCCAGCGAGCGGTGCGTCAACACGTTGTTGGATCTCATTAACACCAAGGTGAACTACGTCGTTCAGGAAGCGATTGTTGTCATCAAGGACATCTTCCGGAAATACCCTGGCTACGAAGGCATCATCCCGACTTTATGCCAGTGCATTGATGAGTTGGATGAGCCCAATGCTAGAGCAGCACTCATCTGGATTGTTGGAGAGTACGCCGAGAAGATTAGCAACGCGGGTGATATCTTGAGTGGCTTTGTAGATGGTTTCAACGAAGAATTCTCTTCGGTTTGTTTTTCCTCCTGGTATATGCTACCACCTCGACTAACCTATCTAGACACAATTGCAAATCCTCACAGCTGTGGTCAAACTCTTCCTCAAGCGGCCCGAGAAGGCACAGGGCCTGGTACAGCGGGTACTCCAGGCTGCGACATCCGAGAACGATAATCCAGATGTCCGTGACCGAGCGTATATCTACTGGCGTCTTCTGTCCAACACCAGCGATCCAAACGCGACAAAGAACATCGTGCTCTCGGACAAGCCCCCTATCGTCACCACGATACATTCACTGCCACCGGCACTCCTCGACCAACTCCTTTCCGAACTGTCTACTCTCTCTTCCGTCTATCACAAGCCCCCCGAGCAGTTTGTCGGCCACGGCCGATTTGGCGCTGACGCCGTCATGCGCGCTGCTATCGAGTACGTATTCAATTCCCTGTTTTTGTCGAATATGTCGCTAACCACTTCTCAGGGAACAAATCCAAAACGCGCGCGAGAACCCATTGGCCGCGGCTGCTGCCGCTGCCGCTGGCGGCACCGCAGGCCCCGCACAGTCGCAAAACAACGTCGAGAACTTGCTGGACATCGATTTCGACGGTGGTGCCCCTGCCTCCGCACAAACCGAGCCTTCTGGCGGCCTGTCCGGCCTGGAGGGTCTGGCTGGTACCCCCGTACGTGTAGCGTCCCCTACAGCTGGTACCCCGACAGCCCAAACAAGCAACAACCTGGATGATCTCTTGGGCGTGTTTGGAGACTCTGGTGCTGCTCAACCCTCATCGAGCGGTGCCAACAGCAGTGATATCATGAACGGATTCTCTGGTCTTGATCTCTCTGGTAATGCGGGTCCTTCTTCAAACAACCAGACTAAGAAATCCAACGACGACATCTTGTCACTCTTCTAGAGCAATGGCAGTGATGGTATAGCCAAGTGTGTTTAGCCCACCTACTGGTTGATGTTATTTCGGGTGTTTTCGCAAGCGAGCATCTGAATTGAACGAGATAGATTGTTTTCTTTTAGTTGTTTAATTTTGCTTGCATCTTTACCGGACTTCAAAAGGCCTGTACATTTCTGCCCCGAATATCAATTTCTTTATGAGTTTTTGGCAAAGCTGCCCTCATAGAATAGCATTTACCGACCATCCCTTGTAGTGGAGAGATAGGCCAGCGAGATGCAAATAGCCTCCCGCTTTTTCTCGGCCGATGCAAGCCACAACTCCACCGCGTGCGAAAAATAGGAAGAAAACCTCATCCCTGCGCTTTGACCCCACAAATCTCTGACTTCTATGCATGAAGTATATCGTCCAATGTATTACAGCAGATTCTGTCTATGCAGGAGATATGTACTATGCAGATGCTGCTATGCTAGCCCAACTTATCTCCCCTACTCCACCTAGATAGACATCACACACGTTATGGGCCACTGGGCCAGTATGGGCCCCTCAAATTGCGAATTCACACAAAACGGATCCATCGGATAAGAACGCGGCTTACCAATTAGTGATTATACCGAGGTTTTTCCAGTGTCAAACGCCGAGTTGGGATCGGGGTTCGGACCTGTCCCGCGTCCAAGCGTATAAATAGGGCAAAGCTCCCGGAAAAGTGGTGCACGGTGAACACTTCCAATCCGACAACATGGCGGAAACAGACTACAAATTCGAGGGCTGGATGGGTCTCGACCCTAGTGCCGGCGAGGGCAAGATGGTCTGGCAAGAATTCGAGCCAAAACAATGGGAGGAGACCGATGTTGATATCAAAGTGTCTCACTGCGGCATCTGTGGCTCTGATTTGCACACTCTTCGGAGTGGCTGGGTATGTTTTATGTTTTCCGTACAGACGCAGCGTTGTGCAATATCTGTATAAAAATTTTAAAAAAACCAGCAAACTAACATTCCACAGAGACCCACTGCCTACCCCTGCTGCGTAGGCCACGAAATTGTCGGCACGGCCGTGCGCGTGGGTAGCAAGGTATCCGACATCCAGCTCGGCGACCGCGTCGGTGTCGGTGCGCAGAGCGAGTCCTGCCTCGGCCGTCTCGGCGACTGCGAGGAGTGCGCATCAGGCCTGGAGAACTACTGCTGCAAGAAAGTCGTCGGCACGTACAACAGCGTCCACTACGACGGCAGCAAGTCGTACGGCGGGTATGCCAGGTACCACCGTGTGCCTGGCCACTTCGCCATCAAGATCCCCGATGCCATCTCGTCGGCTGATGCTGCGCCCATGCTGTGCGGCGGCGCCACCCTCTACAGCCCGCTGAAGCACAACAACTGTGGTCCTGGCAAGCGCGTGGGCATCATTGGTGTTGGAGGACTGGGTCACTTTGGCTTGCTGTTTGCCAAGGCTATGGGGGCTGATCAGGTTGTTGCTGTCTCCCGGAAGTTGGCTAAGAAGGAGGATTCGCTGAAGATGGGCGCGGATCTTTATATTGCGACTGATGATGAGCCGGACTGGGCTACGACTCATGCTCGGTCTTTGGATTTGATTGTTTCGACTGTCTCGTCTACTAAGATGCCGTTCAACGACTACCTGGGTCTGCTGAAGACTGCTGGGTCTTTTGTGCAGGTTGGTCTTCCTGAGGATGGCGGATTGTTCGCTCCTGTTCGGAGTTTGATGCGTCGCCTCAAGCTGCAGAGTTCCCTCGTTGGTAGCCCCAACGAGATTCGGGAGATGTTTGAGCTTGTTGCTGAAAAGGGAATCCGCCCGTGGGTGGAGGTCATCCCAATGAAGGATGCGAATAAGGCGATTGTGGATATGGATGACGGAAAGGCCCGCTACAGATACGTGCTTGCCAACGAGTAAAAGCTTATAATTAGATAGCTAGAATAGACGAGAGATGTGCCCACGAATGAAGATCGAAGTGTTGAAAGTATAGCCGTCTAGTGTATCTGTAAAGATTGGTCTACGTTAGGGCCAATCAAACCACGCACGTGAGCGCCGTTCTCGGAGGCGCTATTCCATTTTGGGAACTCAGATTTCCCCCGCGGTGGAATGAATCATTCCGCCTCTTCTTCTCTACTTCGGCTTCAAAGATTTTCTGTTTGAGTCAATTGACGGTCGCATCATGTCTCCTACACTATCACAACAGTATTTAAGTACCCGCGGTGCTGAGTACGGGGTGAGTTGGAAAATAACAGTTCCAAGTTTCATTGCAAACATGTTACTCACCAATCTATCTAGAGAACCTTTGAAGATGTTGTTCTTCAAGGCCTGGCCTCGGACGGTGGTCTTTTCATCCCTGAGGAAATCCCTGCTCTTCCCCAATCATGGGAGACCGAATGGCGCGATCTGAGCTTTGAGGATTTGGCGCTCGAAATCATGTCGCTCTATATCTCTACGGACGAGATTCCCCGAGAAGATCTCAAGAGCATCATCTATAAGTCCTACTCGACTTTCCGACACCCCGAGCGCACTCCTTCCGTCCTCCTTGAAAAGAACCTCTACTTGCTCGAGCTATTCCACGGCCCGACCTTTGCCTTCAAGGATGTTGCGCTAAGTTTCCTCGGAAACCTGTTCGAGTATTTCCTTGTTCGAAAGAATGCTGGAAAGACTGGCAAGGACAGACACCACCTTACCGTTGTCGGTGCTACTAGCGGCGACACTGGTTCGGCTGCTATCTATGGTCTCCGCGGCAAGAAAGACGTCTCTGTCTTCATTCTCTTCCCCGATGGCGGCCGAGTCTCTCCTATTCAAGAGAAGCAAATGACAACTATCTTGGATCCTAATGTCCACACCCTCACCGTGGCGGGCTCCTTCGACCATTGCCAGGATATCGTCAAGGCGCTCTTCGCCGATGCGGACCTTAACTCCACCCACAACATCGCCGCGGTCAACAGCATTAACATGGCCAGAATCCTGGCCCAGATCACCTACTTCTTCTACTCCTACTTCTCCCTCACCAAAACCGCCTCGTTCACCAAGGAATCCAACGTGCGCGTGGTCGTCCCGTCCGGCAACTTCGGCGACATCCTTGCCGGCTGGTTCGCTAAGCAGATGGGTCTCCCCATCGAGAAACTGGTGATTGCCACCAACGAGAATGACATTCTCGATCGCTTCTTCCGCAGCGACGGCCACTACACAAAGAAGGCCCTCGACGCGACCACCGACCACGGCGTGAAGGAAACCTACAGTCCAGCCATGGACATCCTCGTCAGCAGTAACTTCGAGCGCCTCCTCTGGTTCCTGTCATACAAAACCGCCAGCGGCAGCGAAGCCGAGCGCCGCAAGATCGCCTGCGAAAGTGTCAGTGGGTGGCTGAACGAGCTCAAGACCAACGGCGGCTTCCAAGTCCCCAGCGCCGTCCTCGAAGCCGCCAAGGTCGATTTCGAGAGTGAGCGCGTCAGCAACGACGAGACCATCGCTATGATCCGTGATATCTACAAGACTTCCTTCCCTAAGGGTCTTGGTCCCGGCTCCGCCAAGAGCTCCAAGACCGGTGGGTACATCCTTGACCCCCACACTGCTGTTGGTGTTGCTGCTACGCGCCGCTCGTTGGCGCGCAACCCTGAGGATATCCATATCTCTCTGTCCACTGCCCACCCGGCTAAATTTGCCAGCGCTGTGGACCTTGCTCTGCGTTCCGAGGATGGTTACAACTTCACGGAGATCTTGCCCCAGGAGTTCATTGGTTTGGAGCAGCGTGAGAGTCGGGTTACCGCTGTCGGCGAGAGTGCTGGATGGCAGGGCGTCAAGGAGATTGTCAAGGCGGAGCTTGAACAGGAGTTGCAGGGGTTGCGATAGATCCGGACTTGGCAAGAGAATAACGTGTTATGAAATTCACCGAGTTGGTGAGATTCAACGGGAGGAGCATGTGTATGCTAAAAAAATCTTGTGTTGTAGTATAGACATGTTGGTAACGTTTTCACTGTTTTCCTCCCTTCTATTAAAATATATTTCCAGTTTTTTTTTACACCTATAATCTGAGGGCTTGTTGAATCGATACTGAAAATGACTGCTCAGATTGGACAAGTATCTGTTATCCTAAGTATTAGTACTATTCATGCTGGATAATGCCTGAAGAGATGAAGCTATTCAGAGATCACCTGATCTGTCAATATCGGCGTTATTCATCAAGTGGGATGACCGGTGGAACTTCATTGGTGACTTTCCTCGCCCCACCGGAGCTGTCATTACCTTACTCTTTTCCTTTCACCTTCACTTTTGTCACTTCACTTGTGAAATCGAAAGGTTGGCAAAATTCTGCACAATGCCACCTCCTGCCAATATTATCCCCTGGTTCAAATGTGACTATCCAGATTGCAACGCTAAATATCGGCGTAAAGAACACCTGAATCGACATCGTAATCATCATGATACGGAAATCAATCTCGCCTGTCCTTATTGTGAGAGCGTCCTAACCAGGAAGTGAGTAATTTCTTCGATCCCGTGGGAAGACTCAACTTAGAGAGTAATCAGTGACCTGTTGCGACGCCATGTCCGGACTTACCATCCGCAAAGAGAACTGCCTCCGTCTCGAAAATTTAGCGCATGTACTGCATGTCATGCACGGAAAGTCCGTTGTGAAGGTGTATTGCCATGCAATGCCTGTCAACATCGCGGCGTCCTTTGTGTGTCTAGTGGGGATGAAACCGTAAGCGAACAACAATTTTCGATCGATGATCTCTGCCCTTTGCCGCCTGTTTCCACGATTGATGATTCCGTTTCTGACGCTCCCCGGTGGATTGCTCATGACTATATTGATATTTACTTTAATACTTTCCATCCAAGATGGCCGTTTCTTCATCGAAGTACATTTGACTTCGCCAAGGAACCTTGTGTACTTGTTCAATCCGTTGTCGCAATCGGACTTTGGGTGAAAGGGACTCAGGAGGCACGAGACGCATCGATACGTCTACATAATCGACTATGTTCTGCATTTTACGCTCAAATGGTGAGAAGAAGAAGCATGATAAAAGTAACTGCATATAGAATTGTGTGTTGATATCATCTTTTTGCTCTAGGACCAATGGTGCATCTCCAACTCCAGTCCACGCCAACACATAAATACATCGTGGCCTATAACATCATTTCAAAGTGTGCTCTTGAATATCATTCTTTCTCTTTTCATTGCAAGGGAGAATGCTAGTACAGATCTGAGCATGCAATGCCGATTACCAGACGACAAATACGACCTCTTGGCTGCGCTTGTTCAAAGCTGTCGAAGGTCGGGGATCTTCTACTACCCTAACATGCTTCTGCAACACGATGCCGATGCACCACTCGCGCTTGTATATGTGAGCGTTGAAGAGATCAAGAGATTTGGACTAGCCCTCTATAAGGTGTGCCGGTTGTCCACTCCCACTTCCTTTGATTTGAGCGGAGAATTTTCCAATGGTGGCAGAAACGATCTTTTGACCCTGGCCGACTTGTCCTTTTGCATGCCCGACAGTGATGAGCTGTGGAACGCTCCATTGGGCGGGGAATCCGAGGTGTTAAACAAGTCCGATTCATCTGCGGTCGGACGGGATAATGGAGATGCGAAAAACTGGATATCTCAAGCATCTGCTCTTCTACACGACGCACGAGTTGGCTTTGATTGGATATAGGAGAAACCGTCATAGAAGATGCGGCTATTTCGCCACATATCAAAATGCAGCCTATAAATGCATCGAACATATTCCCTTACTATTTTCTTGACAAATACCTTTGTAATATTTTTTTGTCAATAAACGTACATTGGATCTGCACCTTCGCCACCCCGAGGTCCACAGTCACCGATCCTTGACCGGGTGGGATGGCCGTAAAGTGATCGGCCTCCAGGTGGGATGGCCGACCCGTTTCCCCGCAAAACCATAGGGTTTCTAAGCAAAGAGTAACGAAGTACATATAAACCGGCTCTTCTTTTTAATATCGAGTGTTCCTACTGCAACATAATCCAATCCTCCATTTTCTAAAAACCTCTTTATCTACAATGGCTTCTACCGCTCAATCCTTCCGCGAGATCGTCGGAATTCCCCGCTCCTCAGCTTCCCCGAAGGACTCAACCCTCATCATTATCGACGCCCAGAACGAATACGCCACAGGCGCTCTCAAGACCAAAAACGTTACAGAAACCCGCAAATCCATTTCCAAACTACTGGAACGTTACCGTCAAGCCGGTAACGGCAAAAACATCGTGCACGTCGTCCACGAGGTGCCCGAAGGCGCACCCGTCTTCACGCCAAACACTCCCTTGGCACAAGAGTTTGAGGAACTCACCCCTAAAGCGGGCGAGAAAGTGGTTACCAAGAACTTTCCTAGCTCGTTCGCAAAGACCGATCTGCATGACTATCTGCAAGGTCTAGGCGATGTAGGAAAGAAAGTCGTGTTGGTTGGCTATATGGCGCATGTCTGTGTCTCTACCACTGCCCGAGCGGCTGCTGAGCTTGGATATGATGTGCTGGTCGTGAGGGATGCAGTTGGTGACAGGGATATCCCTGGTGTAAAGGCCGAGGATCTGGTGTCTGTTGTGTTGAGTGAGCTGGCGGATGGTTTCGGGACTGTCGTCTCCGAGGAAGATATTCGTGCATAGGCAACTGATGCAATCTGAAACTGCGAGGACTATTGGATCGTATTCAAAATCTTCGGACTGTATGAAATTCTTTCCTATTTCCGGGCCTCTAATATACGCACATTGTGCCGTGTTCTGATAACAGATTCTTAGTAGGGGAATGTGATCATCACGTTTCGGGTAAAGGAAATAGTGTACCGGATACTACGCCAAGGATATGCCAAGACACGCCAAGCACGGACGGGTTTGCGGGGCAATCAACGGCTTCTAAGATGTTCATGTCAATGGATGCCGGTCCATACCTTAATTGTCTCAATTCCCTATTGCCTTTCGGATAATTTCCGAAGCCCGTTAAGTCCCACTACCGCGGAAGAACTGACAGTCTTGGCAATGGAAATACAACTTATAGATAGTCGACATTTGTTGAACACGGAGGAAAAGGTTGAGCTGGAACCTGCAGTACGCAATAACCTTGGAGCTGCATGTCTCAGTTCAAGGCTAAAATTTGAATTTTTTTTTTTTTTGCCGACATGTGGCAAGGGGTGTGACCCTGGAAGCACTGGCGATGCCGTCAAATGAGAGAAGGAAGTAAGCGTGTGGACCCGAGATCCAACCTCCCTTGGCGCTGTTCCTCGTTGCTTCTCGAGTTCCTTTGGCCTTGGCTGTGCTGGTTTGATGCTTGATCAATAGAAAAATCTGGAGTTCTTATGACTTGGTCCAGAAAACAGAGCGAGGGAAAGAAATGTTGGCTTCCACGTTGGCTTTGATATTTCTGAGTCCGGTTTCTCCCATAGTCTTCCCCGTATGTAGCTCACCTATGTTCTTTTCTCCTCTTTCTCTTCAGGTCAATCATTCCAGATAGCCCAATGCATTCGTATTGATCTCCCAGCTTCCTCTCCGAGACTGTTCATTTTAAGAGTATTCCCTCATGATAGGTTTCAAGGTAGCGAACGAGGAGGATGACGGTCTAACTGTATATGGTAGCGAGTGGTATTGGTTTATGTAAGAGACTTAATAGTAATAGTGATAGTTAATTAAGAGGTTATATCTAAGGAAGGGAACAAATGTGTGGATTATTAGTAAGAATCTGGAACGATAGGATGATAATTGGTGAAGATATCATTAGCTACCGATATAAGTTTCGGCTCCTTTCAAGTCTAATGCGGTCTTCGGAAGCTTACTTTACTTAATTTGAAGATGGAATATGATAGAGTCCTACTATATGCAGTTGCAACTCTGGTAACCGATATGCCGACCCCTAAAACCCATGGCCACTTCCGAAAGTCGAGCCGAATCCCGACTTATTTGCCTGAATTGCTATGGATTTACGGGTTTACGGGTTTGCAGGTTCTGGCGCAGTCTAGACTCTGCACTTATATGGACGTTGAAGGTGGGAAGTCATGACATCATTCTCCTTCTACGTCGTTAGTCTATTAGACTTGATTTCTTTATCAAAACGGCTAAAATCTGTACCGAGGCAGAGGCGCAAGTTCCACTAAAAGATTGCAATTGTTGCGTTCTAGAATTTTGATATCATCTTTTGAGGACGATAATCTCTCGGTCATGCCGAGTGATAGGTTCCCTCTACCGAGTTCCAACCTTAATATACATATTGGAAGTTTGGTTGAGCCTCACAAGGCTGGCCAGTGTCGTGGGCTTCGGATTCTTTTTACCGCCAATTCTTATTTCACCTGATGGGTATCAAGTTTTTCAGGTGTAAAAATCAGGCCATGATAGATAGTCGGAACCGGCAAAGCCTCGGAGAAATCGGAAATAGTAGATGTCAAGCATACATGTTCCATCTATAAATCAGTATGTTCCACCTCAAGTTCGCCTGTGTGCAATTGTTGAATCGTCTCTTTTTACAGAATTCTGACTACACCTCCAATATGTGTTTTTGCGGGATGTGCTCTTGCAACTCTGGTTCGAAATCAGTCGGGTCACAATCCGTTGAGAACCTGGTGTACGAAATTGTCAAACCGAGCTTTCCTTGCGGTGAGAAGCTCAGCAATAGAAGATGCTTCCGCAGAGCTTCAAAGATCCTTCTCATCGGTGAGGTGCCTGGTTCAGAGTTATAAGCAATCCATAACCCAACGCAACAGGATCCTCGGGGTGTGGGAAATCGACCGTGATCAAAAAGCTACGGATGCGGTTCGGTCGAGACATTTCTTCTCGCGAAAAAGAGGAAACCCGTCTTGTTGTTTACGAAAACATATACAGTGCTCTTGCATGTGCTATTCGTGAACTACAAGCCCAGGGCCGTCTCCTGGACAATGCGGATGATGGGGTAAGGCTTCAATCTTCAGGATTCATGGCAATACACTGACACTACCAGGTCATTCAAACATTCTGGAGCAATCAGGAGTTCGGAATGACCCAAAGTCGATGGAACTGCGAATTGCTCCTATCAATGCGGGAATTGTGTCACAGAGCAATTGTTCTGGCCACTGCTCTTCGATTCATCAATCCGGAGAGCTATCTCAGAATGTACGCAGCTGGGTCATCTTGCAACCAATTTCTCCTCCTGGATTCCATCATGGACCACGGCTAATGTATGACAGGTTTCTTTCTTCCTACAGCCACGTTCTCCAGCCCGAGTGGAATCCTACCGAAACAGACGTAATACAATGCTACGTCCCAACCAAGTCGTTGAGTGGTGCATGGATCAGCAAAGACCTCATAGCATTGGAGGCCAATACTAAACATACGACGCAAAAAGAATTGTCCAAGATTATGCCATTAGTTGACGGTATTGTGTGCGTCGCGGATATCTCAACTCTCGACTACCGATATATGGTAGACCCCGGGAAAGTGAGTCTAACTGTGCCACTCCCCTTCCTTTCTACCCCAGTTGCTCACCAAATCAAGTCTCAATTCAATGAATCGCTGGGCCTTCTCGAGGAAGTCCTAGGCAGCCGGGGTCCCCAGCGGAAGCCGATCCAGCTCTTACTGAACAAAACCGATATACTGCGCAGGAAGCTAAAGCACCTGGGAGTATCCTTGTATTCCGAGGGCGGACTCTTGCAATACTTCCCTGGTTCGGCTGAATCCGTTGCCAAGTGCTTCAAGGAGCACTTGGGATATTGCGACGAGTATTATCTACGGGAGATTTGTGCTCTGGACGCAACATGGATGAACCACATTTTCAAGGTGTGGCGCGAAATGATGTTCAAATCAAAGCTTCTTGCTGCAGGTGTTATGTGAGAATCGGGAATGGCTATTTTATCTGTATATACATGTTGCATATCCTTCTCATCTGTCTTTAGCCAAGTATCTTAGACTTAGATATCAGTTAGACCTCCCACTTCTCATGATTAATGAACAACCAACTATTTGAGACATTTATGCTTGACAGTAACCGAATTTCAAGTGATTTCATAAGTCTTGAGCCATTAAATAGCCAACCCAAGTAAGTCTATGTGGCAATACTCTCTCCAGCCACAGATGTCATGACGTGGTCCACTTTTCAAGTAAATCATAGTTAAGTTTTATCATCTTGAAACCTACCTTACTTCTTATTTTTTTTCATAAAGTCTGAATCTCTATCGTTGTCCATCTCTACCTACCATCCTTCGATCTGCACTGAATCGGCATGCATTTTCACAACAGAGACTCCTCCTTTCACTCGACAGATACCGCCCAGAATTCGCCGGATTCGGCGTCCTATCACGAAAATGATAAACCTCCATCATCGCCATCTGTCGAGCTCGTTCCAGGTCAAAAGGGTCGACTAGCTGGTGGGAAGTATCTCCAACCTTCCACCTCCCACCATGAACACTTCACAACCCTTGATTTCGACTTTCCTTTAACTGGCACCAAAGCGATAGTCCAAGGTGGTAAGCAATATATCTTGATTGACTACACCTTTGGAGACAAAGAGAATCCATTCAATTGGAGCCCTTGGAAGAAGGCATTAGTCTCAGGCCTCCTTTGTTTGATGACCCTTTTCATCGGCCTAGCGACTACTGCCTACAGCTCTGGTATCACCCGAATGTGTGCAGATCTCGGCGTCTCCTTGGAGCTCGGGCAAATGGGTCTGTTCACCTTCAATATGACCTGCGCCTTGGCACCATTGTTCCTAGCACCTTTTTGCGAACTTGCTGGGCGACGCATTGTCTACGCGGGTGCATACGTGGGGTTCTCGATTATGTTTATTGGCCTTGCACTAGGCAAGAATATCGCAACTATTCTCGTATGCCGAGCGCTGCTAGGTCTATTCGGTTGTGTAGGGACTATTCTTGTCGGAGGTACCTTTGGCGACATGTACCACCCCGAGGATCGAGCTATCCCTATGGCCTCGTTCTCGTATGTCGCAATTCTCGGTACCGTTGCTGCTCCAATCTACGCCGGCTTCATCGACGAGACAATTGGCTGGCGTTGGATTGAAGGAATCCAAGGTCTAGCGAATGTCCCTCTTATGCTCATCATCGTATTCTTCTTTCCTGAGACTCGGGGCAGCATGATGCTTTCTAAAAGGGCCAAGATTCTACGTTCAAAGACGGGTGATCAACGCTATGTCGCTCTGAACGACCTCGAAGCACCTAATTTGAAGCGTATGCTATACAACTCTTCCGTAAAAGCAGTAAAAATGCTTATTACGGAACCTGTTGTTTTCTTCTTCGGTCTTTGGATTAGCTTTGCTTGGTTCTTGACCTTTCTCTTCTTATCGGTGATCCCTATAACCTATGAAGAAAAGAAAGGCTGGAGCGAGGGCGTTGCCGGCCTCCCATACATCGCGCTCTGCATCGGCACGACCCTCGGCTTCATGATGCATTTCCTCCAAATTCACAAATACAACACAGTCCATAAAGACAAGACCGATGAAGAAATGCGTCCGGAAGCCAGACTTTACGGTGTCATGTTTGGAGCCGTCGCGCTTCCAATCGGCCTGTTTATCTACTCCTTCACACAATACGCATATGTACATTGGATCGGGCCTATGATCGGGCTTGGTCTGATTACATTTGGAATTTTCTTCATCTTCGAGTCGTGCTATAGCTTCACGTCGGATTGCTACGGTGAAACTTCCTCTTCGGCGATCGCTGGACAGGGATTCATGAGGAATACGCTCGGCGCCGTGTCGCCTCTATTTGCTTCCCAGTTCTTTCATAATGTTCGCAGCCAATATGCAGGCCTGATTCTGTCGATCATAGCCGCTTTCTTGACTGCGATCCCTTATGTGTTGTTTGTTTATGGTCCGGCAATTCGATCCCGATCTAAGCTGGCGAGTGTGCCTCAGCGTCGGCCTAGCTCCGGTCTTTGAAGACTATCAGTGCGGTGGAGAAGGTCCGATGCCGGATGTCAAGAATATTTGAGTCACATTTTCCATAGGGATCTATATTGGACTATTGGACTATTGACCCACTCCGAGGAGAAGAGAATGTAACAAAAACAGAACGATCTACATGTGGGCAGAGTGTATAATTAGTGAATAACGGTATAGTTAAGTGGCAGTAACGTGGATAATTTAAGATTTACAGAATCTGAAACATTTAGATAAGAATTTCAGATATTTGCATTGTGGGAATTCGTATTACTTTGACTGAGCCATGTAAAGCTCACTATGTTGAACGCAAATGTATCAGAATTCCAAGCAGAATACACTGTACAGGCTGTCAGGTGTTAGACTTGTCATTCTTGGACTCCAAAATCCAGGCCTACCTTCAGGGCCTGATGCGTAGATGCAGCCCCAAAGGTGGCGTATGCGGTTGTTGCCTCGTCGAATGAATAATCTGCAACAAACAATCAGATAGAATGTCTTCACGGTCGAGGTTTAGGACTTACGATGCGTGACTAGCGAGTTGACGTCCAACTTGCCCTCTTTCACTTGCTGCAGCAAGGAGGGGATTGAGATCGCATTGACCAGCGACATGTGGATACCTAGGACAAATTAGCACAGAAAGGAAGCATCAATGAATACTTGACGAACTTATGTTTCGGTCCCATAATTTTTCCAAATGTAAATCCACCTTTTTGCCATGGACTCCCATATTCGCGATGCGCCCGCCAACAGCCACCAGCTCTTGGCACAATTGGAAGGTAGCTGAAATGCCAACCGCCTCAATGACAGAGTCAAACCCTTCATTTTTGGTCAAGTCCAGGAGCTGTTTCTTTGCGTCTGGAGCACCAGAGTTAATCGTATAATGCGCACCCAATTCCCGCGCTTTCTCTAGACGCGTATCGTCCAGGTCAACCATGACAATCATCTCGGGGTTCTTTAGGCGCGCAGTAAGAAGAGCTGCAATCCCCACCGGACCCGCACCGACAATCACCACCGATCCTGCTGAGTGGACGTCTGAACTGAGCACACCGCATTCATAGCCTGTCGGCAAGGCATCCGAGAGGCAAACCGCATCACGTGCGTCTATAGAGGAGTCCAAGCGGTGGAGCGACCGAGTTGCGTGCGGTACGCGTACGTACTCCGCCTGGGTTCCATCGAGATGGTTGCCAAGAATCCATCCTCCGGATTCGCAGTGGGCGGGAATACCTCGCTGACAGTAACGGCACGACCCACATGATGTCATGCAGGAGATAACCACTCGGTCACCTACTTGCAATCCTTGCACGGTGGAGCCCAAGGCCTCAACAACCCCAACGCCTTCGTGACCCAAGACAACGCCAGATTCTGCGGTTTGGATGTCGCCTTTGATGATGTGCAGATCTGTTCCGCAAATGGACGTATGCAGCATTCGCACAACTGCGTCGGTGGGCTCCTGAATGGTTGGCTTGGGTCGTTCTACGACTTCAATCTTGCCATTGTTGCAAACAAGACCCTTCATGGTTTCTTGGATTAAAGTGTAAGAGGTGTGGGAAAATTGTCGGTGCGAGTTGAAGGAAGGAAAAGAAGTCGACGGCGTGATAGGAGAAATGGAAGGGTTGGGTCTTTGGGAATTTATATACCAGCTCTGGAGGGGTGGAGAACGTGGTAATCGTCGAGGATAGAAAGATATGGCCCTTATTGACGTCAGGCAGCCTGGCTTGGTGGACCTAGAAAACTAAAACAAGGCATTAGTCGTGATAGATATGCTTATGCATTGTGTGTGGGACTCGTACATTGTTCATGATGTGGATGTTGGAAACAGATCGCGGTTTCGGGGGCACCTCGGAAATATATCAGCCAGATCAGCTGATTGTAGAGAGTTTCGAGTAATTTCAATAGCTTCGGGCGGAGGAAGGTGATTGGTTCAGCCGTAAGAACTAGTTAACTAGCCGGACTCCTGCTCGTACATTATTGAGTTATCCTCGTACGTTTGCCGTTAGACGGATAAGGAATGTCTTGGCCGGCCTAACATATCCGAGAATATGCATCTTTGACTTTCGCATGATTCAAGCACTGAGTCATGACGGAGAACAATAATACTTTCTTTGTGCATTATCAATTTTGAATCCATTTGGCCGGAACCGGAAGAAGGTGGCTTCATCGGAATAGGTGGCCTCTACAGTATCAAATGAGTTATACAGTTGCCGTTAAACTATATATTGCGAGTGACAATATCACAAGTTCCAATCAGCCGTAAAATAATACCGCATATCATGATCATAAGACATACTATAAGAGAGGCATTAAAGAGTAGCATCATGATATTTGCTAACCTTTCCGTTCTCATCTTCCATCTATACGCTTGAACCAAATTTTCATGTCATTCATAGTGAACTGGACAAAAGCGTCAAGTGAATAACAGAATATCAGTGCAGCTAGAGAGAACGCCTTTGGAAATTCTATAATCAACGAATTCGAAAATTCCTACGATTAGGGCTAATGTGTGGAGTTTCCTCGGAAATTTCTTAAAACAAGATAAATCGACTTTTCATTCAATGCATATGCTTCTCAAACGAAATATAATCTTCAAAACATACAAAGAGCGAAATAATCCAAGCAATAGACACTATATTACTATTAGTATACTTAAAATAAGACCGATAAAGTTCACAAAAATCTCGAAATGACCAAGCAACCGTTCTTCCTTAATCCTTCGGCCCTGTTAAAAGCAAAAGGAGGAATTCCAAGCGGGGCATAGGCCAGGCATCCAAAAAAAAAAAATACCGAAGGTACCATGAGGTCTCTGATCCACACCACGAGGACCAGAGAGGTCAGGAACCGAAAGGGATCCGGATCTCAATAAAGAGATGGATCGACCGTCGAGGCTTCTCAACTGATTTACAGGAGAGCCATGAGGGCAACAACACCAGCAAGGAAGCCAGCAACGGGCTTGACGCTGGAGGCAGCACCGGTGAACTCGCCAGCGGAGGGAGAGGCGCCGTGCTGCTCAGGGGTAGAGGGCGCCTCCGGGGCGGAGGGAGTAGGAGAGCCGGAGGGCTGGGCAGCGGGCTGGGACTTAGCAGGGACGGCGGGCTGAGTCTCGCCGGGAACAGCGGGAACAGCGGGCTGGGTCTGTCCAGGAACAGCGGGGACAGCGGGCTGGGTCTCGCCGGGAACAGCAGGGACAGCGGGCTGGGTCTCGCCAGGAACAGCGGGGACAGCGGGCTGGGTCTCGCCGGGAACAGCAGGGACAGCGGGCTGGGTCTCGCCGGGAACAGCAGGGACAGCGGGCTGGGTCTCGCCAGGGACAACGGGGACAGCGGGCTGAGTCTCACCAGGAACAACGGGGACAGCAGGCTGGGTCTCGCCGGGGACAACGGGGACAGCGGGCTGAGTCTCACCGGGGACAACGGGGACAGCGGGCTGAGTCTCACCGGGAACAACGGGGACAATGGGGGTAGCGGGCTGGGTCTCGCCAGGGACAACAGGGACAACAGGGACTGCGGGCTGGGTCTCGCCGGGGACAGCGGGATGAGTCTCGCCAGGAACAACGGGAACAGCGGGGTGAGTCTCTCCAGGGACAACGGGAACCACGGTGGTCGGCACAACGGGAGCGGTGGGGCCTGCGGTGGGGCCTGCAGTGGCAGGCACAGTGGAGTTGTAGAAGGTCAAAGGCTTCTCATCGCACAAGGTGCACACGGTGGTCTTGGTGATGGTGATGGTGCTTGTTCCGGTGACGGGCACAGTCCAGGTCTTAGAGCCAGAGGTGATGGTAGACGAGGAAGCTGGAGATATTGTTAGGATGTGTGGTTCAAGTGGTACGAATCTGGTAGAGGTTATAGGACTTACTAGGGCAGGTGGTGGTCACATAAGTGAGGGTCTTGGTGGTGCCAGGCTTCACAGGGAAGTGAGGCTTGGTGGTCTGCTCGGGCACAGTAGTGGTTCCGTTGGCCCAGGTGGTGGTGCTGTGCTCGGGCACCGGGGTGGTCGAGGTGGTGCACGGGGTGGTGGTATTGCTGTACACCGGGACGGTGGTGCTATACACCGGGGTAGTGGTGTTGTGCACAGGGATGGTGGTGCTATGCTCGGGCACCGGGGTGGTCGAGGTAGTGCACGGGGTAGTGGTGTTGCTGTGCACCGGGATAGTGGTGCTATACACCGGGGTGGTGGTGTTATGCACCGGGATGGTGGTACTATGCTCGGGCACCGGGGTGGTCGAGGTAGTGCACGGGGTGGTGGTGTTGCTGCTGTGCACCGGGATGGTGGTGCTATACTCAGGGACCGGGGTGGTCGAAGTAGTGCACGGGGTGGTGCTGTTGCTGCTGTGCACCGGGATGGTAGTGCTATGCTCAGGCACCGGGGTGGTGGTGCTATGCTCAGGCACTGGGGTGGTCGAGGTGGTGCACGGGGTAGTGGTGCTGTGCACCGGGGTAGAGGTGGAGTGACTGTGCACCGGGGTGGTGGTGGTAGAGTGCACCCGGGTGGTGGTGCTATGCTCTGGCACCGGGCTGGTCGAGGTGGTGCACGGGCTGGTCCACGACTCAGACGACTCAGTGGACTTGCTCCAGGACTCGTAGGTCGAAGACTGCTCGGCCGGCTTGGACCAGCTCTCGCCCCAGCCCTCAGCCTGGGCAGGGGTAGCAACAGCAGCAGAGCTCTGAGCAGCGGGACGGATGAAGTCCTCGCCACGAGCCTGCATGATACCGGCAAAGGCCGGGCTGGCAAGAGCCAGAAGAGCAACGGAATTGATCATTTCGAGAGAACAAAGTCTTAACAAACAAACTTGGAAAGATAACGAGTGAAGAGATGATGAAGAAAATTTCAATGATGGACACAGATGAACGATCTTATATGCCCTGTTTGAGAAGACTGGTTCCAAGTCATGACGGATATGGTGTGCCACGGTCGTGTCCAGGTCAGAAAGGTAGACCTGAATCACAATGTCACCATATGAGGCCGAATGCAGGTACTAGGACAGCTCAACTCCAGATGGCAAAGGCACAGATGGAAGGCCATTGGACAAAATCTCGCGCAATGATACATTCATATGGCAAACTCAGATGCAAACGTGACAGACTGTAGTTTCATTGGGGTAAGTGGTGCAGGAGGTCTCCATCTTCATCCACTAGAGTAACCTAATGCGGAAGCATGGAAAGAGCTTGGCAATCTCCATACGTCTCCACAAACTGCGAGAGTAGTGAGCAAATCCCCGGGGGGACAGCATATTGCTTCATTGCGATAGAGAAAATCGTTTGATAACGGTTCAAGACACATGTGTTTTGGATTATGTGGCCAGCAAAATGCTCATTCTGGATCTCCAGGGTTAGCAGGGCGGTAGCCATGACTCACCTCCGGACAGGGGGATAGTAGATCATATTCAAACGGAACCACAATTGATATGACAAGGTTCCTCCGATTGGGGCTACAGACCCCACGGAGACGAATAGCCTCGTGGGCTAAGCTATTGGACCAGAAGCAGGCAAAACCGCAAGTACGAATAGGCGTGATTCCATCCAAGATTGGAGCTCTGGAATGTGGGAATAGCCTCCGATTGAGTATAGGGCCGTTCCATTGGTAGGTGCCACCTTGAAAGAATGTACACGCGAGCTCGACGTATTTCCGGAGCACAACGATCCTATAGGCTCGCAAGACATCTTTTCTTTGAGTTATTAATCGGATGTGGCCCATCGTAGCATCGGCGGCTGCAATCAATGACGGGGACATCTCAATCTAGTATGTTGTACTGGGTTAGGCCAAGCCTCCACTGCGCGAAGATGGGGCTTTCGCCGCATTAACATTGTGGCTCTCATCAGAGATTGATATCGGAAAAGTCTTCAACCAATCCGAGAATGTGATCTGTGCAGCCTGCACGGTTGTTATTCCATTTTTTTTTGGAACAGCAGGGAAGTCTAGATGTCATCCACGGATCCTGGTGAATGAGAGGTACAGCAGTGAGGTACTACGCAGATTTGGCCGCAAGCGGTAAGTGGATGAGCATAGTACCTCGATATCCTGACTGCCCTCCATAGTAAAAGCAAGGAACAACCCGCTTTCGGTCATATATGATATTTCCATTTTAGGATAGCACGTGACGTAGGGCTTAGGGCAGACGCGTGCACGGGGCATCGCGCGTCGCGCGTCGCGCCTTCCTGTTTGGGTCCAATTAAGCCCCGGAGAATCTTGAAAAGAGCATCTGCTTTGCCCATTCGCCCACAATGCCTCACTCAGTATCATCCGGCTCTGCGCAGAATGATGATGAGATGCCGGATGCCCCTCCAGTCGAGACCTCAACTGAGACTCGCGTCAGACTCGAGGATATGTTCGACGGCGATGATGATGGTGATGACGATGAGGAGTTCCCGGCTTCCGCAGATGTGAAGATGGATTCTCCGCCAAAGGAAGAGTGAGTGCTAAGCTCTTGTACAGTAATATTGGACTCGACTGCTGACAGAGGCTCGCAACAGGCCTCCAGCACCAACACCATCGGGTGTGGACCCAGATATCATGCTCGCCTTTTATCAACGACTTTTCCCCTTCCGATACCTCTTTCAATGGCTGAATCATGGAATTGTACCCACAAAAGACTTCGGCAACCGCGAATTTGCATTGACACTGCAAAATGACGCCTATCTCCGGTACCAATCATATCCAACTGCTGACCTGTAAGACCCATTTCAACTTTGATTGTCGGATCCCGTTTGAGCTAACACGTATGCCCAGGTTCCGGAAAGACATACTTAAAATGAACCCTTCTCGTTTCGAAATCGGACCTGTCTATAGCACCAACCCACGCGATCGGAAAACGCTACGAGGCGGTCAGATGAAGCCAGTCTCGAAGGAATTGGTTTTTGATATTGATTTGACTGATTACGATGATATTCGTACATGTTGTGTCAAGGCGAATATTTGTGCTAAGTGCTGGTCATTTGTGACAATGTCAATCAAGGTCATCGACACCGCACTACGGGAGGACTTTGGGTTTGAACACATCCTCTGGGTTTACTCTGGTCGTCGTGGTGCTCACGCCTGGGTATGCGATCCCCGTGCGCGCAACCTCACAGATGACCGACGCCGAGCCATTGCTGGTTATCTTGAAATAATCCGCGGGGGGTCACAAAGCGGGAAAAAGGTCAACATCAAACGGCCACTACACCCCCATATTGTACGCAGTCTTGAGTTGCTCAAACACGACTTTGCCCGGACCACACTCGGTGATCAAGATACATTCGAATCTGCCGAGCAGGCAGAACGCCTTCTGTCCTTGTTGCCTGACAAGACCTTAAACGACTCCTTACGGAGGAAATGGGAATCCTCTCCAGATCGTGCCAGCACCAGCAAATGGGCCGATATCGATTCACTTGCAAAGACCGGTAAGAGCAGCACGTTAAACCCGGCGACGCTCAGGGATGCGAAGCAAGATATTGTCTTGGAATATACCTACCCACGCCTGGATGCCGAGGTCAGCAAAAAGATGATTCATTTGCTCAAGAGTCCCTTTGTTATTCACCCCGGCACTGGCCGTATTTGTGTTCCCATCGATCCTCGCAATGCAGAAAACTTCGATCCTCTTTCCGTCCCGACGGTGATGAACCTACTTGCTGAGATTGATGAATATGACGCGAAACACTCTGTTGGCACAGCGGAGGCAGATATCCCCGACGCTGAAGGCAGTGCGATGAATGGCTCCGACATTAAGGGTAGCCGTAAGGTGCAGGATTATGAAAAGACCAGCCTGAAACCTTATATCGATTTCTTCCGTTCCTTCATCGCAGGCCTCATCAAGGAAGAGCGTGCTGGTAAGCGTGAACGAGATGATAGTGGCCCTGTTGTTAAGGCTGATCCTATGGAATTCTAACCGCATCGTGTTCATGTTTGTTCCATTTGCCTAGCGTTGCCATAGGATTATGACTTTATGTTTTGTTAATTACCTCCACCGAATTTTACTTTGGACTTATATCAAGGGATCGCGCTTGGGAGTTGGCATTTATTGTGCATGGAATCGAGTTATTTGTTATCAATCAGCCTTATTCTACCTTTATTATATTCTCATTCGAAACTATCAATTGAATAGAGATAGGGTGTGTTGATGAAGCAGTTCATGAATTAGTTTACGATGAAGCAAGATATGATATGAATGACACTTTCTGCTAGGGGTTTTCAAATTGTAGTATCTACAATTATGAAGGCGCTACTGAACATTCAGCAGGTCAGATCTATGGGATGGCTGTATCAATACCCTGGAGATAATCGCTCGGCTGTGGAACTTTTCAACTTGGAAGATGTGAAAATTAAGTTAGAGTCAGGAGTACGAGTATAGCAATGTAATAAGTGAAGTGATTGTATATTGGAAATATTGGTACAAATAGAGTCGTACAAGTAATTGCACTAAAGCTAGCCATGATATGTTGGCACACGGGTGGTATCTCCATATCAGGCAGACTTCTCATTATCAAAAGGCGTCTCTGACAGGATTAAAAAGAAATGGGCCAAAGGTTGAATGGGGTAGTTAATTTAAGCACCAATGAAGTTCTTGACGGCTAAAGAAAGGTATTGTTAGCACGAATCACGGAAATTTTATATAGGAAGGGAAACATACTCTCCAACCAGCGCAAGTACTCCTTCTGCTCCTTGACGGAGATGTAGTCAGGAACCATATTAGCGAACTCGGCGTTAAGGCCACGGTCCTCGAGGTAGCGGTCCCAGAGACCCTGAAGGTCCTCATCGAGGTTCTCGAAGGGAGGACCGGCGTAGAGGCTCTGGCGAGCCCAGTCCTTCTCAGCAGTCTGGGACTGAGCGAGCTCGGCGTTGGCGAAGTGGGAGACCTCCTCGATCTGGAACACGCCGTCCTGGACAACGGTCTGGATGAGAAGGGCACCATTGTTGGGTTTCTCGACGGTGATGGTAACACGGGCAGGGAAGCTAGGCTCGGGCTGCTCGATGTCCTCGGCGGAGGCCTCGGCATCCTGGCCGCGGGACTGGTTCTGGAAGTCCATCTCGTCGGACAAAGAGGCGTCATCAAAGTCCTCCTGTTCGCTGATGTTCTGGATATCGGCGACGGTAAAGCTAACACGGATGCTAAACAATCATATGTATTAGCATTCATTGAAGGGAAGAAAGAGTCGAGAGGGATTGTATGAATCGTACTTCTCAGTGCCGAACTTCTTGGTCAGGATAACCTCCTGCTCGCCGGCAACATCCTTCACCTGCCACTCGCCATCCTTAATAGTCTCCTCGATGGATTCTAATTGCTCCTCGAATTCGGGAATCTCGGAAGACTTCTCGTGTCTCAGCTCATCCTCGAGCTTGGCGAGAAGCTCGATGTCGACTGTAAAAAAGTAAAATCCAATATCAGCGTGAGGCCACATACGAAGTCCGCCACCAGACAAGCTCGGATTTCGGCGGACTCTTCAGATATCATCAACGCATCTTACCTTCAGACGAAGGAGCCTTGAAGATGCTGGAGGTCGAGAAGGCAGCGTAGGCGGGCTTAGTGGCCTGATTCCATGATTGCCGGAGAGCGGGCTTAGGGAATGCTGGGCGCAGAGCCGAAGTGGCAATGGAGCGCGAGAAAGTGCGCGGGATAGAGCGGGTGACGGTGCGAAGAGAAAGCATTGTGAATGTGGATGGGTCTAAAGTTGATGAAGATGAAAGAGCTTGGGAAAAAGTAAATGGAGCTAAAGTTATTACGAGTGCCAAGACCCGCGCTTCTGTTTTGGCCGACTTTGCGCGGCCACGCAATTTCATTCGACGTTAGGCAAAAAGATATATAATGTTATTGGCCTTGATTGAAGAGAACACTGAGTAATTTGGATTGAGTGGAATTCATATCGCGATTCGCTGCACTCTACGGGATGAAAGACCTTGCGCATGGAAGAAACATAAAATTGATTCCGTAAGTCCATTTTTGTATGACACTAGGCTCGCTGACCCTTAGTCCTCATTACAAAATACATCCACCATCTCCCCGGCTTCTCGAGGTCCACTGCGTCATTGTGCTCATAAGTGGCGCAGGTGAATACTTTAAGTCGGTCCCCCGGGCATGGAGAAAGTGGATATAGGAGTAGATTTATTTACCCCAACACTCTGCGCGTTCCACCCTCGCACCCAATATGTCAATACACCATTCGAGGAAGATACAGTGTGTGTGTGATTCATTTACGCTGTCCTCTCGTCGAAACGATGTGCAGCCTACCACTACTATATGTATCTTTCTATGTATCGTGTACCACTTCCTAAGCGAACTTAGAGCCTCGCCGAGGCCTGCTTGGCCTATGCCGTTGTTATGTTTGCGCTGCCCTTATGGCGCGCGACTTTGAAACCGTTAACAGTACCCTCGCAGCTTCGATCGCCTCGGCCTACCCGGCGTTTAGACCGTTTTCTGGTCTCTATCCCCTTAAGCTTATCCGTTATTCGTCGATTGGCTCGACAGAGACGGGTTCCCGATCGCTTCCGGCCGTAGGAGTAGACTCAGATAAACGAGGGATAACTGATAAATGTACGAGACCATTTTATTAGACCATTTTATTCGATATTACGAGATTTGCCCGGGGCGATACGAACCATCGTTTCTGAGTAAAGAGAAATAGTAGCTTATCTTATTTCAATTCTAGGATGTATAAACATTGAACCCGTATATTTTTGCGGGGTAGGGCCGCTTGATACCGCGACGATCGTTTATATAATCCTACGACTATAAGAGCACCTACTTCAACTCTACTTTTCAGCAAGTCCAATTCTAGAGTCCCGAGGCATAATTTAGGCTACAAACTGACAGATGGCGATAATAAGCCCTCCTCGTTCAAATAGCTCTTCTTCAAAAGAAAATCAATGCGTCAAAAACAAGTTCGTCGCAAATCCAATTTGATGAAAAAGGCGCACGAATATAGTAAGTTATGTGAAGCAGACGTCTGTGTGCGGATTCGCCTTGGGAAACAATATAGACTAAGGACGTCGCATAAAGTCTAGCGGTCACTCCGCAAGGGAAGTGGTCACTTTATATCGAAAATACAGCGACTTCGCAATACTATCGAGTATCTACGGCCACAATAAAAGCGAACAGTATAATTTATCTCAAGTTCAGTAGTTCATTGATCTAAGATGCACCAGCATTTTCTTCCTCAAGATAGCTTCGTCCTTCTGAGCGTCCTTCTCAGCGTCTTTTGATCGTTCTCCTAAACGTCGGGTCCTTGAAACGTCCTTTTAAGCGTCTTCTCTCACCCCTCTTCTCTCCTCACCTCTTCCCTCCTTAAGTTTCTTTCTCCTCGGGGCCCTTATCTTCACCGCTAAACACCAAAACTGATTGCCAGGTTCTATTCTGGTTGACCGCATTCGTGGTCTCTGGGTCTGCGTCCGAGCATCGCGAAGACGCAGCGCCCGATCGGTTCCAGGGCGCAGGTTATATCCTCCAGCTCGGCTGCAGGGAGGGTAAGGAGCTCATTTCTAAACCACTGGGAGTTGACGGTGCGCTGGATAAAGCCAAGGGTCTGGAGCCGCCGCCTGAACTCCATTACTATAGTCCAGTGCACTGCCGATCTCGTGTGTGGTTGAACTGCCAGCCCAGTTCCTCAAAGTCTGCCCGTGATCAATCTGCGAGCTCTGGGGTCCCCTTCCACACCTAGTCCCAGAGGCAGTCTACGTATCAGGCGAGGTCGGCGGTTAAGATCTCAAAGTGGGTGGCAGACGGGTCCCTCCCCGAATGCCCTTCAGGATCTCGTAGGTCTTGGCACCATTCTTCCCCTGGTGGCACTCGTTCCGAAAATCACAGCCCTAGAGGGCACCGCATACCGATCTCATCCCCTTCACCTCCGGGATGTATCCTCCGCCGTGACTTCGCACTCCAGGGCATCAGTGTTCCACTATTGTCGCCCAGAAGTAAATAGTACTCTTGATTGTCCATCACGGAGTACCTGAAAGCGTACCCACTACACCACCTGGGGCCAACGAGAGCCGCCAAAATCACGCCCATCGTGTTCACCGGGGGCCTTGTCTAATATAATAATTAAGTCATTCCGGAAAATAATTCCTATGAGAAACGATGTCATTTTGATGTTGTCGAGAGCTTCAAGCTGAGGCAGCTTATTTTCTAGAGGAGGTGGTGGCAAACCTTCAAGTATGCTATGACGATTTAACTGAATGTCTCAACGTACGAAATGTATACATCATGATGGTGGGGGCCTTTACAATATGTACTTTTAGTGGACTGCAGCAAAGACCAAAGGGTTCGTTTCTCTCCTTTCCCCATTTATCAGAGCCAGTTGTCAACCAAAGTTACCAAAAGATGACTATCCCAGATGAAGTCGATATCATTGTCGTCGGCGGTGGCAGTGCTGGTTGTGTTTCCGCTGGCCGTCTCGCCAATCTCGATCATAATCTCCAGGTTCTGCTGATCGAGGCGGGCGAAGATAACCTGAACAACCCACAGTACGTAAATATCACTGGTGTATTGACTACATGCTAATGCTTAACAGAGTTTTTCGACCTGGTATCTACCCACAGAATATAAAGCTTGATTCTAAGACAGCCACCTTCTACCATTCTCAACCATCGAAAGCTATAGATGGACGGAGAGCCATTGTGCCAGCTGCGCGGGTCCTTGGTGGAGGGAGTTCAATCAACTTTATGGTAATCTGCACATGTCATTTCTTGTATTGAGGTTCATCTAAGTGAATAGCTAGGTGTATACAAGAGCCTCGGCCTCGGATTATGACGACTTTGAAGCCAAGGGATGGACAACGAAAGAGCTTCTGCCTCTCATGAAGAAGCCTGAAACCTACCAGAGACACAGCACAAAGCGAGACGTCCACGGCTTTGACGGTCCAATCAAGGCCTCCTTTGGAAACTATACATATCCAATCATGCAAGAGTTTCTCCGTGCGGCTGAATCTCAAGACATTCCAGTCACTGATGACCTGCAGGACCTACAAGCTGGGTAAGAACTCGACATCCTAAGTAGTAATTGCATTAGTACGTTTCGGTTATATATTGACTTGCTGTGGACCTCTAGCCACGGTGCCGAGCAATGGACTAAATGGATCAACCGTGATACAGGTACTGCAGTCTATCTCTTATCTGATCTTGCAACGTATCATACTGATTAATTTGTGGATTAGGCCGCCGCAGTGATGCCGCTCATGCGTATGTTCACAGCACTCGAGAAGATTACGAAAATCTTTACTTGAAGTGTAATACGAAGGTGGTTAGGGTTATTATTGAAAATGGAACAGCAGTCGGTATTGTAACCGTCCCAGAGAAGCCTCTGAAAGATGAAAAAATACAAAAGATTTACAGAGCGCGCAAGCAGATTCTTATCTGCGGTGGTACCCTCAGCTCACCTCTCATACTCCAACGATCTGGAATTGGTGACCCTAAAAAACTTCGTCAAGCGGGTGCGTCCAACTTCTCTCATCCCCAGAAACCTTGAGATCTGTCATTCTAAGAAGCTTCATACAGGCATCGAACCTATTGTGGACCTGCCAGGTGTTGGTTGCAAATTTTAAGATCATCACCTTCTGTTTTCTGCATACAGAGCGAGACCCGACACTGAGACATTCGATGAATTCGTTCGCGGAAATACCGATGTCCAAAATGCAGCTATTAATGAATGGATCTCTAAAGGCACTGGTCCGTTGTCAACAAATGGGATTGAAGCAGGTGTGAAGATCCGGCCAACTGAACAGGAACTTGAGGAGATGAAGAATTGGCCTACATCTGATTTTCTGAGTGGTTGGGAGAGTTATTTCAAGAATAAACCAGATAAACCGGTCATGCACTACTCTGTCATTGCTGGGTAAGAATTCAAACCCTCTGTGAGCTTCTCTCCAGTTTCTAATAAAAGGTCACAGCTGGTTCGGCGACCATTTGCTTATGCCTGGGAAATTTTTTACGATGTTCCATTTCTTGGTAACTACAATGAAGCACTTGATCCTATCTAGCTCCTAACAAGAAATGCAGGAATATCCTTTCTCCCGTGGATGGATCCATGTGAAATCCCCGGACCCCTATGAGGCTCCGGACTTTGATGCAGGATTTTTGAATGATGACCGTGATATCGCTCCCTTGGTTTGGGGCTATATCAAGTCTCGTGAGACAGCTCGCCGTATGGATGCATATGCTGGTGAAGTGACCTGGATGCATCCCAGTTTTGCCTCGGACTCGCCTGCTCGAGCACATGATCTGGACCTTGCAACAACTAAAGAATATGGTGGTCCTGCTCATATCACAGCTGGTATCCAACATGGTAAGGAAACCGCAGTGATTGCTGTCGTCCATCCTTTACTAAACCATGGTTATAGGTTCCTGGACCATACCCGTCGATCCTGGAATGCAGCTACCAGAGAGCGTGATCAGCTCCAGCCGGCAGGCAATTCGGGAGCCCATCAAATACAGCCGGGAGGACATTGAGTGTATTGAGCTCTGGGGTGAGTATACCTACTTCCCCATCTTCCTTCATATTCTAAGCACAATTCCCAGCGAGACGTCATGTAGAAACAACATGGCACTCCCTTGGTACGTGCAGTATGGCTCCTAAGGAAGGCAACTTCAAAGTCAAGCATGGAGGAGTTGTCGATGAGCGGCTGAATGTCCATGGTGTCAAAAACTTAAAGATCTGTGATTTGTCAATCTGCCCCGATAATGTGGGTACTAATCCTTACAGCGTAAGTCTTCCTTGTCGCTGTGTTCTATCTCATTTCCTTCAGCGAAATCTGGTATTAATGAATGTTTTTTAAGGTTGCTCTCTTAATTGGCGAAAAATGCTCTGTCCTGACCGCGGAGGATCTTGGATATTCGGGCTCTGATCTTGAAATGAAGGTGCCCACCTACAATGCCCCAGGTGAAACTGTTCATCTCCACCGAGTTTAACATGAGGACAACGGTCCAAAGAGCGTATTAGATAGTTTTGGGATTCTAGAATTTCACTTTTCTTGAGACTGTATTATCTTAGTCTTGAGAACGGGACTTGGGCGAGGTCGTGTCTTTATGTCCGGATGATGTGAGTAGAGGTTACATTACGGTGTATTGGGGCGCCAACCCGAAAACAGCAAAGCTAACCAGATGTAGTAATTCACAGGTCCCTATATTACTCTAAGATAGATTCTATTCAGTGTCAGCCATCTCGACCTTTTACTATATGGTGTAACGGAACACCTGATTGGACCACTTTTAAAAGACCAACCTATCTATCTGTACCGTCTTCTAGATCCTAGCCCGATCCAGCGGTAATCCCTTCTTCTCCGCCTTATCCTGAACCAGCGCAGCTAAAGGATCAAGACCAAGCTTGTAAGATTTAGCCGGTCTTCTAAAACCTATAGCTGACGTATGAGGCGATTATAGCAATTCTTAAGGATAGTCCGTCTTCCTGGCCCGGCACAGAAATAATAAAGTTGCGCTAGTCAATATCTACCTTCTGAAGTAGCAGTTTTCGTCTGTTAAGCTACTATTAGAAACCAGGAGTCAATTCTCTTATCCTAGCTTTCTGGATCTACTGAGGTACTACTATTAGGAGGATTAGGCATTTTTAGTCTGGGAGTCAGTAGAGCTTTTAGTATGTCATATCCTCGTATCGAGATATACTATCACTAAGGGTAAGGTTGCCGCAACTATTCGGCCGGTAAGTGCTAGTCTTAGCAGCCGATATAAGAAAGTGGTGCTTATACCGTAACCTAATAGGTCCTCGAAGGAATTCAATATCTACGCGGTCGCGGGAGAGCCCTCGCCGCCTTGAGTACCAATACCATATTGCTCACGGAGTCCGGTGGAGTCAGGATCGGTAAGTAGGGAACCTAAGCGCACCTGGTGGGCCAGATAAGTATAGTTTACTCACGGTGATTAATGTTATAGTAGAAGTGGAGCACAGGCTACAGCTACCAAATCGATACAGCCGAGATAGACGCGCTAACTCTGAAGCTATTCGCTTTAGCTAAGGTTATAAAAAGGCTGATTATAAAGAATCCTCCACACTAACTATCACACTCTTATAACTTGGTTCGCGAACCTTAACTCGAAACACGCCCGTCCATATTTGGAATTGTATTCGATCCATGATTTCCAAGAATAGACATTGTATTTTACATGACGCGGATGGGATCCTGCCAGATGTATTTTACTCGAGAATGCCATACAATCGCAGAATTGTATAGTAACGGCTGTATGTAGATGGACGATACAACAGCATTGAATTGAAATGGTATATTCGAGAATATTCGGCTGTACAGAATCTAGAAGAATCAATGTACCCATAATGCGCCAACCCAGTCTTTTTGGACACCAGACAAAAAAATATAGAAAAAAGGAATCGTGAGATCATGACATGCTCTTCGGTGGGAAAGTAGACGCAAGTTTGTTTCCGTCTTTTGTGAACCGCATGAACTTAATCGCGCTGAGACCCGACCAGTGTCCATTCCAGTTCTTCATTGCGGTCATTGCATATTGATCGCCTATATCAGGCATCCACAGTCCGGTCTCGAACTCTCGCGCCTCGGTTTGCACCCGCTGTTTCAAGGCCTCTTCGCGCTTGCTAGGAGGACGTCCCTTCCGGCGCTCTGACTCGAGCTGTTTGATTTCCTCGGTATCACGGTCAATGTACCTGGTTTGGATTAGTCTTGGGTTTGGTAATGGACCATCGGTGGTGCGTACTTGGTGACAAACTCGGAAATCTCTTCGGTCGAAAGGGCCTCAGTAAGTTCTTGGATAGCCTCATGGATGTAATCAATTCGGTCCACTAATCGAGTCAGCCGGGTGGCCTTCAATTGAAATGGGCAGTTGTCTCACAGTATGGCTGTCTTGCACGGTTCACAGTGGCGTTATGGCGGGACAATCGATCATCGCGAGCGCCAGCTTTGCGAAGTCGGTGGGCATCCCGACTGTTCTCATGAAGCACATTAGTAGAGGTGCGCTTCTTAGAAATCTGCTTGTGCACCTTTGTCAAGGTAACAGGCATGGTTGCGGGCTGATGACAAGAATTACTCCAAACACTCCGCCGTGGATTTCGACGATAATTTTCGTGGATGCAACGGCATAATTAAGCGGTGAACCCCAAAATCACCGCCTTCCCCACTCGAGGAAAGCGCGTCTGCGCGTCGAGATAGGCATTCCAGGAGTTATCTACTCCTTCAATCCTTTAACCGGGATTTGTTTTGGACCTGCTATTGCATTCAACATTCATTAGTCTTCTGCCGGTGAAAATCTCAACCTATGTTACCACTTATTGCTTGAATACGAGGACCCGCCTGTCCCTCGAACGGTGTCCACAATGGGCATCAAAGGTATGTCAACTTTGTGACTGTCTAGGGGAGATGAATGGCGATTCTAACACAGACAAATAGGACTGCACGGGCTTCTCAAGTCCATTCAGAAACCATGTCACATCAAGAATTTCAATGGGCAAACGCTTGGAGTCGATGCATATGGATGGCTGCATCGAGGGACTGTTGCTTGTTCAGTGGATTTGGTCCTGGACAATCCGACGAGAAAGTATGTCTTTCGATGTCTTATCCCATGAACTGTTAACTGACAATTCCATCTTATGACAGACACATTGATTTCGTCCTCAACCGAGTCCGCATGCTTCTTTTTTTTGGAGTGAAACCCTACCTCGTTTTTGATGGCGACAATTTGCCCAGCAAGGCAGGCACTGAACAGGATCGCTACAGACGGCGCCAGGAAAGCAAATGCCTTGGACTGGAACTACAACGAAAAGGAAGAATGGCGGAAGCTTACCAAGAGTTCCAAAAGGCCGTCGACGTGACACCCTATATGGCTCGCCAGTTAATTGAGGAACTGAAGCAAATGAATGTGCAGTATGTGGTGGCCCCGTACGAGGCAGATGCCCAGTTGGTGTACTTGGAGCAACAGGGTGACATTCATGGAATCATATCCGAGGACTCGGATTTGCTTGTTTTTGGAGCCAAGCGATTAATTTCCAAATTGGATCAACACGGCGAATGCATTGAGATCAACCGCGCCGATTTTACTGCGTGTCGCGAAGTCAGTTTGGTTGGCTTCAGTGATCCAGACTTCAGAAACATGTGCATTTTGAGCGGTTGCGATTACTTGGCAAATATCCCTAAGCTGGGGCTGAAGACTGCCTACCGGATTATTCGCAAGCATCGGAGCGTTGAGAAAGCCCTGCGCATGCTCCAGTTTGAGGGTAATTTCCGGGTCCCAGCCGACTACCTTGCCAACTTCAAACAAGCCGAGTTGACCTTCCTTTACCAACGGGTCTTCTGCCGCAAAGCTGAAAAGCTAGTGACTTTGACACCACCTGATAAGGATACCAATTTGGCTGCGCTTCCATATATCGGCGCCGATATGGAGCCGGAAATTGCCATCGGAGTTTCTCGTGGCGATTTGGATCCAACTACCAAGGAACCAATTACCCTGAAGCCACTGGCCGCAGGTAGATGGTCCCTTGGTATTAATCGCCGCCAGACATTGGGTACTTCCTCTGAGTTGAAGCCAAAGAAGTCCATCAATTCGTTCTTCACTCCCAAGAGGACACCGCTGGCCGAGCTGGACCCTAACAGCCTAACTCCGTCTCCAAGCCAGCAGCGACTCCTAGAGCGAAATGCGAGCAACAGCTGGCAGGCCAATGCAGCGCCTTTCCGCTCCAACTCGGTCAGGTCCACGCCTCTCAGGGCGTTTTCTGACCAAGGTCTCAGCCCTATGGTTCGGAGTGTGGAACGCTCCTCTTTTCTGGCCCAAAGTGCAAGATCGTCGGCCTTGCAGTGCACAAAGAGGCAGAGGCTGTGCTCTGAGGCCGAGGGGGATTCTCTGCCTGCTTGTCCCCCTGCTCGCAGTCGGTTCTTTGCTCAAGCCAGCCCTAGTCCTCAAGATCTCTCCCGGTCTAAACGGTCACGCAAATCAGTGATCGGTGTCTTTTCTGATGAAATTGCAGAAGACATAATGTGCAGCATTCCTGATCCCAGTACTACCCCTGGGCCTGCCGAGTCTACAACTGAGAGAAACCTTGAGATATCCGACAAGCCCAGTGAAGTTGATACCCCTTCTAAACCTACCTCCGACAAAGTCCTTGTGACAGAGAACCTCGATGTATCTCAGAATAGTCCTAGGGATAACACACCGAACTCCCCAGGTTTTAGTCTGGCTCTTGACTATCACGTTGACCGGCAAAACTCGAATTTACTCTCCAAGTTTACTTTTCAAGCTGGGCAAAAGCCCGAAACAACCGCAGCTAGCTCGACCATGACTAAGATTCCTGCGGTTCAGACTTCCCATAGACCTTCAACGCCCTCGAACCCCAGAAGCCCAGCTGCGATTGCACGGAGCAACGTCTTCCATCGACGCCTGACGCCGCTCCAGCGGATGGGACAGTCCGCTCTCAGTCGATCTCACAGCATCAATATTCCTACTAAACTCCGGGATGCCGAAGCTGTTGAACCTCGGACTGAAGCTTCATCTCCTATCGTGCATAAGGTGTCCTCTCTCGCAGGAATCCAAGGCAGCGAAGATCTCATTGTCCCAGACAGTGAGGATGAAGAGGACGAGGATGAGCCCAGCACAGGGTACTCAACCACTCTTGATCTGAAACGCTTTGCTTTTGCCGCGAATTAGGCTGCATCTCTATCTGATTACGGAACATAGAACAGGAACATCGGATTTTGGTATCCGGGGTAGCATTGGACCACTGATTTGGTAGGTTCCACTTTGGCGCGTAACTTGTGTTAATACGGAGTACTTTGGTTGGGTTTATTGTTTGACATAGCGTTGGTTAGAGCATACTCGAAAACCTGAAACATTGAAACGTGCCCGATCGCTAGCTTGTAGGTACTCCGTGCATCGAAGTGCATCATGTAGACGGCCCAATATTGAAGAGGCTGGGTGAATCGCGTGGCTTGTGGATGTGGGGCGAAGGTTATCGAGATCTGCACTAGTCCAGATCGGGACTAGAGCGGCCCTGGCTTTCCCGTGTCCGGCGGCAGAAATACCCACACGGAAGGCGGTCTACGCTGGTTACCGGGGAAGCGGGCGAGTAAACAAGGGCGTTGGCCCAGCCTCCCATATTTTCCTATACAACTTTGCCTCATCCCCAGCCTCCAGAGAGATTCAGAGAATCGGTCAATTAGCCTGACGTTGAGTTTTGTGCCATTTACGATCCCTTCTTTCCATCCCTTCCATTCTTTCTACACATTCTATCTCTCCCATATACTTCCCACCTGTACTACACACAGGCGTCAAGTCATATCATAATATCTGACCCATCTGGATAATCCACTCTAGGTGCAAACCGGATTCCACAATAATATCTAACATCCTGGATATTGTTCTAAGTATTCTCGGCATTGGATACGTCAACGATCTTTATCCTACTCTCCGCATTCTTCATCTACATTCCATTCCAACGATCTCGATCTCGATTCAACGCTCATCGCAAACACACGAACCAACAACAAGTGTGCCACTGGTGTACAATTCAGTTCGGTGATCGCATTCAATTCAGGCAACTCCTTCTCGGAGACCCGAGAAGCGAGTCAACAACAAATTGAAGGAGTCTGACCCCGACGTGGTCTTAATTGCACACAATGGCTGCTGGCTTTGCTCAAAGATGGGCCCGTAAGTGACGACATATCGAAAGAGAGCAAACAATGGCATTGTTACTAATTCTCCATACAGGGTTCATTCCAATGATCGGGTACCACCACGTGTTGATGATTATTATCGCAGTTGCTATTATCATATTATGTGAGTGCTTGTCCATTGCGCCCTCTACTGGAAAGCTGCTAATATAATGCAGCACTTCTGTTGGCCGGCTGCTCTTCATCATCTCCACAGATGCCCACCATCTTCCTTATCTCCCTATACTACGAAAAGTATAACCCTATTAGAGATCTCTCACAAGTCGACCCAGGGGTTGTCACTGCCCTCTCCAATATTGTCGGCGGTGCAGAGTTGGAAGTCCGAGTGGGATACTTTGGTATCTGTATTCAGCCTGATAAGGGTTCTTTCATCTGCAATGCCAATGCGACGGCGCTGGCTGAGATTGTCACGGTGGATCAAGATCCACTAAATCTGATCTGGGTTGCTTCAACGTTCAAAGATGCCGTTGTGTTTCCGTATCTCCTGTGAGTAACTGTAATTCCTTAACGTCAGACAAAACTAATTCTCGTGCAGGATTGTTGCTGTCATTCTCGCATTCTTTTGTTTCATCCTTCTGGCGACATTCCCTGGCTGGCACGAGGAGGTTGACGAAACTGGATCCGAGCGCGAAGTCAAGCCTTTCCCCTCTCGCCCCGTCTCCCAGGCTGCGCTAGCCCTCATTTTCGTTTCCTCGGTATTCGTTCTTGTGTCCGTATTATGGCAGCACACGGCATCTGTCGCTGCCAGTACGATAGCCCAAGACATGGGTAATGGAAGTGTGAAAAGCGGCGTCGGCTCTTCTGCAATGGTGCTTGGCTGGTTTGGCTTTGTCCTACTGGTGATAGTCACTGTTGGTTTGCTGGTCATGATCTTAAGTATAAGTCTGATTCGCAAACTGACCGATGAGGAATAATCAAACCATCCTCAACGCCGACGCAAAAAACACTTGCGCTCTTTGCTTTTCTTTTTTTTTCGCGACTTGCTTACACCTACTTCTTCTTTGCCTACGACATACCCTACCCTTATAACGGGACGACACAAATGGAAATGAATAATACCTACGAGCACACGACACTGGCTCGCAATTCACGGATGGATGGGAACGGAACACACGACACTTGGGACATTATGATTTCCCCAAGGGGAATTTGGGACTTGCACACTTGGATTTTACGAACATATTTGAGGACATGGATCCTCGCAGGCTTTTTATTCTTGGGATCTGACTGAGATATTTTTGTCGTTTCATCTCAAGACCATATTTGGCAGCTCTGCCGATCTGCCGATCTGTCAGGATAGAATGAATGGAATGCGATTGAGTCACATTTTGTACAGATCTCTTTTGCTTGAGTGGAATTCTGTTTTATGTTCAGCACACAGCGTTTTTTTTTTTTTTTTTGCTCTTTTGATCGGATCATGTATACCACAGCCTCTTGTTCATTCCACGCTGTGTTCACTTTTTCACTTCTCACACAGGACTGCCAATGCTAGATTAGTCCTTACGACACAATGTCAAAAATGATACCAAAGTCAAGCCTTCATTTATAACTCAATCTCTCCAATAACCTACAATAAGTGACATTGGATATCAAAAGCCCTTTCCCATTAGTTTATATCTACAGGAGTGTTGAATGTTCTTGGCTACCATTTGCTACAAGACTGTGTTTGGATATCATCTATAACATCAGGAACTATGAATATATTCAATGTCTGATTATCATCTGCTTCTAGAAAGTTGTGCCTCAAAAACTCGTCAAAGAGGTGCCAGCTGTTAAAGAGCACTCCCAGTAACCGGACGCCGGTGACAAGCAGGCTTTCCTCGTCAATGCTACCTGCAGGACACAATGCAGGACACAATGCAGGCAAAACCCATCAACAACGAAGAAAGGATATAAAGCGGAATCAGTATATATATAGACGTCAATCATTGCATGATCCCTCGCCATCAATTTGCGTGAACTCCGACAAATGGCAGCTCAGCGCGCATCACTAAAGCCTATTTCCGGATATACTAGCCTGCCGCCAATTCTGACAGCTGCAGCAGCAGAAGAAGCGTCCTGCAGAACGTTAGGCGAACAAGTCGTCATGAGTCCCTCATGAACCTAGTTAAAGCCCTAACAATCAACGTTCCGAGTCTGGACTCCCGATGAACTTCACCCCACAGGCACTGTGTCTTTGGCGTATATAGCCCACTGCGTATGGATTTCATTCGACAACGGCGAAGGTTTCACGGATATTTTATCCTTCAAGATAACCATTCGGTGGGATGTTTTTGGTCGTAACCAAATGAATCTCACCAAATGGCTATCTCGAGGGCTGCAATATCCGTGAGACCTGCCTCATTGTAGAGTGAGAGCCGTACCCTGTGGGAGCCAAATGGTTTGCGGGCGGAAGCATCGAGAATCCAGACTCGGAACGTTGATTGTGAGAGTTTTCAGGAGGTTGATCAGCGACTCATAACGACTTGTTTGCCTACCGTTCTGCCGGACCATTCTTCAGCTGCTACAGCTGTCAGATTGGCGATAGGCTAGTATACCCGGAAATAGGGTTTAGTGCTGAGCTCTGAGCTGCCACTTGCCGCACTATCTCACGCTGCTGATGCATGGGATAGAGTCGATCGATTTTCTTCATCAGACACTTTCAGCCACTAGCCAATTAGATTTGGAGGTGATCGATTAAATACCTGGATGAGACAGCAGGTAAGCAGGTAATCGGCCTTTGGTAGAGCCACGATGTGCTCAGGTGTAAGATGGAAGTACCAGAGCATTGCCTTGGTCGGTGCGGGAATGATCTCTTGGAAGATTTCAAGGATCTGCAGTAAATTCACGACATAACCATACCTCCTCATTTTTCCTCATTTTCCGGGCATGAACTTCACGAATTCCTGTCGCATCTATCAATTCGGACAGCTCCGACTCGTCGTCAGGATTGACGATGGGTACTTGGGGAAAAAGTAATTCAAGGCTATGTAAACGAAAGATTGAGGTTGATTCCGTTGTCCTTATCGTCGCCGTTATGGAGAAAATGATCTGCGGAGCGGACGATGAGTCGTCCGTGGGATAGATATATATGTATCAAAAGACATCATTCTGCACACCTGCTCAAGCTTCGATGAGAAGGGAAAGTGGGACGAAGCCATGGGTTGAATTGAGCAAGCTGGCTGAGAGGGAGAGAGAGAGGGAGAAAGGAAGATCAAATAGAGCAGAATTCCTATCTGCCCCCAGGCAGCAAGGCTGCCTCAACAAACCAAATTGTCTTAAGATAGAAGTTGCGGTGAGAAAAGTGGTTGCCAACCGTCTGACATATTCTAATATTGACTGACCACTGCTTCACCTAGAAAAGAGAAAGAAAGAAAGACCAGCCTTCAGACCACTTCCATCACATCCCACAAGGAGATATAGTTCGTACAGCGGGAAATGACAAGCTGCACAACCAGCAATTCATTGACGAACTAGCACTCAGGATCCTGGCACTCCTGGATGGCCAGGAACTGAGGCAGTTTCGGGAATTTCTCTAGAGTATAGGTAACATTCCGAGAACTCGCTTTGTTCCCACGGGACCGAACGTAGTAGGTTTCACTAAAGTGACGGAGGAATTTATTGGCCAATTCCTGGTTTTGCTTGTTGTAGGAAGCATTCATGCGAGACATCTGAGTCTGTTGTAAAATAATGTAGTCGGTGGCAGCTCCCGCGTAGTCCTCGATGAGAAGGAAGTGCTCAATCTCGGTATGAGCAGGACGTGGCGTCAACGATTTCATTGGAACAAATTTATTCCTTCCTACAGTCACTGCAGCAGTTGGCGCAGTAATCCAGAGTGTAGTTTCGAACGCCGGTGTAGTTGGTCGGTTCCCACTAAGAGAGGAAGTAAGTAGGCTCGAGATCGCATCACTGCTGACCACGCCTGTGAAACTGTCGCTCACGCTATTAATAACTACCGAGAACATGCAATCTGGCAATGGCCTTGAAGGCTCGATTCCACCGACTGGGGTGTCTTCCCACGTCATGACTGTCTTCTGCGCCATGGCTTTGAAGATTATAATACCGTTCTGGCAGACTTCCATGCTAGGTGCTCGAAGTACTGATAACCGAACTCTAGCATCGACCATGCGACAGGAAACTAGTTTGAACCAATTCTGGGATGGCCTTGAAGTTGGCATATGGATGCAATAGACTACAAGTGTTCAATGGAAGCCGACTTTGGATAATAGAAAGTTACAGATAATGCTGAAGACCAGCCCGCGGGTCAACCTTCCGAAACTGCGGCTTTGAAGACTCCAAATACAGGTTAAATGATCAATAGTCCATGGAGTAACCCCCTCTGCCTGCACCTCCGCCACCATTGTGTCCATTCTTGCTGTCGTGTTGCCCGTCGTGTCCAGTGCTATGATCATCTAGCGACCTATACTGGTAGTATTCACCTCGACCACGACCTCGGCCGCGACCTCGGTTGTTGTTACCGCGCCCGCGTCCGACACCTCGGCCACGTCCACGATGAGCTCCTCTTCCTCGCGGACTATCATCGTATTGGTGACGTCCATCACCTCCGCCGCGCTGGGAGGAGTGATAGTTGCCGCGGCCATAAGATGGGCCATCAGAGCCGGTGTTTTGATTGGGCCAGACGACATTTCCGTCGTCCGGCTGGAAGCGTCTCTTTTGACTCCTGTTCAAGGGTTGCTCTCCTTGACGATACTCTCCGCTGTCCTCGACTCGTAGGACAACCTTCTCGCCGACCACAGTCTCAAAGGTCATGGCTTTGTCAGCCGGAATGGGGTGCCAGTTTTGGATCTTCCCTGCATCGATGAGGCGAGCACCTTTGCGAACAGCCAGTACTACAATTGGCAGTGGGTTCTCCGTGTGATAAGGCTCCGTTGCCGGGATAGGTGCCACGCGGGCTGCCCATATCTTGTTGTCCAGATTTCCGGTTCCGGTAACCTGCCACTTTAGTTTCTTACCCAGGCCTCCAACCTTGTCCAGGATTGAACGAGGTGCTGGGCGTGGGGTGATTAGGATGCTGTTAGCCATGTACTTCAGGTCATTTGATTCACCAAGCCCTGGGGGGAGCAGTGGAGCCAGCAACTTCTGCGTCATGCTGTTTGAAACCTCTGGAGAAACCAGATAACCTGTGTAGAAGACGACACGCTTGATATACAACCGCCCAGAGCGGCTTTTGGTTACGTTCAAAGCAGGGTTCCGCAGTGTGAGGTTGTGGGAATTGACCATGCGCTGCACCTCAGAAGCCTCAGTTACGGGGTCAAGGTATGTGCTGCCCTCAGTTACCTGGATGACTTCAGCAAGGATAGGCATCCGTGCAGTAGAGGGTCCATTTTGGAGGTCTCTGTTCAGACACTCAAAGAAGTCTCGGAAGCCTTTCACACTAGCAGAAGGTTAATACATTGATATGCTCGGATTCTCCAACTCGGTTGCCACAGGACTTACTGTCTGACACGGTCCTCGTAGACGCGGATTTCCGCAGCCTGCTCGTAAGTGAAAACAAGATCCTCGAGAAAGTTTTGTTTGAAGTTCATTGTGGTCGCAAACCGTTGACCATGTGGACCAACTTCGGGTTTGAGACCAATTAGGTCGAATTCAAGATTTTGACTAGCGACCATCCGCTTGATGATATCTGAGAAGCCGGCCTCACTTCGACCGGTCAGCAACACCGTGAGCGCATCTTTCTGCTCCATGCTATTCCTAACCAAACTAAGCTTTAAAAAGTCAGTTCAAAACACCCGCAACATGTAATATGTGATAGAAGGCACACAATTTGCTCATTCCACCAGCCTTCCCATTTGCGGGGCTCTTCTATCTCCATGCCTTTTCCTGTAGCGGCGAGAATGTTGGGGTCGTGCCACCATCCTCCAGTTGCGAAACTATCATTGGTTTGAAGGAAGCCGACTGAGGAGCCATGCCATAATTGTGGGTTTGGTAGAGGACTTAGAAATACTGAAAGTGCGAATGTTAGAATCGAGTGTCAGACCATCCTAAGCTTTGCATATGCTCACAGGTGTTGTCGAAATCGTAGACGTGAATTGCGCGAATTTGAGAAACAGCTGGAAAATATGAAAGCCGTTAGAATTATAACAGGAGAGTGGACCATAGTGAGATCGAACCTGGCAGCTCCTTGTTCACAATAGACCAGCGTCGTAGCGAGGTGATCGTATGCGGGCGATTAATCCCGCTTCCAGTGCTGTACGACATATTGGCAGCAGAGCCAAATCGTGCAAGGTTCTCTGAAACGACTGCTTTGGCAGATCGCATTCTATCAGGTTAAGGGGAGATATGTCGTTAGCGCATAGTTGGGAGAGAAAGAGGGTTGAAGTCGCAAAAACGAGCAGGCGCGGTGACGGAGCTCCCGAGAAATCGGTTTTGCCGCCGAGAACGCGATAAACGGGACAAACGTGACTTCGAGAATTCAACACCTGCAACCCACCCCTAGCATGTCGCCTGTATGGATGATGTCGATTTGCGACAGGAAATCCTCCAGCAGACTCTTAAAGAGGTAGCTGGTGAGGAGAAAGAGGCGGCAAATCCTTGTGTTATTTGCCTAGACACTATCACCGAGCCCTGTGTGGCACAGCCATGCCACCATGTCAACTTCGACTTCCTCTGCCTTGTTAGTTGGATCGAACAGCAACCTAAATGCCCCCTATGTAAGAAACCAGTGGGCAAAATACCGCTGACTAGACCTGACTGACAATCCAACAGGTAAAGCCGAGTTGACAGCGGTGCAATACGAACTCAACGCCACACAAGGTCCGAAGCTATACAAGGTCCCGTCTCCGAGCGCAACATTCCCGACAGTTCCAGTTACTAGTCGATCACGTCCTGGCAATCGCTACGGCCCACGGGGAGGGCGACGTCCTCCACCCCCGCCGCGACCACAGTCAGATGACCCGCTCGAGCGCCGGCGCAATGTCTATCGCAACCGAACATACTCCATGCGAGTCGGGTCCAATCGGTTATCTCAGTATCGAGAATTGACACCAGACCTCTTCGCTCGTGACGAGGAGCTCGTCTCGCGTGCTCGGAAATGGATTCGCCGCGAACTACGAGTCTTCTCCTTCCTGAATCCGGAACCGGAGCATGAAGAGCGGATATCTCACCAAGTTTCGCGTCCTGGACCTCAGCGGCTGGAGAATCGCAGGGCGAATAATGCCGAGTTCCTGCTGGAATATGTCATCGCTATCTTGCGCACGGTCGATCTCAAAGGCAGTGCTGGACAAGCGGAGGAGCTGTTGCGTGATTTCATCGGCCGCGAGAATGCATGTCTGTTCCTCCACGAATTGCAGGCGTGGCTGAGAAGTCCATATAATTCCTTGGAGGACTGGGATCGTCATGTTCAGTACTCGAATACTCCGCGAAGTGTGTCTGACGGAGGAAATAGGGATGGTCGCTCGGGTCATAGACCGACTCCTGTGAACAATCGGAGTAGACCACAGAGGTCCCGAAGACCATATAGGTCCAGGTCTCAAGATGCGATTGATCGCTCCAGGCGGCTGCAGCAAGCTCAACAGCGATATAATCCATATTAGATGTGCAACTAGATATGAAGGTGTTACATCCATATTGTTAATAATTGTCTAGGGAAATAATCAATCTCTGGTTCCCACGTTAAACCGTTTCAGACTTTGTGCTTTTCATTTAGAAATAATATTTTCCTCCCATGCAACTCTCTCTTTGCGACTTCGAAGTCGATCAAGTACTGTACCTAAATCTGGGGGATGAACATAATCCCGGATTATGAACTGGTACTATTATTCAATTGCGGTATCGATTATTTCAGTGTTTAGTACGTAGTTCTCAGATCTGGACAGGCAGGGTAGAGGGCTCGGGGGTATTGATGCGCTATGAATATCTGAGATATGAGATGCTATGTAGTTATGCTAAATATGAATGTTTTAATGTAGTCGTCTCTCCATCCACGAATGAAGAACAAGTAGGGCTGACCGATTCTTATTTCCGGCGGAAACGCCCTCTACCCCGAGAGGAACCTCCTCTGTTGATGCTTATTGATCGATAGTTCGCATGAGCTTCGGCTTTGATCTTCCGAGGACGAGGTTTCTTTGCTTCGACAGTCTCAGCAGGCTTCTTCGGAGGTTTCCCCATGGGTTCTTGTTCCTGTGGCTTCACGGAAGAGGATGAAACAGCTTCCTTGATTCTCTCCGAGAAACTCTTCGGTCTGGCAACAGGCTTTGGCTGTCCTGCGAATTCAGGGTCATCGTTCGAGTCGGAATCAAATTCGGCCTCGGTATCAAGCTCGGGCTCCGACATGGTATGAAGGGAAGCGGCCTCATCCGCCCGTTCAATGTCACTCGGGACATCATCCCAGCCGTCACTAGCCGCAGGTGGCTGTTGCGTCTCCGGAACTGCTACAACATCATCTTCATGTTCCGAGTCCTCATTCGCAAGAGCTGGGTTTGGTTTGGGCTTGGGTTTCGGCTGATGAATAACCGGCCTCATAATCACTCGTCGCGTCGTCCGTTTCTGGCCCTTCTTCTTGTATTTCCGGTTCACATCTGGTCCTTGACTATCCTCAACCTGGATCTTGGCAGCTTCTTCCGCCTCTGCCTCTTCCTCCATCTCGCGCATCACATCCCAGTCGTCATCCATACGCTCCTCCTCCATATCCCGCAGTCCTTGGACTAAATGCGTTAGCCCCTTGCTGGCAAATCTTTGCGGCTTACGCGAGACAATAGGACTGAGTCCTGGACCATCATGCTTTGCACTAAGTGGAGGATATCGACCAGAGTTGGACCGACGGAGGAAAGATGGTGTCCCAGATTGCGCTTCCTGGGGTGATATTTCATGTGCTGGGTTTAGCAGATTTGTGCTCTGTGAATCTGCATTATCGGTCGCTTCCACCATGGCGGCATAACGCATTGTCGTCGGTGTTGCGAATAGATTTGCAAGATAGAACTGCTTGGTCTCAGATGCAGGGGTTCGCGCAAGCCTGGGCGTCTCCTGCTGAGGCTCTTCTTCCGGGGCCTCGGGGATTGTGCTTACGGGCTTTCGTTTGGAGGGTGTGCGGAATGCGGCAGCTAGGTTATTCGTTCGCCTTGTGGCGGAAGGCGTTCCACCACTCCCGCCAGATTCAGATAGCATGTCGAACAGGCCCAATGTCTTTCCGTCACGCTGAGGCGTAGGCCCAATTGCGGCCTTTAATGGCGATGGTGCTGGTAGTCCTTGCCGGTGTGTACTGGGACTAAAGAGTCTGCGAAGAGTCGACGGCGAGTCATACGGATCCAGTTGTGCAGGGTGGTGCTTGGTACGATTGTTGGATGGAGTCGCAAAGAGCCCTCTGGACGATTTGCGGGGTGTGACTTGGAGAGATGTACTATCCTGACCGGGGGGAGATGCATGTTTCCGCTTTTTCGAGTGGCTTTCATATCCCTCCTGTCGACTGTTTTCGCGCCGGCTTAGAGATGCTTCAAGTGCCTTGAGACGACTGTATTCCTTGTATTTAGCAGCTAGTGCATCGAAACGTTTTTCCAATTAGTGATTTATTTTTTTAGACATTATGCAACACGAGATTATCGACCTACCGATATCCGCGTTTTGTTTGATATCATCGCGTCCAGCTTTGCGGCCCCTATTGGCTGACGAGAAGGCTTTCTCCCACGTTTTCAATTCGGCGCGAACATTGACAGCTTGTGCACCGACCTCAGCACTGGAAGTCAGAGCGTTGTCGGCCATTATTGCATTGTATGTGGTATCAGACAACCTAGAAGAAAAGCAGTCCGTAAATCCATCGATGCGCGTCACGCGACGCGAACTGATTAACGACAAGATTGGTAGGCGGTCTAATTCTGCAATTATCAATCATTTCAATCAACACCACGGAGTGACTACTCCTTGGAAAGGATATGTTCATCGGCTTAATTTGCCCAAGGTAATAAAATGGTGGCTTTCTAGGGCTATGTACTTTTACCTAGGAAAAGGAATGCCGAGGATCATCCATCATAAGTGGACTTACTGCCAATCGTACATTGTAGCGCATTCCCTCCCAGCTACCCGTACGACCACTCGGGGGGAGGTACGTAGATAGTCACTACTGGCAATGATACAGCGAATTGGAAGTATTTAAGGGCTTTGAGATCTCCAGCGGCCAATGTCTTATCTCTAAGTGCATATCTAGGCTCATACGTGTGGATTGATACGTAGTTAGGTTTTGTGTTGTTGGTGTCTTTTTCTGACTGACCAAAAGCTTGTCGTAACAGCACTTTGCTCTAGACGAGACACAGCTCTGGCATAGTAGCTTTCTAATATCGCATTTCGCCCGGCGTTATTTGCAAGGATGATACGGTCCTTGAACTATACGCTCACATTTCGGGGGCATAGTTGTACGGTTGTCATTGTGGTACAACACGAAGGAAGTGAGAAAAAAGTGGGAGTCATCGTACTAGGAACCTGGGAAGGCCTTGGTCAAGATAACCGAAGCGGAGACGCGAAGAACGGCACCTAGCGAAAATTGACGGATGTTCCAACTGCTCCACATGCGAAGGACTAAAGAAGTGAAGCCATCCCTCCTTTCGTAGTCGCAACAGAAATATTGGGATTATGGAGCAATGACCCCGCGGAAAACTGTTACCTCATCTTCATCCCCGACAAGCGAGCCATACCAAATACCAAACGCCGCTCCACTGCCGACTCCACAAACTAGGGACCCCATGCGACCCCATTCTCCGTCTCCATCTGCATCTCCACGTTAAAGCAAGGAAGAAGATCCACAGCTCCGCCGGCACCACTGATCTCTTCCATCCAAACCTGAGACACGTACGAAGGGCATATCATCGCGAGGCTCATAGTATCGTGCTCAAAGATTGTGAGCATGTCACTGCCCGTATCATTTAGCATGCTGATATGGAAAAAGGCGCCATTACCACCTTCCAATAGCGGAAGACGGATACGCGCTTTGAGCTAAAGCCAAAACCGCATTTAGAGGATAGTTCAAAAAAAAGGGAAAGGGATTAGTGTCCATGAATGTAAGGGCCATGTCCATAGCTGGCCTTCTGTACACATTGCTGCGAGGTACGGTTCCCACGCTATGTTATATTAGCGATAACAGAAAAGATAATAGAGATTAGATCAAGCTTACCTCGCAGAAATACGGCTTCTTGGCCGCAATACACTCTTCTTGGCTGGCAACACGCCCGTCGACCACGAATACCTCGTCGTTCACCGTGATTGTTCCGTTTTGATAAAGCTCAATCACGGTGGCGACATTCTTCGCTTGACTTGGGCGGTAGAGAGGGTCATTCGGATCAAGCACGCGCGCAAGAGCGGCAGCTCTCTGCTCGTTGGTGGGTGGAGGGCGAGGCAAGCGGGGCTGCTCCCAGAATTCAGCGGGAGGTTGTTTCTCGGAATTCTGATTGGATTCTTCGGGGGTTGGCGACATTTTGGATTCTGTAAAATGGAAGAGAAGAAGCAAAGGAGAAGGTCTTACTGAGTTGACGAAATGGTTAGATTCAAACCGCCTACCAATTGTAGGTCGCTCGTTACGCATATGACGGTTTCCGAGTAGCACGGCGAGGAGCAAACATCGTTCGATAAGAGAATGAACTGCCTGGCTTCAGTCGGGGAGCAGCTTCGAGATTTTAATTATAATCACACGTCATTTTCGCTTCTGTTGGTCGCAGTCCTTCTGCTCTATTTTCTAGACAGCTATATCGAATGTCGTCATCAATCTGCGTCCACGGCACCTCTCCCCGAGCAGTGCCTGTTCAAGGATAATTCACTCGGTACTAGATTATAAGAAGCCATTCGTACCGTAGCGACTCTAGAAGAAGGATATTAGAGTTTAACAGAGTGAAAGTTGCCTTGAAGCATGCTCCGGATAAAAAAAACGATCTGATTTGATCACTGTGGTTCCTGGTGCAATGCAAGAGACAGAAAAAGAGCGAAAAGGATTTGATACATAAAACTGACCATTCAACTCTCGCCCAAAGAGCCCTGTCTTCCTCCTATTTCCCTCGCTATGAATGCATTAAAGATCGCCATTTGAATCAAAGCTAAACCTAGCACCATTATCTTCCCATTACCAACTCGTCAACCCTTTCACCCGATCAAACCCACCCCTCAACTGCGACTCAGGATGAACAACCTTCCCCTGAAGAATAGTGTACTTAACAATGCCCTCGCAATGCTCAGGCCGCACACGCGCAAGCCAAATCATCTGCTGGTCCTTCTTGCGATAGATCAAAACATTCGCAGAGAACTTGTGCCCGCCGACATGCGATACGAAGAAGATGCCCACCCCGCCGACCCGGGAGTCATCCGGATCCCGGTCGAGTCCCAGCGGACGGAGTTGTCGCTCCAGCTCGCGCTTGATGAGTGGCGCTGTGATACCACAGCGCGCATCTCGGCGTCCGTGCGAGCACAGTAATACCACGTAGTCGAGTTCACAGGCTCGAGCGTTCATTCCATTCGCGGGAGAGCCATTTTGCTGGTCGCTGGGGTGATCGATGTATCTGGCTATCAGATCTGGGACGTCCTTTTGCGTGACGGAGTCGACGTATGTGAATGACGGGAGGATTAGTACTGTGGTGGCTTGGGTGGGACTTTCGTCTGTAGTTGGCTGTTCTGGAGGGGTGAGATTTGATGCTGACACCTTGATACGCTGGATCGGGTGTTAGTGGTGGTAGGCTACATTTTGATTATAAAGCTTACACCGTGGTCTGATTTTGCCCCGTCGAATGCTTCCATCAAGCTTCCTGTCGTGTTTTCGACATTCTTCTCCTTCCAGTCGGATTGCCCCGTTGCGACGAGAACATGGGTCTGGAATTCTTTGATATCGCCATAAAGAGGCCTTGAAGTTTCGACTTTGACTTTGGACGGGAACTTCACTGTGCAGTCGGCGCAGTCATTTAAACATTCGGGGCCGTCCGTTTTGGGATCCACTTTAGGAAAGAGGTAGTCGTTGGTGCCCGCGCGGCCCAAGGAAAGCAAGGAACGCAACATGGTTGGAGGTCTGATAACGCTGTGAAGGCAAAGTTGAAAATTGAAAGTCAAGGCTATGAGGCGTTTTTTGAAGTTCAGGGTTGCCTCCAGGGCTGGAAATGTGGAGATAGATATAGAGCTCAGTATCTCCGAGAGACTATACTCCGTACTCCGAGCCGGGACAAAAAACCCGAACCCCGAGCTAATAGGGTTATCTCCAGACTTGGGTCTCTGGTGTTAAGTGGAGATCATTATACGAGACCCTTTTTTATCTCGGGGATGGCTTTTTAGTTTAGACTGACGGCCACTTAAGAGTCCATGTATTTGATCTTTATCTGGCATGTGAAAGGAACCTTGGGAGCTCGCATCCTGCTAACTTCAGGGCACTTCATTGATCCCAATGAGGTGTACAGCCCAATCTTATCAGATCACTCAACATCAACCTCAAGTTTAGCTACGTTGAAGAATGACACATACTGCTGTCTGTGATATCTATGAGCATTGATACTTGTGCTTCTTGTATCGCATCGAAAATCTCATTAAAGCAAGGTGTAATAGAACAACTAGCTCCCGATGGGGGCAGCACTGGTGTAACGGGCTTGACGTCGGCGTCGGGGTGTGTTCAGGCCAGGCCCATAGTCATCAGATGGAACAATAGCTGTGCATGGAGTACTATGCAATTACTCGTACGAGCAAGGCGAGAAAACCAAGGGAATCAAGTTCCATGTACGCATACAACATATAGGGGCAGTGTTGACATGGATCGTGGTGGTGATTATGGCTGTTCTCGTGATTCAAAACTAGACCAACATCGGGAATATCGCGTGTCGTTGGTGCCCAGAGATTGCCAAGGGATGCAGTTGCCCATCCGCAATGCTTGAATGCTTTCCGATAGGCCTTCGGGGATTTTCAGTCCCGAAATGTCATGGAAAGGAAGATACCCATGTCCATTCCATGCAAGCCAAGTAAACCCCTTAGTGGGGTCTGGATTGTTCACGGAACCATCGGGACTGGAATATGTGGGCCGGGGAAAGTAAACCCGATAGACAACATGAGGGAAATTGTGAAAGAATAAGAAAGAAGAGGAATTGCTTATTCTTTCATCATTCGAGTGATGTATAAAGAAAAGAAGATGAAGACAAACAAAACAAAAAAAAAAGAAATTGCCACGCGACGTCGGTCAGACTTTCCAGATTGGGCGGCTCCACGGGCGCAGAGCGGGACCACGTAAGCGGGAGCTGGAGCCTATTCCCAGAACTTCTCAAACATCTCGGACGTAAGGTCTTTCCTAAGTATAACCCGAGCCTCCAAGGTTATCTTCAACACCGAGTGCATGGATGTTCAAGGGAATGCCCAGCCCGAACGCGTGCGGAAGCGTCGCCGCCGCACAATGGCGTGCACGCAGTGTCGCACGCGCAAGTTGCGATGCGATCGCGAGTATCCCACTTGCAGTCGCTGTCTAAAAAGCAGAACACCGAACAAATGCACATATGAAGATGGCTTTTTATGGCAGCAGCCCACCACCGTCCCGACTAATGCATTTGCCTCCGACCGAGGGTCTGCGGTACCTATGCCTAGAGATACACCAGTCGACACACCCCGGGATTCGGGGATACCGATGGTGTCAAACCGGCCGGAACCTTTCCCAATTAGTGAACCGTTCCCAACTAGTGAACCACCTCGTCTGGCAAGGGCTGGCGGTCCAATGCATCACGAGTACCATGGTCTTACCGGGCATGCGCTTGCGCCGCCCTATCGAAGTCGACCACACGACAGAGAGCGAAAGGACTGCTTTTTGGAAACTGTTCTCGGTGTGCCTAAGGCTGCTGTTAATCAGGAACCTTACCTGAATACGGGTCTTTTACAGCGTCCCAAGCGCCCAGCGCCGGCGACGGAGCATGATATGCAAACACCGTCGCAGGTCGACGATCCGCACATTGACGAAGAAGAGGACCCATTGTCACCTACGGACCAGCTCGACCTCTCTCCTCGAATGATGATGAGGGGGCGTGAGACCAAAACGCGGTTTAGCGGATCGGGTATCTTTGCCAGTCTAGTTGCACAGGTCTGCTCTCACCATTTAGATTCTAATTACCAAAATACGGAGGCTGACTATTATTAGTTTCCGGATATAAAGCCATTTGCAGATGAGATCAGGCTTTCTACCCCAATCTTCACGCAACTTCAGTCAGACCTAAGAAGGGTTAAACGCGGGCTATTGAAACATATGGTGCTCAACAGGCCCTTCCCCGATCCTACGACGGCTTCGCTGATTAACATGCTGCCCTCGCGTGGTGTGGTCGATGAGCTTGTCGGGTTGTATATCACTTATATCGAGTCTACTCACCGCATTCTTCATGTTCCATCCTTCCTACGAGAGCTTGACCAATTTTGGGCCATGTTAGACAGCCCGGCATCAATATCTGCTGCCTTTACAGTTCAGGTACTGTTGGTCCTTGCCTGTGCCTGGAACCTTGCAGATTTTGCTAGTCTGCAATCAAAAAGTGCGGGCGAACTCAAGTGCCAGTGTGCAGTGGAGTGGACGTTGCACGCAGGACAATGGATCGAGAATCTTCACACAAAGCGCCCGGAGATCACATCAATGCGACTATCGATTCTGTTGATTTTGGCGCGCAACGCCCACGGGATGAAACGCAGCCAGGCTTGGCTCACAACTAGTACATTGGTCAAGCAAGCAATGATGGCGGGATACCATCGCGATCCAAGCCGATACACACGTATCTCTGCATTCAACAAAGAGATGCGGCGGCGAATATGGACAACCATTGTAGAACTGGACCTGCAAATTGCTCTTGACCGGGGGATGCCACCGTCAGTACAAAGCTTCGACTACGATACGGCTCCAGGGCTGAACATTTACGACGACGAGATCCATGAGGACAGTACTGAAGTTCCCGGAAGCCGGCCATTGAATGAAATCACCGACTCCTCGTTCCAGTCTGTTCTGAGTCGCTCACTACCTGTCCGCCTCCAAGCATGTTCCCTCATGCACTCCCCACGAATTAACTGTCGATATGAGGATATTCAGCGTCTGGACGGTGAGCTCAACCGCCATCTTTCTCGAATTCCTGCGTGGGTTGCAGCAGACCCCAGCGACATCATTACACAAAACAAGATCATACTATGGAAAGGCTTGATTGAGACCAAACTTTGCCAGTCTCTACTGTCTGTCCACACTCCTTTTGCCATCGAAGCACTACAAGAAACACTCTTTGCTCCCTCCGCGCGTACTCGCATGGATGCCGCAACCAGAATACTGTCAACCCAGCGCCGGCTACACGACATTTCACGAACGCTGTCGCTATGTATGCTTGGTGAATGGACTATCCAAGCCTACATTTCCATCTGCCAAGTGCTACACACAACCGAATTCGATGCCTGTAAGTTTTTTTTATTATAATACTTGACTATTAGAACCAAACCTGATAATTTGCAGCCCAACCCTCATCCATCTCCTCTGCCTTCATTCTCCACAATATACCCGGTATCCCCGAATCGCTCCTATCACTCGTTGAAACAGCCCTGATCGCCTTGGAAGAGCGCTCCCTTTTGGTGACCAAGGGAGCCAAAGACTATTATTTCCTCTCAACGATCGTCGGACTAGTCAAAGCCCGACTTTGGCCCGCACAGGCAACTATGTACAAGCAGCAGGTTGTCGAGCGGGTCCTGTCATTTGCGCAGATCCTCTTCTCTCGGCATATGAACTGCGACCACCTCGGCGATAAGGGGATGGGCAATTTCAAGGACAACCAGGTGGCTGCATTCATGGCGGCTCCAACAATGGTGCCCGTCATGCAGGCCGAATTTGATCCCAATGGGATGCACCCGCCACTGCAATCTGGCGGCATGGTGAGTTCCATTCTATCCTTGGTTCTCGTCTTCTTTTGTGCTAACTGGGAATTTCTAGCCATCTGGCGATTTCGATCCTTTCTTGGACATCTTCGATTGGGAGGATCTGACAAGTATGACATTTCCCTGTTGAATGGAACAGTTCGGCCAAGCTTTGCGTTTTTCTACGGACTGCACGATACACACTTCCACTTTCTGCATTTGCTGTACTCCTAAAATTTGTACAATAGTTGAACTTGCTCAGGATACCCATAGTAAATACCAAGAAATATAGTTATGACAATGCGGTCATTCAGATATCATTGCGCAATCATGAATATTGTGACTCGATCGGGTCCACCATGAGATCATGATCGAAGGCACCAGGATTGACAGCATGCAGGGGGTGCAGATCGGACAAGGGAAAGATCAATGCCATGCTTAGCACGGATTCTTATTTGCACCCTTACTGACAAGTGCCGAGCCTTATATGTGACTATTTTTCTCTAGCTTTGACGGTTTTGCGTTGCTTTGCCTTGTAAAGTGAAGCCTTGTTTGTTACTGATCGTCATGCTACGTAGCTATTGTGGGGATGATATTCAATAATCGACTTTGCAGATCGGGGTCCAAGGCCTACGAACAAGCTTTGCAGATCATACCGCAGTGCCTTTTCAAGGACAATACAAAACAGCAGAAATATAAGCAATAGGATGAACTAAAAATGTAATCTGATACTGATTCATTCTAACGAAAGCCAATCAGAGGACCCTGTACCTGATACTTGGGGGTCTGGTACCTGGCAGTACCTCAGCTCAAGGCATAGAATGGCTCTGGATCAGGTACCCCCAGGTACCATTCCAAATATAGCGGCGTCTATGTAAACCCCCTAAAACACTTGGCTTTGGCACTAACTTGAGGCTCGAGGGCTGTGCTTTTTTGGATTTCGCTTTTTTCCTTGCGTTGCATATTTATACGGAGTACCATGTGTATCTCTCCGCTTTACTCCACCCGTTCTCTTCCCCTTTTCCCTGCATTGACTGGACATTAATCAGAGAGTCATGGGTATCACGATCTAATAACCCCAATTCCCCGGCCAGCCAGGCCAATCTCTTTCATAAAATCCCTGCATCCACAACGGGGATATAATCCAATGTACATAATCCCGACGATGCATCACCTCCCACTACTCTTATCAATAATCATCGCGGTCGCAGCTCCACTAGCAGGGGCCATCCCAGCCCAAGCCGGGACACACAGTGCGACACAAGTATACCAAACAACCGACAAATACCCACTCGCAAACCCAGGCAACATCCCCGCCCACGACCCAAACATCATCCTACACGATGAGCACTACTACCTATTCAAAGGCGGGATCAACATCCCAATTTTCAAATCCGCCAATATATCCGGGCCATGGGAAAAGCTCGGCACAGTCCTAGCCGGCGACAGCATAATCCGCAAAGGCAACCGGGCACGACCCTGGGCGCCAACAACAATTGAAAGAAACGGCACATTCTACTGCTACTACACGCTGAGCGCGCGAGGGTCCCGCGACAGCGCGATTGGCGTCGCGACGACAACTGCCCTCGATGGCAGTCCCTGGACTGACCACGGCGTCGTCATTAACACGGGCACGGGTGCTGGGTCGGGGGTGTGGCCGTACACGATCACGAATGCCATCGATGCGTCTGTGATTGTTGACCGGGACTCTGGCCAGGCGTATCTCAACTACGGAAGCTTCTGGCGTGATATATGGCAGGTCCCGCTGGCGGATGATCTGCTTTCTGTGAAAGATGCTGATAAGCCGGATGCGGTGCAGTTGACATTTCTCCCACGTGTTAAGCCTAAGCCTGAGGAGGGGTCGTGGATGAGTTTTCGGAATGGGTTCTATTATGTTTGGTTTAGTCATGGGAAGTGCTGTAACTTCCAGAGTGGTTTCCCTGCGCGTGGGAAGGAGTATAGTATTCGGGTTGGGAGGTCGAAGAGTGTGCGTGGGCCTTTCGAGGATAAGGATGGGAGGTCTTTGCTCGATGGGGGTGGCACGGTGGTTTATGGTTCTAATCATGGGGTTGTGTATGCGCCTGGTGGCTTGGGAATCTTGGCTGGGAATAATGACGTGTCGGATATTCTCTACTATCATTATTTGAATACGTCGATTGGCTTTGAGCATGCGGTGAGTTGTTCTTGTCTTTGTCGTCGGGTTGGGATTTGAACTGATATTTCTCGCTCTCGCAGCAAGCTCAGCTCGGCTGGAACTATCTGGACTACGAGGATGGGTGGCCGGTGCCTACGGAAGGCCAAGATGCTACTACGGCCAATGTCGCCTTCGGTTATGGACCTCCTAGCTGGGGTTACCTAGCAAGTGTTTTGGGTAAGAGGATAATCTCCTATTTTATGTGTGTTGTATGCTGATACTGAGTTTAGGTGTATGGCTGTGCATGGGGCCATAGTAGTGGTCAAGTCTTGTTTCTCAAATTCCCTCACGTTCCTTTCTTCGCAATTTTCAGCGATTGTTCTATATAGCGTTTTTATTCCCGACATTATGCCTATGAATCGATCTAGCGAGCATTTCATTCAATATATGTCATTGGAATATCAAGCCATGGCGCTAAACCCAATCCATGCCCTGACCTAATCTTATACCATCAAACTTATTCCCAACCACCATCCACACTAACAATCTGTCCAGTCGTATACGACGAAGCATCACTGAGCAGAAAAACAACCGTTTGAGCAACCTCCTCGCCCGTCCCAATGCGCGGGATACTAGCTGGTGGCATACTAATCCCACCCTGAATCTCCTTCGCCATGTCCAGCAAAGGCGTCTGAATAGAACCACTACCACAAAACCCAATTAGAAAAACCCACCGAAAAGCACTCTTCCCCAAATACTCACGGCGCAACAGCATTAACCCTAATACCCGGCCCCACCTCCTTAGAAACCGACTTTGTCAACCCAGAAACAGCATGCTTCGTAGTCGAATAAGCAGCATGCAACGCAAACCCCTTAATCCCCTGAATACTCGACGCATTAACAATACTGCCCTTCCCCCCAGGCGCAGTCGCCGTAATCGCCCGCAGCTGCGCGCGCAGACAGTACATCAACCCGGTGACATTAACCCGCATCAACATATCCCACTCGGCGTCGTCCTGGTCGACGAATTTGCTAGTGCCGTGGTTCTTGCCGATCGTGCCGGCCATGTTGGCTGCGCCGTCCAGTCGGCCGAAGTGCGAGACTGTGCTGGCGATCCAGTCTTGTACGGCGCTTGCGTTGCTGATGTCTAATTCCGTTGTGGTGATTGTCGACGCTGTGGAGGAACTGGAGTCGGTTTCGATTATTTGTCGTGCTGCTGAGAGGATTTGCGAGCTTAGGTCGGCGAGGGCGAGGAGAGCTCCTTGCTTGTGTAGTTGGCGTGCTACGGCTAGGCCGATTCCGCTGAGCCCGGTTATGGCGTATACTTTGCCTTTGACGGAGTCCATTGCGGTGGGGTTTTTGATATGTTTGGTCTGGGAATGAGAGATTTATGAACTTGGAGAGTAGCTGTGTTACTTGAATGATCGCGGGGATCGGAGATTCTCCGTGGCTAATATGTATGCATGTCCGGGTATATTCGAGCTGCATACAACATAGATAATAGGCTAAATGATGTGTAGAAAGTTGAATACCCGTCTGCCCCACGAGATCCATTTGTATAAAATCGAGAGGATATACATACCTTACGAAAGCAAGCATAGAGTTTGCATAAGATGATGATAATAGCCTTGGCTTATTGATTTGATCAATGCATCAGCTGTGTATTCTATTGACCTAAGCCATATTAATTGAATATATATCCGCGACTTGTCTTGCGTGTATCAGCTTTCCAGATTTACATCAATATGCCCACATCTAACCAACTCCAAAATCACAAATGGGTATCTCAAAATGCAAAATCAACACTCCAATCTCAAATAAACATCCCCGACAGAAGCATTGTCCCAACCACCAAAGCCACCCATCCCACCGGCCGCCTCACAGCCCCAGAATTCTTCTCCGTTTTGGTCCCATATACAACCCCATGAGCATTCAAGCAGTACATAACTTTCTTCGCCTCGGCCGAAGAAGGCACATCACAGATCGCCGTACAAGGATCGGGATCCTCATATATCCACACCCCATTCGGGCAGCAGGACTGCAGAACAGCTTTCATATCCCTGTCCGGGGCTTTCGTCTGGTACAGCGGCACCTGATTATAATATTCGATATTGGCGGGGATGGCGGGCACCGCGTCGCGCAAGTCGTAGCACTCGGCCGGCTGTGTGAATCGTGTGACGTTGGAGTCGCTCATTATGGGGGGTGTCATGGTGTTTTCCCTTGCCGGGTGATCCGGTGCGAATGCTTTCGCGACGCGACGCGAAACAGTATTTTAGCTGTTATTTATGGCGGGGGTGTGCAGTGCTGTTGATCGGGGTTCGTGGAGAGAGAGGGAGGCGTGGTTCAACAATGCAGAGAGGCGGGATGGTCGGGGGAGTAGAGAGAAAGGACATTCGGGGATTGTTCAGAGCATATGGAACTAGTAATTCCCTCCAGGCCTCTCTTTTTTTACTCCTGAGCACGGGGGGGGGCAAAGCGCCAAGCCCGCATTCCCGGACGTTGGAGATATTCGCCTGACAAGTGGAGATGCGGGCCTGAGTATTCAGCTTGCAGCGAACTCCTTTTTGGGCATCAATCTAGGTAATGCTGTTAGAGTGAGACAAAAAGGGGAAGTGGGAACTGATATTTCGATTTCTCCTTGCTGGGCTATTTACTTGGTGAGCTATATTGCATGTCTTTCTATATACGGACTAGTACGGAGGACTTCTGCTCCTTTATCCCCTCGAGGGCAACGACCCTTACGGTCAGATTTACAGCCGAGCGGTTTCATTGGCTCGCTTCCACATTTTCTTCCTACGCTCATGTCCTTCGTTGAAATCAGACAGCCATTTCTGATCGAACGGAGGTAGGCGCCGCCCTGCACCACCACGAGGTTCCCCGGCTAGATGGCGGAGGCTCTCGAAGTAGGGCTCGAAGTCGGGGTTGATGACTGTGAAGGCGGGGCCATCGCTCTTCTCTGCGATGCGGTCGGTTTCCCATTTTTCTTGCTCGGCGATCGAGGGTAGGGTTATCTTGCCGGCTAAAAAGCGTGCGGCAGCAACAGCCTGCCATTCGAAGACTTTGAAGGTCAACCCAGCACCAACCTGAGAGTCATGTTAGCTTTTGATCCGGGGAAAATTTCTCGACTTGATAGACTTACAGCGCCTACAAAAACAAGTGTTGGATCATGTCTGTAGAAGACATGTTGGTAGAGATCCGGCACACGATTGTTCCGCGTGGCAACCTGAGGCAAGAAAGGCAGAGTCCAGCTGAAGCCAGTTCCAAAAATCAAATAGTCGACATCAGTCTCAAAGGTACCGTCTTCGAAATGCACGGTCCGTTCGCCTTGGTCATTACTCGTAATGTGTGAGATAGGCGGGCGACGCTGAATTTTCGGGTGCTGGAAGGCGAGATCTCCGAAATAGGCGTTGTAACGACCACGAACCACAGCAATGACTGGTGTCTGAGCACTATCAATCAGGCTGACTGCAGTATCAGCAGCAGAAACAGACGCTCCGACGGTTATGACTTTCTGCGATGTGTAAGCAGGTGGTAGAATGACATGGCAGGAACTCCATTTACCTTTCCCCGATACTTCTCAGGCCCACGATAATGCTTCGTATGTTGAACACTGCCAGGATACCTCGCAGCAAACTCCTTCAACCCAGGAATCACAGGGATAAACGGCACTGCGTAATGGCCCGAAGCCACCACAACTGCATCATACTCCTCAGACCACCAGTAATCCGACGTGACACCGTCCAGCACTTCCGTCCTGCGGAATGTAAGCACCCATTTCTTGCTGCTGGGATCTTTGATGGCGCGTTCAACAGTAGTATTATACTGAACAAGATCCTGGTACCCCTTTCGGTTAAACAAGTCCTCAATATACTTCCGGATAACCGAATGGTGTCGGAAAGGCGTGTCTGCGCCATGACGCTCAATCGACCACTGGGATCGAACTGTAGGAATCTCCTCTTGCGAGAACGACATGGCTCCCGCGTTAACATTAGTCTCCAGCGTCGGGTAGACGGGGGAGTCCGTGAAGCGGTCCTGGGAAACTACAGGCGTCCGGCACGGGAGGTGCTCGGGAATTTTGAGAGGCGCATCTGCTGTTCGCGCAGCTAGACCGTCAAAGTCAAACTGCTGTGACGGTTCGTCATCTCTCGATACCCTTTTATTTATTAGCGGGAATCGCTGAAGATAGTAGAGTAACATAGTGACATACCAGCATCCGCCGGCTTTCTCTTGTCTCTCGAATACATGGATGACATCGAATGCTTTCTCTTGTGCTAGTGCATCGACTGTAATGGCGCCAGCTGGGCCGGCCCCGATGATGGCTACGCTCTTGATCTGCGGCATGGTGTGATATTTATGTTTGGTGAGAGATTGGGCGTGTAGCCGCTCTTTATCATCCAATGCCGTCTCGGCCGAGCACCCGAAAAGGCAATATCTGGGGTGCAAATCGTTCGACTCTATCACGCCATTTGACTGTGTTTTAGCGCAAAGTTGGCATTGGCGGCCAATGAGGGCTCTGGATATCGTATATAGGATAGCCGAGGTCAGACTCACGATATGTAAATGAGAACCGCTTTCATTTAATACATTAATGTCGAATTGAACATGCTGAATCACTCACATTACAAGTTTTTCGTCTTTGTCCATCGGCCTGGCATTTCATCCGTTGATCTGATTGGCTGTCGGCATTGAAGTTTTAAGGTCACGTGAGGACATCCCGGGATTCTTCAGGAACTTTATTCTGATTGGCTGGGGGTTTACGCCTTGGAATTCAGGCCATAAAGTCATACTTCTGTGTTTGTTTTTCTAGTTCGGACGTTGAACGGGCATTATGATTTGCTTCAATAACAAGAGATAATGCAATTTGTAAATGATTATACAAGGGGATCGAAGCCCAGGGTGCAAAAGCCGCTAAACTAAGTAAACACATCGGTAGCATACCGCTCCTTCGTCCGCAAATTATCAAAGAACTTCTCAGCAGCCTCATCCTCCCCAAGCTCAGCACCAGGCGGAGTCTCTCCCTTGGCCTTAAGCTCGGCGTGCACAGCACGACGCCTCTCGAGATACATATCCTTGCAAGCCTGGCGGATACCAGCACCAACCCCAGTGCTACCGCACACATAGATTCTCGCGCCTTCTTCAAACAGCTTCACCAGCTCTTCACGGTCCTCGAGCATGACATCCTGGACATGCTGTCCCTTGCTTCCATCGGCAGGACGACTGTACGCCCAGCGGACATCGACAGCGCCCAGCGCAGCCCACTCGGCAAGTTCAGCAGCGTGGATATCGTCCAGGCCCTGGGTGCGGCAGCCGATGTACAGCACTGCCTTGGCGGGCTTCACAGCCACGTTCTCATGCAGCTCATCCGAGTCAGGCGAGCTGCGACGGCCGCGGATCTTCTCCGCGCGGTCCATGACGAATCCGCGGAACGGTGCGAGCCCGCTGCCAGCGCAGGCCATGATCATCGGTGTTTCGAGATCAATCGGCGGCTTGAAGCCGGAGTGCGAGGGGCGGACGGTGATGTGTGCGCGTTCGCCGGCTTGGAGCTCGGAAAGGTAGTTTGATGCGACGCCTAGGTAGAGGTTTTCGTTGCTTTCTGGGGTGGGGTTGGCGAGTGCTGGAGCGCTGAGGACGCTGAAGGTAATCGAGCATTCGGATGGGTCGACTAGCGGCGACGAGGAGATGGAGTACTGTCGCACGCGCATGGGTGGCAGCATTGCGAGGAAATCGCCGAGGGAAATCTTGATTGAGGGATAACGGGTGAGAAGATCCAGCGCGCTGACGCGCTTCTTGACGATTTCTTCGGTGAAGCGGCTGGGGCTGGAGGCGAGATAGCGCAATTCGGCCTGGAGTTCTGCATCCGCAATTGCGGCATCGGCGAGGACATTGAGATCGCGCTTCGAAGCGGGTTGGGATAGCTCGATGTAGGTGGATAGGAGCTCGAAGGCGGAAATGGGCGTGTCGATGGGGATCGAGGGGGAAGCTGTTGAGCCTGAGGGCTTTTGGATTTTAATCACGGCATCCCAGGGGAGGTCGAAGCGGCGGATCGCGCGGCGGACGATTGAGCTTGGGTTGACAGGTAGCACAGCGAGGTAATCACCACACTGGTAGGTCATGTCCGTTGGCAGCTTGAACTTGACCACGCGTTTGGCTGGGGCTCCGGGTGGCGTAAGGAGCTCGTTTTCAATGACAAAGCCCTCTTCGAGCTGGAGACCCAGTGTGGATGCACGCAAACCCGAGCTCACTTCGACCTGCAAGGAAGACTTCGACTTGGCTGCGTTTTCAGGGGTAGCTCCACCGAATTTAGCCATCACGGCCGGCCAGAATGAGGTCTCGCCCCAGCCGTCGAAATCGGTGAACATGTCTGAGTTTGCTGCGTCGGCAAGACCAATCTCACAAAGCTGGTTAGCCCCGTTGTCCTTGGCGATTTGGTCGATGGCCTTGGGAATACGGTAGAAGGTGGACGACCAATCATGATGGCCACAGCCGAACACTGCGTAGTTGACACCTTCCAACTCGCTGCCCTTCAGCCCACTGATCCACTGGAAGAAGTGAGCCGCGTTATCCGGAGGCTGTCCTTCATAAGAAGCTGAGATGAAGACCACAGGCTCGCCCTTGGGGATATTCTGCATGGCTGAGTCCAAAGAACTTGTCTGCGCAGCGTACCCGTAGGCAGTGGCATCATCCGCCAACCTGCGAGCGAACGCCTCGCAGGTTCCCGTGTTGCTGCCATAGAACACGTGCATTGGCTTCAGCTTACCATCCGCGTGTGCGGCGACCTTGGGCTTGCGATCCCGGCTGCCAGCGCCAGTCTCTGGGGGCACAACAGCAGAGCCGCTGAGTTTAACGCTGAGTTGCGTGGGGTCAAGTCCATCTCTCAGGGTTGCCTTCATGTGGAAGTCCTTGGGCTTGATGGTAAGTGTCTGCTTGATGCGGAGATCATAGCTGGGGTTATCCATCTGGAAGTTGAAGTTCTGCAGCAAAATCGCAACCACAAGGAGAGCCTCTTGCCATGCGAACGGCCGTCCAATACAGCCGCGCATGCCGTTTCCAAATGGCTTCCACGCGTTCTTGGGCAGCTTGTCGAAGTTCTCATCGAGCATCCGCTCTGGTCTGAACTCCTCGGCGTCGGGGCCGTAGACCTTGGGGTCGCGATGCATTTTGGTAAGCATAATAGCGATGACCTCATCCTTATTGAGCACATATTTACCACCTCCAAGTGTAACAGGATCTTCGTGGTTCTTCTCGGGGTGGGCGTGTAAGGCAATCATCGGGGCTGTTGGCTTCAGACGCAGCGTCTCGCGCATGACAGCGTTGATGTATGGCAGCTTGGACATGTCATCGACGGTGATCTTGCGTTTACCAATAACACTGTCGACTTCCTCTTGAGCCTTTCTGTATGCGCTCGGGTTCTTGAGAAGATAGTAGAACAGGAATGACAGCATGCCAGAGGTGGTCTCGTGGCCTAAGAAAGTCAGGGCTGAAATATTGCGTCCGTTGGAGGATTCACTTACCAGCGATGAGGAACGTGATCATGTTGTCCACAATCGACGCATCTGTCATACCCTTGCCAGTCTGCGGGTCCCGACCCAGGATAAGCGCATTGAGAAGATCCTTCTTGTCAACGGGGTTCTCCTTCCGCGCATCGACCAATTCCTGAGATAGGTTGCGCAGATACTCGATATCACTCCAGTACTTGTTGTTCTCCGAAGTAGGCAGACTGTTGAGCAAAGCAGGGCGAAGACTGCGATGTCCAGAACCTAAGAGCAAACCAACCATTGCCTCGACAAATGGGTGCATTTCATCATGGTAGAACGAGTTGAAGCGAGTGCCCATAGCGCAAAGAGCAATCGTATCCAGTGTCAAGCGAGTGAAGTCATCCGTAACCTGGATAGGAACGGTAGGGCCAGCCCGAGCCCATTTCATAACCAGTTGAGTTGCAATATCATACATCTCTGAAAGCAAGTTAGCCAAACTCGTTCGTCTGCCTGCGTGCCGCATAGCTCTGACCCGACAGAAAAGGGATACCCACCATCGAACATCCCGCGAATCATCAACGGACCAAAAGCAGGAACAAGAATGCGATGGGCAACCGCCCAGTTCTCTTCGCCGGGATAGTTTGCGGTGAAGAGACCGTCGTTGACACCGTTGCGAATTTCATGCAGACCAGCGGAGACCATTTTGCCGAAACGTTCCTCATCGCAGACTTCATCTACTAGCTCGTGGGAGCTCACGAATACTCGCGGTTTGCCAAAGATGGTTAATCGAAAGATGGGGCCTGAAAGTGAGAAGCACAAGAATTAGCCCATGATGTTCACACTATACGTCCCTGACCGTGCAGATCTCCATACCATAGTTATCGGCCATCTGCTCGAAGCTGTTCACAGGCACCTCGGACTCGATGTCGTAGATGTTTCCCAAGAATGGGACACCCCTGGGGCCCGGAATCGGGACCTCTTTGACTGAAGCCATGGCGTATAAAGTCCGCCGTTCAATTGGGGAGTTTGATCAATTTCAATAGTTGGTGTCGTGTCACAATTTGGAATACGTAATGATGTAAGGGAGCAATGGCGGGGTACCTGGTCGAGGTCGTAATCCGGTCAGCCGCTGTACACTTATGTCGAAATGACCCTTGGAGCTGCAGATGCAATAGGATGAAGAATTAAACCAAGCTTGGGAGATTAAATCCTGAACTCAGGAGGAATTGCAAAGGGTTATAAACGAAAAAGTGTGACCTCACCGACTGTCAAGCCTCGGTTCCTTTTTTAGTGTGCTCATAACAGCGTTCATCTTGCATATGGGATCGCTGCACAAATTACATAACTTCATTTATGTTGCAATTCATTTGTTTCATCCGCGTCGCAATGCCCGGATCTATGACGGGGCATCGGTCGAAGCCCAATCACGATCGCCGTGTATTAATCGGCTGTGCCGAGAACTCGTCCACCGCCTGTCGGATTTGACACGAATCCCGAAGACACGGCATTGTATAAAGGCACATCCGCACAGCCGAATCCACTATATCCACATGCTTAGACTGTTTAGAGAGTCGCCTCGCGGGAATATCCCTCTTGGGTCTTATCTAACTGGGTCCGGCCCATTATCGCCCCGACTCTGGTGTTGGGCCCACGTCTTGGCTATATAAGATAAAAATGTACTCCGTTTGAATCCGTCTTGCTTCCAGAATGTAGATGGTGCAAATACTGGGTACTAATAAGATACTAGACTGGGCTACTTTCCACTCACCAAGATCAAGGGGTAAGAGAATTGAAAGAAAGGGTTTGTATGGCAATATATTTACATGAATGGAGAAGCATATTGCAAAGCAAAAGGCGGCCTAAACAACGCCAACGAAGGGAATTGGGATTCAAGGATCAAAAGGGGATATCAACAGAATGGAGCGGACGCGAGACAGAGGCAAGCGACAGTAGGAAAAAACGACGGTAAGCCGGAAAGCCGGGACGAAAAGAAAAGGGACATTATTCCGGCTCCTTCAGCAACCACAGATGCCCAAGATTCATGTCATAGCGACAATCTGTGAGACCGGACATGGCGCCGACCGAAAGGAAGAAGAATCACGGAACTATTCATTATACAGGTCCAAACGCAGGTTCGTGGGGTCACTAGTGCGGCTGACAAGCCGGCTAGTTGTGGACCTGCTGATAACCACCGTTCAACTTCCACTCGCTCTGCCTCCAGTCTTTCTGGAAGTTCTGCATCTCATCGCGGTTAAGAGGAACCGGGTTGTTGCCTAATGCGTTCTCGAGACGGCCCTTGCGGCGCTGGCGCAGGCATAAGAACAGCAGCGCTGCGATACCAATGGCACCGGCGGCGGCGGCGCCAACGTAGACTCCAATGTGAGCTCCCTCGCCGAGATCATCCCATTTTTCTGATAGAGACTTGGCCTCGGGCTTGTTCAGTTCGGTCAGTACGGTGGAGTTTCCGCTGTTGCATCTCATTAGTGATATCCTGATTGGCTCTAGATTGGGCACACTTACTCCACCACTTTGATGCTCTCCCATGAACCTGTCTGGTCCCCGTAGGTGTACTCCTTGCCAGTGTGGAAATCCTTCACACGCAACTTGCCAAGGGTCATAGTGAAAGGCGCGGAATCCCAGTCGACAAGGCCACCAGCCCACTCGATAGTACCCTGCGCTGCGCTTTTCTGACCAGCAGGCCAGAGACTGAATTGGACACGGCAGGGTGTCTGTGGGTAGTTTTTGCCGTACAGGGTGGACTTCTCGGAGTATTCGAGTTCGCGAACCATCTCGCCATCAATCCACCATTGCAGTTTATCCTTCGCCCAGTATGTGGTGTAGTTATGGAACTCTGTGTCCGCGTTCGGCACATAGTGAAATCCGCCACGATCGAAGGTGCTATCGTTACCCTTGCCAAAGAAGTTGGACTGCACTTCGCTAGTGTTGTATCCCACCCATTCCCAATCAATCTCATCTAGATCGTCGGACTCCAAGACTACACTGCTGACTAGACCTCCGCCCTTGGCCATCTTGACGTGAGATTCGACGACACCGAAGAATATATAGAAGGTCGACTGTAGGAGCGTGGACTCTCCTTCCTTGGAGAGAGTGAAATTGGCTCCGTCGTCACCGTACACGTATGTTCCGGTCGTCATAGACCAGACCTTTTCGTCCAAGGTTGTGTTGAAGTCCCATGTGTGTTCGGTGCCCAAGGCGGGATCCGCAGGACATGTCTTCTTCGTTGGGTCACAGTCAGTCGATGTTTGAGCGGTGGCGTAGCTAGCCAAAGCTGCCAGAACGGCAATGCGGGAGAGGAACATGGTGGGTTGATGTATATAGAGGATTGGTCAGGGTTCTGCTGTGAGACTGTCCAAAAAAAGGAATGGACTCGAGACTACTCGAGATTCGATAAAGAGTGGATGTGCAAGTGCACGGTAATGAGTGGAAGGCAGTCTGCCAGCAAGATCCTAACAGTGTGTTGAAGGAAGGAACATCGAGAAACGGGGGGAAATCAGCCACGACAGTCCAATTTAGGCGTCGAGTGGACTCGGGACATTATGGGCTAGTGGTGTCTTGGGCCCTGATAATTTTTGTGCACCGTTGGAGAGGCGTAAGGGGAAGGCTGCAGAGACTATGGTTGAGTTTACTAGCTAGCCGGTCTAGGCTAGGGGTTCCGTTTTTGTGCATGGCGCTAGCCGTGTTAGGTCAAGCTCCAGGGGCCCTGTGCATGACGTCTAACCTGTTTGGGCTCGCCCAGTGGTTTCTGATAAAACCACTTTTAGGCGGGCGATTCTGATTGGCTGCTGACCATCCACCGATTGGCTGTAAAGGACCCCGATAACCTTGGATCGAACAGGCCCATGGATTGCCAGGTACAATACGGAGTACGACAACGTGTATACTCCGGATTCTATAACAGGTTGATACATTCAACACTGTGTTGTAGTGTGTTATTTTCCATTTTTAGCCGCAGAAATCCCTTGGCTCAAACGCAGAACAAGACTGGCTGTTTAGCTCATGCCTTGGCCATTCGAGGGGAAACTTCTGCAATGAAGATCAAACGCCCAATTGATAAGAATCGCCACGGGGTAAGACCAGGATTGGACTACAGATGGATCATCATGCATGTGCCCCTTGAAAACAACACTTCAAAATCATAACAACAGCGTAACAACAACTTATTTCCAGAGTTCCTCCAGTTCCTCCGACCTACCAAACTAGTATTCCAGCAACCTCCGCTCAGGGGGTCCAAAAACAAAGCCACTAAGAAGCCAAGTCCGCCCCGTCAATGAGTGGAGATGTCTAACAGTTTTTCTTTTTCTTTTTTTCTTCTCCCCTGTGGGCCCTTTCCCCTGTCTTACCTTCTTACCTGCAAACCCGCTCATTATGTACAATGGGATAATGCACTTTCCCGAACGATCGCCTCCCACTCTTATTCGTCGAAACGGTGAGATCACGGCTGCGGCGTTTTTCGTTCGCCGTTGGATGGAGTCTGCTTCGCTGGCGAAGAGTTCCCTTAGGGGAAACTTCGGGAGTTCTGATCGATCGAACGCCACTGCTCGGCGGTGACAAACAGCCAAGTAGCCAAGTCCTACTGAGCCAGGCCAAGGCATAATAATCCCTCACTACGGAGTACTCAGGTACCCGTCAGCAAGTCGTCCGACTGGATTACGTGGACATCCGCCACATGTGAATGTGCATTACAAGGGCTGAAAAAGATTCTCGCCATGCACTGGGATATAGATTTGGAAGGCTGGCGTCTACAGCATAGATCGGATTCCCAATTCAAAACAAAGAAGCATCACACGCACAGACCAAATCCTTTTCAAGTATTTCTCGTCAAGTCGTAAAACCGTGCAATCACATGTATGCTGTCATGTCTCATAACCAACATTGCTCCGTCAAACCTGTCCACCCATTCCTTCGAGAAAGCACCCAAAAATAGCAAACGCCAGTCCCAATCGATATGTTCGAGACCAATGGCCAAATCAATTCCCCCACACCAGCAATTCCACATCTCTCATGTATAATCCGCACCTTAATTCACCCCTCCGTCCTATAAACCCTAGCCGGCCGGCGCAAATCATCGCGATCGCTATATCGGCGTGAACTGCGTACACTAGCCGGCTTCTCGGCATAATCGACATAAGTCGCAGACGGGCGACGGCGATGTCGCCGTCCACGGGTCTTGGTGCTGCTGCGAATAACCGGGGCCTGGTAGACGACCTCGGACGCATCATTCTTCCACACGCCGGGAAGTCGGAGTATTCGCCACAGCCACAGGATCAGGAGGGTCCCTGCGATCGAGCCGATAACGATACCCGCAATCCCACCGCCGGTGATTGTGCTTGGGCAGTTATCGTCGCTTGACTGCCGGGTCTCGAGCATGGAGTGTATAGGAGCCTAGGGAAGCGGAGTCATTAGCTTTTATGAATTCCAGACTCTGCGATCCGTGGTTCTTTGTTCGGCCCGCGCGGGTGTTACTGGGGTGAGCCATGGAAGAGAGCTTCAGTAACGACCATGGATCACCGAGGTATGCGCTTACCATAACTGCAGCCTGTGGACTATCTATTTAGCAATGCTTTTGATCTGATATCGTGGGATTTGAGGTTCCAGTCCCTGGTGGCTGGCAATTGCATGCAGTACTCCGTACAGTGGGTCTCGATGCGATCTTGACTCCAGCACCCGAAAAAAAAACGTGGGTATGAATGAGACGAAATCACCCATGCAGCAGATGAGAAAGAGAAAAAGGGAAACCCAGCGCAAGAGCCTCAAGTCTTATTCAACCCAGAATCTCACATTTCCCCTCTTGACTGCGCACCCCCAACCTCCTCTTATCCCGCTTCTGACGTCAAGCGGCTGTCGGTCTTGGCGGCTGGAAAGAGCAGCGATCTTCTCTTTCGCACAGCACAAACTTGGAATTTAGTTGCAGTCGGTTCTTGTTTGATGCCATGATTGGCTGCTGACCTTCATCGTTCTTGTAATAAACCGTCCCGGTGAAAGTTCTTTACAAAACATACTGACCCTCGGAGGCGAGACCCATATGAAACAGGTCACCCACATGGAACATTCTTTCTACATTTTACATCTTTACTATGATCCTCTGCCACACCACCAACCATGCCTAAAACAAATAAGGATATAGAGCAGCAGATCCAGCTGGCCATGGACTCTCTCTCAGACCAATCCAAGCCTAATATTCGGAAGACTGCACGAGAATTCGCGGTTCCCGAAGGCCGCCTTCGTCGGCGCTGGAGAGGTGGAAAATCGCTTTTTGAACGACAACCCAATGGTCGGAAGCTCAATTCTGCACAGGAGAAGGCTTTATGTGCAATCATTGCTTCCTTTCATGCGGTCGGATCATCAATAACTCGTCGACAAATAACTGACGCTGCCGATTCAATTCTGAAGGATGGCCACAACGACCCTACCACAGAACCCCCAAGAATCGGCGACCACTGGCTAAAACGTTTCCTGAAACGTAATCCTAATCTGTTTCCTACTGAATTAGAGTCATCCAATCCACATGGTGATAATCTATCCCGACCGGATACCCCGTCAGTCAGCTCTCAAGAAACCGAGTTTAGCACTCCAAAAACCGCCGAGGAAATTCGAAGAATAAGCGATCGTCTCAATCGAACCGACCCAAATACTCAGCGCTTCAAAGACGGGCTAGCAAAGCTTGCAAAGGGTGCCGAGGCCCAGGCTACTTTGGCTCTTCAGCTACAGCGGGAACTCGATCGTACACATGCTATTATGGGGGCACGCAACGCCCGGTATGATGCTCCTCGGCGGCATATCCCAATTGCTGGTATCATCAATTCGTCCTAGGTCAAATAAATGAAGCGAAAAGAGTATGAATTGAACGAGACAGCCGATCAAGAAAAAACGAAGCGGAAGTGGAAGAAGGTCTTGATCGAGATTAGGAAGCGCGGAAAGGCCAAAAAACGTGGGAATTAATTCTGTCTTGTATTCTAGTAGTAATGGTTAATGAACTTTCATTGACTACGAGGTGGTGTAGTAGATGGTACTTGTAGTAAAAAGTAAACAAAATGTTCCATATGGGTGATCTGTTCTCGCTCGCCAGGGTCCGTATGTTTTGTAAAGAAATTTCAAGAGCCGATCTAAATTGGGGATATCGTGCCGACCTGCCGGAGTCCCCAGCCTTGCAGCAAACCCACATGCATTTGCCTAGATATGCATGTCACACCATGAAGAGTCTTGTCTTGTTAGTCTGACATGCGGGGAAGGAAATCAACGGACGATTCGGGCCATGTCGTGGATAAATGCCCAGAAACAGCCCTAGAGCCTAGATAACGAATTGCCCTTGTAGTATACTTGGTTCCTGTGTTCTATCGTAAGTAGCTCAAACAGGCTCAAGCTTGAAACACTATCCAGCCACTCTAATAATACACCCGAAGACCTAATAATCCTTGTCCAACCACACGTGTCCGGGAGATGGCGGAACCTGCCCTTCGCAAGCTCATATACATATCGTGCCACCATTCGTCAAGACATTATCGTGTTGGAGCCGGTTTCACCCAATGCTTACCATTACCTCAAGAATCCGCACGTTGTACCCGCTCTCATTCGCATGGACAGTTTCAAGGATACGACCTAGAAACAGCGACTCGGGCGCCATGAACTCCTAGCTCTACCCGATCACACAACCCGTATATTCTCTTGTCTTCTCTCATCGTCGTGGTTCCGGGATCTCAGAATGACGATCAATCGATATGTATGTATAAGACATGCATCTCCGTAACCGGGTTAGAATTGTCAGCAAGGGCCTAGATACATAGTAGGGTTGTTGATATTCTACGTAGTTGCAAAGATAAAATTTATCGTTCGGCTTTCGGCTGTAAAGTAAGCCTTGCATGGTCTCTCTCTGCTCCTTTCATGCATAGCTGAAAACTCCTGGTCCAAATTATCCCCTTGATCTGAATACCGTACTACTACTAGCAGATAAATGACTATACCATATATCGCCAATCATACGATACCAGATTGGATTGACTATAGCATTTCTTGAACAGAATGAGGCCTATTTTCTAGAATATAGAGTAAGTAGCATGTCGTCCCCTCGTCTTCTAATTGGCGCGTACGCATAGTAAGATTTATTTTCTGAATTATCTCGCAGCACCTCTGGTATAGGCGAAGAGATCATGCGCTATGGTGTAACATATTACAAACTCGAAGCCCGCTATCTTGACCATGAAAGAATATGTATCAGCACCAACGTAGCTGTTGATATTCATTTCTATGGGCTCACCATCCTTCATGGTAGAAGAACTTCAATCACACCGCTGGCCCCTGGGTGTGCGTACCGACCAGACTTCGGAATTTGCGACTGCTTTCAACTAGTTCTTGTCAAACTGATCATGGCTGGGGTGGCAGCGAAGCATTTAATCGGTTTAAACCCGCGGAACTTCAAGATACCCAAGACCATACTGAACTCTACAAACTTTCAACATTCGTGTTCACGACAAATTGACCTCAAACCAGATAGAGCATCGATCATTGATATAGAGTCACTAATCGATGCCAATCGAACGAGGGACATGGATAAATTGAGAGCCAATAGCACGGAGCTATACCAATCGAGCGAAGATGGGCTCTCGATCTATTCGCTCACTGTGCGTGGTTTCAACTTCCAGGAAACTTTTTTCGAGTCTTCTGATACATAAGCCAGCACTCCTCGGGTTGCTACGAGGTCATCTTTATTGACTATATAAGCAGATACATCTGCGAATGCGAGTCTTTGTGATAACGATGAGAGCTTTGGGCCGGTGTTGATATGTACAGTTGGCCAGGTTGGTTATGCAATGGAGGCCAACCCTCCCTCCTCACCAATAATCATATCATAATTATATGAGGGCCCACCCCCCTCCTCTTCCTCCTATACTCCCCACGACAGCACCTCCTGGCTCAAATTCACTGGCCCGCTTATACTACAGTGCCATTGGCATTGGCAGCGATCCCAGCAGCGAGCTCGACAGCGCGATCATCCGCCTTTCTATAGCAGCTGTATCAAAGAACCAAAGATCAGCATATTATTCCTACATATCCCACACAACGACCAAGTGACATACCGCTTGGTACAGAACTTGATCCACTAAGATGTCAAGAGGACTACCTGGCGTAAGACCGGGGCAAGCGTCACAACCCCTACGACTTTTAAGCCGAAAGAAAGTCCCTTCTCGTCCACGAGTTGGACGAGGTCGGCCGCTTCGCCCGCGCGGGGTTGGAGAGGCACTGGGGCTAGAAAAAAGGGTTAGAAAGAGGCCAAAAAAGATGCCAAAAAAGAGATCAAACTTACAAGCCTAGGCCACGGTAAAAAAAGACAACAAAAAAAGGCTTAAAAGAGACATTTTGTTCATGGATGTGTATGTTTTGAATTGATATGAACGTGAAGTTCTTACATGGACTACGAACTTGGTTTATTGACTACAGGGCAAGCAATGGCTTCTAGGAAGGTACGAGGCTGCAATTTCTCATTGGGAAGGTACGAGCCTCCTTAGTCGGGTACATTCATCAAGATACAGCAATGATATAGTGGGCAAGATGCAATATCCATAAATTGAAGCGAATGAACCAGATGAGTTAATCCCTCTTTGTTGCCGAATCCGTGTCTTTTGCCATCTGCCCATAGCTCGGTGGCGCGTCAATCATATCAAACGGGCTGTCATAGCTATCACCGACAAGCCCCCATATTGAGACTCGCGTGATCCGGTGCTTGGTGAGTTTGCTCACGTCTTCACGGCGTTGTTCTTTCAACAATCTCCTATCTTCTTCGGGGACGTCAAAGCCTCGAGCTCGCCGACAACATCCACATTCGAGAGTACAATGTCCAACTCCAAGCCTCCGCGTAGGATCGATCTTACGGTCAAGACAACAGCCACATCCACGAGCACAGCATCCTTGTCGGCCAGCACAATCTTCAACGAGGACGCGATGCATATACCATTTAGGATGGGACCGCCATAGCTCAAACGCATTTCGCTCATACCCATCTTCCAGACAGGAATGATAATGCCACCACATTTGCTCCAAGAGCCAGTATTTAGCATTCAAAATATCAAGCCTCTCTTTGGCATCTTTGAGCGAGTCAAGCCCCTCCTCAATAGATATCTCTTCTTGAACAACTTCCCGGAGATCTTCCTCTGTAAAGAGAAGCTTATGTGAGATAAAACCAGGCCTGCAGGTGGCATTAGGGCTGTTTGCTTCCCAGTATCGATGCAAGCGATATCTTTGGAGAATATTGATATCCCCATCTCGTTCGAGACGCTCTTCCCAAAAGAGTTTATCACCTTTCAAGAAAGTCCCCACTGTTCTGGATACTTGCTCACGGCTCGATTTTATTTCAGGGGAGGATTCCGTCTTCCCAGAGGATTCCGTCTTCTCAGAGGATTTCCTTCTGGGACGGGACAATAAAAACAGCATCTTTGATGTTTGAGTGAATTCGAGTACAAAGGATGATTGCTCGGACTCATGAAATTCATCCACAGTGCTGTCAGCTTATACCTCCGACACCTAAAAGGTTGGGTGATGACTTAATCTTTTCACAATAGAAGCTCGCTTAATTAGATCCGATCCCAAAGTGATTCACTTTGGGATTTAGGTTTCCGATCTAGCAAATTCCCGAAGGCTCTAGAAAGTTGCTCTTGTCTTTGGCCAAGACTAGGTTAGGTGTACTCCGATGGTTCCGTTTGACTTTGTCGCAGGGAAGGGGGGTATCCTGTTACAGTGAGTGGTCATAGGCGCGAATACCGTCGATAGTGGCCCTCCAGGAGTCGGGAACCCTCGACAGTTGAAGCCGCAGCAGATTATCTCAATATAGCCCACAAGCTTGGTGTGTAGCGTCGTTTCCGGCCCAACCGCTTGCCTTCATATGTTCCTGGTTCTGCTGAAATCTTACTGGGCAGAATATCGTTATTGAATTACCGGAGGTAGATATATATAGATTGATGGGTTTATGTAAAGACCAATCCAGTGCTATAACACCAGTAAGGGTGGACAATATATGCACAGATGTACTCAAGTTCTGATTTTCAAAGTGCACGAGCATGAATGTAAAAGGAAAATATCCAAAACTCCCCGACCCATGATATCATCGAGAAAAAAAAACAGCATACAACCCTATTCATCCACGCAGGAGGCCGAAAAGTCAAAATAACAACGCGGTATTTCATCTCCAGTCATTATCGACCCGTGATATAATCTCGGTTCTCGATCGTCACACTCTTGGTCATGTGGTTAACCTTATAGACACCGACAAGTCGGGCAGCAAGCTCAAACTAGACAACATGTTAGCTATGTCAACTTGAAGCGGTCATCAACGGCACGTACCATATTGTTTCTCAATGAAATGACAATGAATTGGGCATTTTTCGTTCGTTCCTTGATATACGAGGCGACGATGGAAACCTTAGAACAAGAGTTAGCATACGTGTCCATCATAATTCGTATAAGATCAACTCACGTTTCGGAAGTCCAGGGCAGCATCGATCTCGTCCATGACATAGAGCGGAGTAGGCTTGTAGTGGTGAAGAGCGAATACCAGCGCCAAACTGGACAGGGTCTTCTCTCCACCAGACAAGTTGCTAATGTTCTTCCAGCTCTTCTTAGGAGGCATTACCGAGAACAAGATGCCTTCCGAGAAGGGGTCCAATGAGTCGACCAGCTCCAACTCGGCGTTACCGCCCATGGTGATCATCTGGTACATTTCTTTGAGGCGCAAAGAGATAATGCCAAATCCTTCCATGAATCCATTCAAGCGAGAAGATCGAAGACCGTCCAGGCGTGCCTTGGCACCGTCTCGGGATGTCAAAGCGTTGGTCAGATCGGCCGAGCGTGATTCGTGCTCGGCAGCTCGGCGGCGGTACTCCTCAATGACTGACAAATCGATAGAGGCGTTTTGAACTTTCTCCTCCAAAGCAGCAATGACAGCTTTCAGGGAATCCTTGTTCATGGCCTCTAGCTCATCCTTGGTGTACATTTGAAGCTCAGTAGGCTCCTGCTCTTCGCCAATATCGCTAATGTTCTGGACGGTCAGCTTTGAAAGCTTCTCCTCCCAGTAACGACTGCGTTTTTGGTTCTCAGCCAGGGCTTTCTGGTTCTCTTCCAATTTATTTCGCATCTCGATTTCAGCAGCTCTTGTCTCATTGAGCTCAGCCACCTTTGCGTCAAGCTCGTCCTTCATGGCCTTCAGCTCGCCCTTTTTAGACTCCAATGCCTAATGATGGTCAGCAGCAAATTCAATACACTCGCGGATCTTGGGTAAATTACCTCCTGGGCTTCGTCGGCCTTCTGTCTCCAGTCGGCAGATTCATTGGTCTGGTTGGCAACAGCTTCTTCTAGTTTTTCCAACTCCTCTGCGATCTGACCAATCTCCTTCTCTGAGATATCGCGGGCTTTGGAGTGCTTCTTGATGAGTTTGTCGTTCTTGGACAGCTGCCCCTCCGCGTTTGAAATCTCCTCAGCAAGCATGCCAATCTGCTCTTTCAGGCCATCTACCTTCGCCTTTTGACCGCGAAGCCGAACACCACCGACCTCCATGATCTTGCTCTGCAAGGTCTGGATCTCTTCCTCAATGCCACTCTTCTCGTCATTGAGTTGAGCGATCTGCTTTTGGGCTTTGGCAATCTGTTTTTCGAGGGCAGCAACCTGGGCTTCATCTAAATCAGATGGCTGGTGCTGTGCGCCCAGCTCTTTCACGCGTCGCTGGGCATCAGCAAGGCTGCGCTTGGTGCTGTCAATTTCGATCATAATCTTTTGGATCTTAGTCTCTAAGCGTGGGATTTCCTCCGATCTTTCCTTCATCTGAGACTCCACGTGTCGCTGCTTTTCCTGGAAAGCCTGGAATTTCCTTTCCAGTTCCTCGAGATCGGATTCCAAGCGGGATACGTGCTCCTTTGTGGTGTCTGCGACTTGCTTTGAGGACATACCGCCTCGGGCAACACGGGTACCACCACCGCTCATTGTTCCTGACACATCAATCAACTGGCCATCTTCTGTCACTACTCGCCACCGGCGAGCACCATAGGCAATACGATTGGCCTGCTCCAAGTCCTTAGCAACCAGCGTGTTTTGCATCACACTATAGAAAGCTGGGGCGAACTTGGGATCTTTCGGCTTGACAAGATCAAAGAGACGAGGAACGCTTTCAGGTGTGTAGATCGATGCCATGTCGCGGCGAGGAAGACGGTCAAGAAGAATGAAGTTCGCTCGACCAAGGTTGTTCTTGCGCAAATAATCGATGCATTGCTGGCCGACTTCCACGGTCTCCACCACCATGTTATCGAGAGCAGGACAAGCTGTAGAAATAGCCACATCGTACTTCTCGTCAATTGTGCCTAGATTACCAAGTCGGCCATGGAAACCATCGATACGGCCAGATTCCTTGAGACGCATCAACCCAGTCAAGACGCTTCCACGGTTTTGTGTGCTTGCGAGACTGACTCGTGCCTCGTCTGCTTTCTGACGGGCACTAGAGACGTGCGAACGAACCTCGGGCTCCCGACCAGCGTATTTCTTCAAGTCGTGTTTGAGCTTCTCCACTTCAGACTCCAAGGTCTCTTTTTGAGCTTGTCGCTCTTCGAGTTCGTTTTGTTTGGCTTGCAGACTCTCTTCGATGGTAACAACCTTGCCCTGTGCTTCTTCGAGGAGGACAGCGCCCGCATTACCACGCTCTCGCAAGATATCTAGCTCACTCTGAGCTACTGCAACTGCGGACTGTTTCTCGTTGATCTTCGCGTTCCATGGCTCCAGAGACTTTTGCTTCTCGGCAATCTGGTCAGATAGGCCTTGCGTCTTGCCTTTTAGCCCCTCGCGGATGGAATTCAGTTCCTTCTCTTCTGTCACCATCTCCTTCTCGAATTGAGTGGTTTCGGCAGTCTTCTTCTCAATGTCGTAGGTAAACTTCTCAACCAGGCTCTGGCATTCAGAAGCAGCAAGGCGGCTGGTCTGCATGGCTTTCTCTAACTTTTTCTGTTTGCCGAGCAAGAATTTCTTCTTCTCCTCAAACTTGACAGACTCCTTGTCGTACTTGGCCATCTCCTTGAGCAAGGCTTGAGTCTCCTTCTCCATCGACTCGTAATGGCGAACCCCCTTCTTGTAGGCTTTTTCGAGCTCTTTGATACCGGATTCGTTTCCTTCGTGTTTCTCGAGTTCCATGTTGAGTAGCTCCTGCATTTGGAGAATGGCCTCTTCCGTAACACGAACGTTATCATTGCACTCGTCAATGTAAATTTGATATAGCGCTGATTGTTTCTGTGCCAATTCGTTCTCCTCACGTATGCAAGCCAACGCTTTGTTTTTCTTATCCTCCAAGGCCGTCTTCTCCTTCTCCACGTGCTGGACACGGTTGTTCTTCTCCACGCATACGTCGTTGAGAGCTTCGAGCTCTGTTGCCGCTTCATCGATAGGTGTCTTGTACTTGGAGGTTCCAATAATATCTTCCAGGTATTCTAAGAGGCCTTCGTCGTGTTCGTTGGAGGCTTTGGGTTTCATCTGAGCGATCGACTCGACCTCACCCTGCAAAATCAGGAACCGCTTGTGGTCGAGATCAATTCCGCGATCGCGGAGGAAGGCCGTCACAGCGGTGAAATTGGTTTCTTTCTTGTTCATGTAATATTTGCTGGTGTTATTCTTGAACGCTCGTCGCGAAACAATCAGTTGGGAATCTGGGACCACTTCCTGGCCACCTTCGGGCAAATCGAGGACTTGTGAGAAATGAACCTCGACTTCACAAAATGCAAGGTTGGGATACTGAGCAGAGTTATGAATCAGCGCAGAGATTTTGCCCTGTCGCATCTTGCTGGCGCGGAAACCAAATACAAACAGGAGGGAGTCAATCACGTTGGACTTTCCGGATCCGTTCGGTCCTACGACAGATGAAAAGGAGGCGTGGAACGGTCCAACGATCTGCTGCCCAGCGTAACTCTTGAAGTTTGTCAGAATAAGGTTCTCAATAATCATCCGGGGCTTGGGCGCCGCGGGCTCCTCGGGCGCTTGAGGGGCCTGCGTTCTAGACTTGGCCACAATGTCCATAGGCCTCTCCAAGACTGTCGAGTTCGGGTTTATAATGGAAATTTGAGATGTGGGCACTTCCAATTGTCTCGATGGCGACTGATTCACGGCAGATTCGGTGATGTCGGACAACGGTGGCACGCTTGCTCGGTGCGCTCTTTCACGAGGCTCTGGCGATTGGGATGGCTCTGGAGTTGGAAGTGAGCCCTGTGCCGGCTTGAGTGTGATTGAGCCGTGACTCTTGCGGGGATGAGCCATACTTTTTCTTTTCAACGCCGCTTTACTGGAAGGAGATTCTGGATCTACTTCCATTGACGCCATCCTAACTCTCTCGTCATTCTCATCATTTTCTTCGTCTATATCCATCGCATCAATGTCCATCGCGTCGGTGTCGGTGTCCATCGCATCGGAATCATCTGTTGGCGCTTCTTGGGTCTTGCTAGCAGCGCGCACAGTAGAAGGTGTGACGGGGTCTATTGTCATTCTCTTGCTCGATGCTCTCTTTGCTTTTTTAGGGACTGGAGTGTACTCCTCCTCGACCTCGTCATCGTCATCGTCATCGTGCGTATTGGGTGTTGGTGTTACATTTCCGGGGTCTTCTGATTCAGATGTATCTTCAATGACATAACTCCGACGGGGCGCAGAGCGGCGCGAAGCCCTGCCCTTTACGACTGAAGCCATTTTGTGCAGATCAGTGGGATGTCTGCTGCATGGAGAGGGGCGATAGTGTTGTGCGGAGGTTTTGTCAGTTCAAAGTGGGTTGTTTACCTCGTGCCCAAACGGGTAAAGTGTCCGCTGTTCTGCCACAACAAGCCCTTCACCGCCATGTCCCGCTGTAATTTACCGTACGGTAATTACTCCTCCGCGGAGCTTCATGGGGATCAGCTTGGGAATTGTTCACACAAACCATCACTTCTCTCATTATGCCCAGCATGGCTCCATGGGAGAGCTTCGACCAAGCCTTCTCATTTAATAAGAAATATTCATATGAGCCAAAGGTTTTTGACCAGATTCTATCCAACCGGCGCTCGTTGGACCAGCTCTTTGCCGATCGACTCTTGGGACTCGTCGGCATCCAAGGAGGTATTGTGACTTGAAGCTCTACGCTTGAAGCCTCGGGCTAATCAATTACCTCTCTATAGTGACCAAGATCTACCCGCCGAGGACCAACTCAGATCTCCGAACACTGTTCGGCCACATCGTTTCCTCGGACCTCGATATCCATCACAAACAGTCCTTGATCTATTACATCCTGAAGGACTGCCGCACTGCGCCAGAAGCTTCGTCTCAGTTTGCGCAACAATGCCACCTGCCAGAGAAGTACCGTTTCTTCATCGAAGGTCTTTGGCATTTGGATCGACTCGATTTCAGGGTGAGTTGTGAACCATCTTGAGGGCGGTCATCTTCTGACAATTCCATGATATAATAGCGTGCAGTGGAGCATCTGACTGAACCCTCGCTCATTCCTACCTTTCCCGATGAGATTCTCTACGTTCTTACCCTCACAAAGCTTCCCAAGCATGATGACAGCCTCGCAATCGCCTACTACCTCACTGCGGCTCCTCCTCTTGCAAGCACAAAGATCCGCAAAGCTTTCTTCGATACACTCGCCCGAGCAAACCTCACCGAGGCATTCTACTTCACGCGCAAATACGACGACACTCTTCGTCAGAGCTTTTTTGAGCAGTTGGTGGAATTTGTTCACAAGGCCACCCCTGGCCAAACCAGAAGTAGACGTGCGATGGAACTCGTCGGTCTTCCACTTGATGAAGATGAAGAACAGTGGTTTGAGCACGTATTACTGCAGGGCAACGCTAGTACCCTTCCTGGAGCTAAGGATACTGTGATGATGCGACGCCTTGCAACTGGGCGAACTGGGCAACTCAACCCGGAGCTTGAATCCTTGGGTGGCAAAAAGGTCGATGGGTTGAATTGGGATGACCTTCGGGGGAGCATACGACACACGTAGATGATATACCCAACCAGTGATCTATACTGGATTCAATGTTTATTGGTTACTCAAAAATGAAATAGCAATCAGCTTTAATAGTTTTAATGGCTCTGAATGATTTTCTCATGGTATTTTGTTTTCTGTCGGTTCTGTGCTAATATATACAACTCTTTGTTGATGAGATTGCATCCACTATATGAGCTGGATTGAACTTCTATATCTCAACTCCTTTTAATCTCATTCCGAGGCAAAGAATAAAGCAATAAAAATCCAATCTCATACTCTCAAACATTTTAGAATCGTGCTATACAAGAGTGCTGTGAGTATTTTGTAGGCGTTCCGATAAGATACGGACCAATTCCGCGAAAAGTCCTAACCACAGGAGTTCAGTGTTTTTCTCTTCGCGATAACCAAACCCTATTCTTGATTTTCTCTCAAATTGCTTGATCACATATCGAAGGATACGGATTAATCCGAGAGAAGCCGTTGAGATACAGGCCTTGCTTTGGAGGGGAGCAGTTGAGCAACCACCGAAACCGCGAAGATGGTGGTATGCAACTTTTTTCAGCAGGGTCGCTGCAAGTTTGGAGGTATGAATCTCTTGTGTGTAGAGAAATCAAGGCACTAATATATCTGAAGATCGCTGCAAGTTTGAGCACCCTGGCAAACCGACTGCTGGTCCATCGGGGAATCGATTCGGGGCTTTATCAGGAGGATTTGGAGGTACGTTCAATTGGATTGTTCTTATTCAGCGTTGCTCGATGCGGAGAGTCCATTTATTGGACATATATTGTGTCGTGAGATTGATTGTTCGATCTCGATGTTCATTTGTTCCCCCCATCTCTTTCTCTTGCTCTTACCCTTCTACCCCTGCTGGGCTTACCCCAAACTCCTTCGAGTCCGAAGTGCAACGAATGTTTCCCTGTTCAAAACTATGATCAATCCTGTGAACCACATGCCCCCCCTTCGGGCTAGTCTTCTTCCAAACCCTAACGACAAAATTACGACAGGTCAAAACCAGACTCAACGAGTAGCCGAGTAAGTCGCATCCCCAGCGCCTTCAGTGGATTCAAACTGACAACAGGCAGCCCAGTAGTGAAGGCAAGCGAAATCAAGCAAGATTTGACCGCTGGCCAGGGCCGTCCGGAATGGATCTTCTCCGCATATGCGCCCCACAGAGATGTTGCGCGCCAGCTGTTCGGCGGAGCTCACCGCGAACGCAGCATGGAAGAGATGCGCTTGCGCCATTATGAATTAGCAGCAGCCGGTAACCTGAATGAAGCGGTCCAAGAAGCCTCGTCTCTGTGGCAAGAATGCGTGCAACAGATGGAAATCTCACTGAATGACCTGAATGGTGCCGTCAAATATATCGTTGACGGCAAGAATGAACATCCTAATCGACTGGACATTATCGAGGGAAAGACCCAGACTGTTAACCAAGCTCCAGCACCATTTGGCCAACCCTCTCCATTCGGCCAGGCCGCGCCTACACCCAGCATTGGTCCTGCACCTGGAGCGTTCGGTGCTCCTTCCTCGACATTTGGCCAGCCATCAGGAGTTGGGCAGTCAGTCGGATTCGGTAGGGCTTCAGCACCAGCGCAACCGTCTGGCTTCGGACAGAATTCTGCCTTGGGTAGCTCAGCCTTCGGCCAAACCTCCATCTTGGGAGGTCAGTCTGCTTTCGGCAAAACACCTTTCGGCCAGCCAGCTCTTGCTCAGCCAGGAGTTAACCCAAGCCCATTCGGTAAGCCGTCAGCTCTGGGAGGCGCGGCCCCATTCGGGGCTCCATCTGCCGCTTCACCTTTCACCCAAGTAGCTCAGAACCAGCCTGCTGGTGGTGGGTTTGGCCAGAGCGCCGGACAACCTGCTCCGTCGCCTTTCGGTCCAACCGCTGGACAATCTGGCCCGTCTCCATTTGGCCAGCCAGCTGCCAACACGAGCCCATTTGGTCAACCCTCAGCCCCGGCAGGCGCTGCTCCATTCGGTCAACCTTCAGCCCCGACAGGCACTACGCCATTCGGCCAACCGTCAGCTCCGGCAGCCGCCGCCCCATTTGGTGTTCCATCTGCCCCTTCTCCCTTCACTCAGGTACCCCAGAATCAGCCTGCTGCGGGTGGGTTTGGCCAGAGTGCTGTACAACCTGCTCCGTCTCCCTTCGGCCAGCCTGCAGTTCAAGGCGTGCCGGTGCAGAGTACCAACGCCGGCCCTCGTGCATACATCAAAATCGAAAATCCTCAAGACCTCAACCCTCTTCCACAACTGGAGGGCGAAACTCGACATAACCCATCCACTAAACAACTAGTGATGTGGAAGGGCCGCCCTGTCAAGTATATCAACGAGCATCCGTGCTACCTTCACCCGCAAGACAACATCACCTTTGTCCGGATCAACTTCCCTAACGGGCCACCTGATGCTGCTGGTTTGAAAGACGCACACGGAAAGCCCGAGGAATACACACCAGAAGTCGTTGAGGCATATCAGTTTTTCCTTCAGAATGGCTACTTCAAGGACGGCAACATTCCCGCAGTACCTCCCAAGCAGGAGTGGCTCAGTTTCGACTTTTAATCCCCGGAGAGAGCATTTTCTTGTCCTTCATTTTATTGTTATTCCTATCACGCGTCTCATGGGTTGAGATGACGTTTAAGCAACATGTTCCGGGCGTGCGGAACATTGGGACTGGCGCTTAGGAGCTCAACAATCAATTTATGCATGTAGCAATTCGAAGTGCTTTAATTTCACTTTCAACGCACAAATTTACGGTCTAGGACCACTAATGAGACTCTTTCTTTGTTTCAAGATGTTTCCATTTTTTATTTTTTAAATTCCAGGTTCGAACGGAATCCCCCGCAGCGCGAAACAAGTCATGCGGGCCAGAACTAGCTCCAAAGTCGTGCCGTGCACTCCAAATTGGCCAGTCCACGATCCCTCCCCGAGGCAAGCCCAGCCTAGCGCATTTATGCGGCAATGGTGACCTCAACCTCAACACCGGCCTCGATGTTGATGATGATCTGCTTGACGGTCTCGGTGGGGGCGAGAAGACTTAAGTAGAATGTCAGTAACTGCATCTGCTATAGCACGGCGATACTGCCACAACTGAATGGGCGGGAAATACTCACTCGATGAGACGCTTGTGGATGCGCATCTCGAACTTGTCCCAGGTCTTGGAACCCTCACCGTTGGGGGTCTTACGGGTGGAGATCTGGAGGGTCTTGGTGGGAAGACGGACGGGGCCCTTAACCTGGAGGGACTTGGAGCGGGCACGGTCGATCAGCTCCTGGCAGACCTTCTCGAGGGAGGCAACCTTGCGGGAGGTGAGGGTGATGCGGATCTTGTGGACCTTCTGTAGAGCGGAGAAGCAATTAGTACATAGTTTGCACTGGCGAGGTCTATGGACACATTGCACAAAGCGACAGCTACATCAGGGTGTAGCAGCGATTGCGACAGTGACCATTGGATCAGGAACAACGTACAGGGCCCTCGCCGAAATCCTTCTCGGGCTTCTGGAAAGACATCTTGAATTTGTATGGACTGAAACGGGTTAGTAAGTCGATTAGGGAATTTCAAGAGCAGAAAAAAGGGAGCGCGCACAATTTAAAAGGCGATTGCCGTCAAGACCTGAACTACTAGGCTCGGTAAAGTGATGATGGCTGTTGGAGTGATGTGGATCGAGAATTCCATATCCAAAATGTTCAGTGCGAAAGTCTTGGCGCTTCGGCTATCGCACGCTAAACCCCTTTAGGTCCCCTTTCAGTAGTTGCTTATGTCATCACCAAAAGAGGACAAGAGACTGCCAAGTGATGGCATTCGAGGTGATGATCAGGGCTGACAGGTGGCTACGCGTTTTTCCTTTGTTCTTGCTTTTCTCCCCCTTGTATTACTCTCATATTCCCAGTCATAACCACCTTAGATCGCCCCAATGGCGGAGTTTCCGGTGCTGGCTCCAGTGCCATCCCCCGCAGTGCGGAGGACAATCCCATCAAATGACTGGGAATCTTGTCTAGATGCATGGATGGCCCTGTTGGGGATTCGCCTGAATGCATCAGATCAACAATTTAAGGTTGTAGCAGCTGAAGATCCATCAATACCCCCATTCCTGGGATCTTACTACCAATATACGGCTGCGGGGGATTCTAGTCTACAAAGTGGACCTAAAGCTCGACAGCTTCGGAAGCTGTGCTTTCTGGCGACAAGAAGATACATACTCGATCTCTCCAATCCACCAGATGGAATTCTGGACTGGAGGTTTCTCGGCAATCTATGTTGCTGTTACCCTTCTAGCGCGGCCCTGAAGACGTCATTATCAAGTGCCTGGGATCTGCACCAGGGCAAGATCACTTCCAGTATGGAGAGAGCAAAAGCAGTTGTGATTAAGAACCTCTCTTCGGCCAACTCATCGTCAAACCCTGAAGTAATTTCTGACATGCGCCGTCTGACCATCCTTGCTTCAGTGCTGCCAGCGTGTGGCCAGGAGCTAATGGCAGGCTCCGACTTCCTGGATACGATATCGGAAGCCTACCAGGCAAGAGGTGCCCGGGAGGAGTTTCGTAAGATTCTCGTTGCTAATATCTACGTCGGGCTCGTTTCCTTATTGAAGGAGCCAGTCAATTTGTCTTCGTTATTGGATCAGCTGTTCAGCCTCAAAGCCGCTGCTCGAGTGGGAGCGCCAAAAATGAAGAGGGAAGCAACTCTACTTTCTGATCTCATCTGCAGCTCGGACTTGCTTATTCGGCTGGACAAGTATCTGAGCATTCACCCCCAGAAACGGGGACAAGATCTTCTTGCCAGCTTGCGCACCTATCAGGTGGAATCGAAGTCACTACACCATCGGTATCAAAGACGCAAGAAAGTGGACAAAGGAAAAGAAGTATCCTCGCATCCGATCGTTTCAGGGGAACTTCACGCACACAAGATGTCACTAGTCACTCAAGTACAAGACCTCTTCCCTGATCTTGGCTCGGGCTTTGTTGTACGGCTACTGGACTGCTACAATGACAACCCGGAAACCATCGTCGCCCACCTCCTCGACGACTCACTTCCTGTTGAGCTCCAGTCTCTAGATCGATCTGAGCAACTACCTCCCACAGCAGAACCTCACCATAGCCATATGTCACCCCACCCAACACCACCCGAATCGCCTACGTTGGCACCACTACCAGCCCGCAAGAATATCTTCGACGAAGACGTGGACATCGCCGAACTAAGCCGCTCTGGCGAGGCGCAAGGAAAATTGTACTTCGGCCGCGCCGACCCAGACCAAACAGCCGACATAATCCTCTCAGACCACAGCAAACACGCCGCAAACAAAGCAGCGATCCTCTCCGCGCTCGCAACATTCGACTCAGACGACGACGAGCGCGACGACACCTACGACACAGCCGACGTAGGCGGCGCCATCGACGGAGCCACAGGTGGGGCAGACGGCGAAGCCGATCCAGCCGAGCGCAACCGCCGTGCAGCCGATACCGAAACAATTCTCTTCCGCACATACAAGTCCAATCCAGGGCTCTTCGCCCGCGACTCGGCGACCCGCCGCTCCCAGCCGCGCGGATCGTTGAAGCGCGAGACCGAAATGACTGACGAGGCTATCGAGGGCTGGGCTCTCATGCTAACGCGTGATCCCAAGCGTCTCGCGAAACTCGAAGACCGGCTAGCGATGGATGCTGGCGCGTTGGCTGGTGCTGGATCACTTAACCAGCCTGAGTTGCGTCCTACGTCTTACAGGAGGCCACAGCCTCGTGAGAATGGAGACGAGGGTTCTGATGAGGGCGAGTCTTCTGGCCATGCTGGTTCGCGGGGTGGTAGAGGAGGTGGTGGCCGTGGTGGTCGGGCGCGGGGTGGCGGCGGTCGTGGCGGTCGTGGCCGTGGTGGTGGTCCTTCGTCTGGTGGCCAAGGGCAGCCAGATACTACGGTGTCGAGACAGAGGAAGGAAGAGAATAAGAGTAGTCGGGCGAATCATAACCGCCGACAGCAGCACGCGAAAAAGATGGCGCGTGGCGGTGGGTTGCCTGGCTAATCACACGAAGGGATCAAGCTGGCTTGTATGGATGCAATGCGGCATAACCGCCTTGGTCATTCTCTATTTTTGATATCTAGTAATGACTGTGCATGTAATTTACATAACATCTGTTGGGCTTCTATAGAAGAGCCACGACGCATTGAAACAGAACGCATTCAAGTAATTCATTAATATACCTCAACAAATATAGAATGCGGTATAGACAGTCATCATAACATGTTCGCACAGGGAACTCACTTGGCCAGCAAGGAACTGACGCTTCGTATCAGTGGTGATCTGAGAAGGCTCCGCCTTCGGTAATGGACTTGCGGCACTCCTCCATGAGGCGGACCTGTTTCGCGACGTCACCAAGCCGGCTGATAACCTCCTTGTTACCATCATAGAAGGTAAAGATAGCATAGGGGATACCAGTATCGCGGCAGAACTCGATGACAAACTTCTGCGTACGACGTAGGTTGTGACGCGGAATCCGCGGGTAGAGATGGTGAATGGCTTGGAATTGCAAGCCACCGTGGAAGAAATCCAGCCATGTTGGGCAGTCGACGTCCATAGTGGTACGGAGCATCTTCTGCGCGAAGGACTCACCGACTCCTAGGTCGGCGGTTGACATAGCGAAGTGGGATAAGGTGATTTGAACGTGTAGTGGTGAGGAAACAATATGTGAGACGAGGAGGAAGATGATGCGGCTGCTTGCATCGGGAAGCGTCTTGTACATCACACCGTAGCCAAACCAGGTCCAAAAGAAGACCTGTCCGACCAGCTCAAACCAAACATGCCACCAAGCAGGGCCTCTTCTAGGAGCTTGGCCCTTGAATAGGTACTCCCAACTCAAGACATACAGATTGAACCGAGCGAGCATCATAATAGGGTAGTAAGAGTAGTTCTGGAATTTGAGCAGAAACCGAGCCGGGGCATCGAAAGTCATGATTCGATCGTAATAGGTACTCCGTAGGCTCGTGAGGAAGCGGTGCGAGATAGCGAAGAATGGGATATGCTCGATATCCGGGTCATGCTCTGGCTCATTGGTCACGATGTGATGAACGTTGTGGCTTCGTTTCCACCACCCGAGACTTAATCCTCCGAGATAGTCTGCGATGAATATTCCAATAAGGGTATCCACATGGAAATTGTGTGTAATGCCCATATGACCAGCATCATGGGCGGTGAAAACAAGCTGATGCCAGAAACAGCCGAGGAAGAATGCCGAGGTCGCCCACCATCCCATGCGGAGGAACATATAGGAAAGACCGGCAAAAAGGGTATACCGACAACATTCAACGAAGTAACAAGAGTAGTCGCAGTCGTAAAGTCCCTCGGCCTTGATACGCTCGTTCAGTTCGCGGTATTTTCGTTTGATCTCTTCCTGACTTGCGGTATCCAAGGAGGGGTATTTGGCAGTGTCCAAGACGATTTCCTCCCGTGTTCTCGCATCCAAGAAGGCAGGCTTGGCTTGAGGTTGGTCGGTCAAAGCAGATCCGGCCGCTTTCCGTTGACGAACTGTGGATTTCGAGTCGACCGCATCGAATATCGGCGAGGGAGGAACTGATCCATCTTGGCTGGAGCCACTGGAGCATTCTTGTGCTGTTGAATCCTCATCACTCGCGCACGTGTCTTCGGCATAAGCACGGAACGTGCCGCCCTGGATCGGGGGTCGGAAATTGATCCATGTCCCTTCAATTCGTCCAATCTGGTACGAGTGCATGCGCTTGCGGGCTTCTTCGGAGTGTAGCCTATACGAGGCCGGTGTCAATTAGACTGATCAAAGGTGGTGGTGTTTGCCGTTCCAAAACATACGCGTTGATCTCATCTGTCGCATCCCTGCCCACCATGTGCTTGATTGGCTTCTCCCCTCCGGGATGATATCTGATGAATGGGTCTACCTTCAGGACACGGCCCTCGAAGATTATGACATGCTTGCCCTCAGCTATCAGGCCTTCAATATATCGTCGAGTCAAGAGGGTATCCTTCCGGGACGGTCGGGATGCGGTCTTCTCCATAGTATGCGGTGCGGTGAGAGGGTGGATGTGTGTAGGGTCAGATAACATGGGGTTACAGTGACATTGCTGAGAGTCGAACTAAGCAACTCACCAAAAGCATGCAAAATGCAAATAAACAAAGGAAACAAGAATGAGATTGAAAAAAGGCAGAAACATTCCAAGGGCTATGGGGCGGAGGTGGATAACAGCGGGGACCCGATCAGCGTGCGTGATTGTCACACCTTCACATTACCAACATACCGAGGCACGTAACTTTTTGACATGGCAGTGAGTCTCGAAATAAATTGGTGTTGGCTACATTGCTCTAATCATTCTATACCTATAGCAATCAATTTCCTCCTTGACTGAGCAATGGCTTCATTGGGACCAGGTCAATATGATATATGTTTCATCTCGTGGCATGATCCCGCTGACTCGGGTATATAGGATCATACAACTCGCGTGGAAATAGAACAACTTCGGGACTCTAACGCCACTGATGAGCTGGAAAAGCGCCTTCGAAATCGTACGTCCTTCTATGTTGATCCTCGGCGCGTATCTAATCCGTGTATACATCTAGGCATTGAGTTCGGAACAGCTGGTCTCCGAGGCCGCATGGCCGCGGGGTTCTCCTGCATGAACTCGTTGATAGTCATACAAGCCTCCCAGGGGCTGGCCAAGTTCGTTCGAGACAAGCGTCCTGAGATCGCTTCGAAGGGCGTGGTCATTGGACATGATGCGCGTCACAATTCTGCGAAATTCGCTGCACTCGCAGCTAACGCTTTCGTCGCACAACGCATCCCTGTTTGGTTTTTCAATGTGGAAGGACCAACACCCATGGTAGCGTTCGGCGTGAACCATTTCGGTACGGCCGCAGGTATTATGGTGACGGCGAGCCACGTAGGTCTACCCCGAAACTACTTTTATCGATGGATTGGCTAATCGGCTCGAAGAATCCACCCCAGGACAATGGTATGTTACCCATTTCTGATGCTGTAAAATAATTGCTGACTGTTTTATAGGCTACAAAGTGTAAGAACTATGAATGTATATCATGGAGATTGCTGACAAGATCTGCCTTGTAGCTACTCGAGCAATGGTGCCCAGATCAACCGACCCGAAGACGGCGAAATAGCACAGTCAATTCAAGAGAACCTCGAGCCATGGCCGACCGCATGGGCGGAATTACAGCCAGGCGAATTCCTGCACGCGGATTCCTATCAGAAATTGCTGCCTCACTACAGTAGCCGAGTCGCAGAGTTCACGGTACGTTGTGGGCTGTGCTTCAGGAGATCAATCTAACGAGTTTACTCTAGAAATCTACGGTGACCAATTGGCAGCCCCCAAGACCGTTCGTTTATACACCTCTGCACGGCGTCGGAGGTTTGGTTCTTCCAACTTTGTGTCACTCACTTGGAATCAATGACTTTGTATCCGTTGCTGCCCAGGAAAAGCCAGATCCTGAATTCCCCACTGTGAAGTTCCCCAATCCTGAAGAGGCTGGAGCTTTGGATCTTGCTATCGAGACTGCCGACCGAGAAGGAAAGACCTTGATCATCGCAAATGACCCCGATGCCGACCGTTTCGCCGTGGCGGAGAAAGTGGAGTGAGCCTCGATTTCTGACTACCGTCAATTGATCTGAACTAACATGTTTTCAGTGGGAAATGGCACACTCTAACTGGAAATCACGTCGGTGTACTTCTAGCGTCCCATATCTTGGATTCGTTCGATGCCAGCAAAGATTGGTCCCACATCGCGGTGTTGACTACAACGGTGTCGAGCGGGATGCTTGGAAAGATGGCAGCTGCAAAGGGAATTCACTTCGCAGAAACCCTGACTGGGTTCAAGTGGATGGCTAATATCGCCCGGGACTTGGAGAAAGAGGGAAAGACCATTCCTTTTGCATACGAGGAGGCACTGGGATACATGTTCCCAGCTGTCTGTTATGACAAAGACGGCATTACAGCAGCTACCGTCTTCCTTGCAGCGGAGGCGAAATGGAGAGCCCAGGGATTGACTGCATATGCGAAACTGCAGCAATTGTTCGGCGAATTCGGCCATCACGAGACCTTGAATAACTACTTCCGATCACCCAATCCACAGCTCACTTCAACATTGTTCCAGGGTATCAGAGGCAGCCCGGGCCTCGCCAATATGCAGTTTGGCCCCTTCAAGATTTTACGATGGAGGGATTTGACCCAGGGCTATGACTCCAGCACCCCTGATAACAAGCCGGACTTACCTGAAGATCCAACAAGCCAGATGATTACGCTGTGGTTGGAGGGCGGGGTACGCTTCACATTTCGAGGTTCGGGCACGGAGCCCAAGGTCAAGTGTACGTTTTCCCACTCTCTTTCGAGTGAACCAATTACTGATATATGGATACAGTTTATATCGAGAGTTGTGGAGACTCTCGCGAAGACGCTGTCAAAGCAGTCTGCGATGCATTCCTCACGATTCGGAAAGAATGGGTACAGCGCTTTACGCCCTCGATGACATACAGCAAGCAACTTTCGACATCGTCTGGTAACATTCTGACCGTTGAATGAAGACGTGCGTCAGATCAATAATTGGCTGAGATTCTCGAATGACCGGCAGGTTACCTGATGTAGCCAAGGCGCCCGCCGCGTTCGCAATGCAGAGAAATGTGGTCAATATATTGTGAACGAGTGTAAAGATGGCAATTGAACTACTGTGACTAAAGAGATCGACTGCCTCCCTTTCATATATGTACAAAGGGTCATAGCGAGTGTATTCTCTAATTTACTTCCCTCCGTGATGCTGATATTAGCTTCGAAGGAACTCCGGTGTCTAGGGGAGCTGAGCGAAAGGATTTGAGGCCTATGCACAAATTCTTGACTCTCATCTCCGCGATCACCAGCGGAATGATCTAGAGTGGATCAAGTCGGGCAAATCAAAGGCGGCGTGCAAGTGGGCAGTGACTCTCCTGGCTCAATTTCTGCTATCATCTGCACCTCAGTGTCATCCGCTTGTGCTTCAGTGCCATCGGGACCGGCAGTACAGAGGTCGATTGCAAAAGTTCTGTCTCACTCATTTTCACGGTAGTATAAATTTACTCCTAATACAATGAGGTTGTTTCAAACTGCTGTTTCGATTCCGTTCCAATTTGATTAAATACAACATACATTATGTAGTTTAATAAAGCAACCAACTACCTTCCCCCTTCTAAAGCAAAAATAAAGTTGATACAGAACTTTTGAAGTCGACCTCCGGCCATCACGACAACCGGCCTAATCGTTTATTACCGCCTTGGTTATGTGGGGCTCACTGCGTACTCCGTATACTTCGAAGTATGAAGCTATTCAGAGACCACCTGATCTGTCAATATGAAACAATTTAAATTATTGGAATCATGAATGAAATTGCTGCTCGTACCCCCCAGGATGACACCGGCCTAAATTTTCAGTACCGTTTTCCTAAGTTGGTTGAGTACCTAGATCTATATACCAGTCGAACAATCCGAGGGCCTTTCAGCCTTCGTGAATTTGTCCGAGAACTCCGGGAGAATGAGAGCCCCTTGAATATTGTTGGTGCTGTACATGTCGCCGAACTGAATCCCTTCTTTTGATTGATATCGCTTTCGTGAGTAGGCTCTGTAGATCGAGCCGGACATTTCGTAGACTACGGTGGTTCTTTGGATTGCGAAGTCATCTTCAGGACCTCCAAAATCTTCGGAGTATTCGAGAATATACATTTTGAAGGGGGCCACGCATCAAGCAAGAGAAAAAAAAAGCAAGGTCGGTTCAGATAGGTAACCGGTCTGGGAGTCACAAGATGAAGCGGGTGCCGACCTAGTTGCGATTAAAAGGGCTGTTTGCACTTTCTCGTCAGCCAAGGCTTGTGAGAGGAGTCAGGAGGAGCATCCAAATTGGGATTCCGCCTTCAAGGCCGAATATATCTCTCGATCTTGGGCGTATCCTCAAGTCTTTTTATTCATACATCAACATGCATCATCATATGTATCGACAGAGCAAGGCGAGGAAGAATATTATCCCACAATGCCATCTTACAGAAACCCAACAAAACACCGACTGCTATGATCATCATCACCTGTGTCACGCCCAACAAGCTACGCCCTGCTCAAGAGACCATCACCTCCATCTAAACAACACCGATATTGATACCGTCAAACATCGGGCATATCACTTACGTCAAGCCCCAAGTACCAAAGAGACAATTCATTGTTATTTTTGTCCTAACTTCCAAGGTCAGGGTCCTCGCCTCAAAATGTAAGACTGGATTTGCACTTGTGTTGCGTCGGTATTTCTTCACCTCTGAACGAATTGCAGGAACAACGTCGATTCCGACCCCCTTGTACAGCACCATGAGATCTGCCATAACCGACATAAAAGCCAACATATCCACCCGCAATCCCGGTCTCGATCTTCCGAGTCGAGTGAAGACGAAGAACACCGCTACCACACCGAGCATTACCATACTCAAGGGATCCAGTCCAATGAGCGACAACATCATCCACCTACAGTCAAGCACGTCCACTCAAAAAGTTCGAATAGCATGTTTGACCATGGCCATCACCACGCTGCAACACCAGCACAAAGTACTTGTGCTCATGCTACCGTGTTTAATTCACATGATGACGGATGCGGTAGCAATATGAAAGCCGTTAGATTCGAAGAAGATGACAGGCCTGAGACTCACCATTCTGATTGTCCCATACATGGTACCCCGTCCCATGGAGAAGACCGGTATGGTCTTCATCGCAATTCCCGTCAATACCAGTCCCAATGTCGAGGATCGAGAACTTACAGGTGGGTTTGGGGCCCTCCTTTACCCGTGGTGGCCCCTCGACGTGAAAAGACTTATTATGCGGAGAGATATTGAGAAATCGTCATAGATAAATTGAATGCGTATCAAATATAAAGTCACATTCTACAAATTTCAGCTTCCATTCTTGTACCTACTCACAGCAACGTAAATTCCCCCGTCTGATGACTTCACTTTTGTTCGAGCACGCCACCTTTGTCTTTTGGTTCGGAATGGAACACATAAAAAGAAGGGGAAACTTAATGAAGCAGCTCACGACCCTGTTATATCTCCTCGCCTGTTGGCCTTTCCCAAAGCCAAAGTCTAGCTGCCTATTTGTGTGGGCATTTTCGCAAATATTTCCACCAGGCTATGTCTGTTGGGCGACTTTAACGCAATGTAGGTACGTATGGCTCCATGAGATTCCATGCGGGGATCCCTGCAGATAGAGGATTACATGAAAGGAGTCGGGCTCGATTTCCAGGACAAATAATAAGGAATACCTCCACAAACTCTGGATGAGTGTGCAGTATTTCCACATAACCCTCAACTAATAGGTATGACAGCGAGGCGACATGGAAACATCATACATCGTAGCTACGAGAGATGGAAATATATCGCCATGAGAAGATTCCAGAGAGCAAACAGGCAGGAAGATCTCAGGCAGCAATGCTGCCAATAGCAACCCATGCGGGGTCTGCCAGCTCATCATCGCATACAAAGCTGAATGCCACCCATACTATCGATAACATGTCTTGTTAACTCGGCTAGAATTATTTAATATCTGACTAGCGATGGAATGCTGCAAATTATGTGATCGGTCTTTTAGTGACCGGCAAGCTTTTCAACAACATATGCGAGATGCTCCGGTACATACTTTGACATTTCGATGCGACCCCTGCAATCGTACTTTTGTCAGCCAAAGCGCCCTGGACCAACATCTCCGAGACTCGCCTGTGCATATCATCACATATGACTGTGAGCCTTGTAGCAGGTCTTTTGTCAGTCAAAGTGCCTTGGACCAACATGTTCAAAATTCACCGGCACATGCAGTATCATTCAACTGTGAGCTTTGTAATAGATCCTTTGGCAGCCAAGATGCCCTGGATCAACATATCCAGTATTCAAAAGCACACATCGCGCCGACCAGCACCCCGCTGGACAAGTTCTTCCGATCCTTTCCGAGCTTCAGATACAATCCAAAATTACCCCCTTCGGAATCATATGCCCAGCTCAGGGAGTTCTGTGGCTGGGAAAAAGAGAATCCAGATGGGGAAAAGGCCTGGAAGAAATATCAATCTGCTCTCGAAGCTGAGGTTAAGATGTGGTTCGGAGCTGAGGATGACCTTGACGCCTGGCATTCTCTTTGTCGAGCTATCGGAATCGAGCCTTTGCCTGAAACCTGTAAGCAAGCTGTGAGGGTAAGTACTTATCACGTCTGTATATCTGCATGTTTTTTTATGATTCAAAACGGAGATCTACAAGTATTTATTATTGAGATTGACTAATAAATTGATTTAGGTCATCCGAGGTGTGTTCGTCAATATCATCGATTTGATCGACTGGGCTCGAAGTGGAAGCACAACCAATCGAGTGCAAAGGTTCTCGAGCTTAGAACAGCTACGGAAATATACCAAACAAACGGGAAAGGTATTCCACAATCGGCTTGACGAAGATGATGATGGAAATGTTGTCCTTCGGCATCTGCTTCGGTTTCTTTTCAAAACAAATCGTCGTTATGACTGTTGATGCATTGCAGAAGGAGGCTGGATAAAATGGTCAATTTGTTTAATTCTCACTGATGTAGATAGGAGATCATCTGCAATATATGGGAAATGAAAGCTCGAGAGACAAAAGGACCTCAAGTGAATTTCTAGTGGACCTCGGGAACTCGTCAACTTCATTAAAAAGATCAGAACTTAACTTAGAAGTGTAACTCTTGAACATTGCCCGATCTGGTGCGAATCAAGATGCCGATTCATTTGCAGCAAGGGAGTTCCCTGATTATAACTTGAGAAAATTAAAGAGAATGACAATATGTGAGAAAGCATTGAAGCTTTATAGAAATGCCATTATTTCTTCATCTTTTTATATCCCGCTTTCACATTGTCATTACTCGTCCAAGATGAGTTTCCCGTCTCTTTTGGCAGCATCAGCATCTTAGGCTAGCACTTTCTTTGCGCCTTCACAAGCCATATATGCTAAAGTACGACCAACCATTGATCGGATTTTTGGGTGCTGATTCTTTATCTAGTTTTGGTACTATTTTTGGTACTATATGATTCCGGGTTTCAATTATAATTAAGTGAAATGTGGCATACTTATAATAGTAACATACGTATAACAACAGTAACAACAGTAATAACAGTAATAACACATAACTAGCAGCTTCCAGATCGAAGCACATACAAATGACAACCCTGGAATGACATTGGAATCAATCCATCTAATGAATGAGGGATGACTTGTTCTTTCCACACAATCCAAGAAGGCTCAGTTCATATAATACAAAAGACCTTTCCAATTGTATGAACATGGCCCCTCGAGTAGCTTTCCTTAGTGCCGCCTGTGGGCACGTCTTGCATGTCTCGGTAGCGTGGCCAGTTCGGCAAGCGCCGTGCCCTGAAAGCGAATTTGCTGGACATATCTTGGTTCTCTTCGGTGCTCGTTGATATCGGAGTCGTCAGATGATGACAACTCCAGTACAGGCTGGTATGCGGACTCGTATCGATGCCCCGAGGGATGAAGTTGGGTCCTACGCAATAGATCTTCTGTTTGCACCTGCGCAGTTGGAGCCATACCAATAGCACTTCGTCGAGATTGACCGACAGCAGAAGGGTATCGAGTACGATCCATCGCCCTATTGGTAAGAATGGTGCTACGCCAGTCGTTTCCTGGCGTTTCGGGGAAAACATGACTTCTATCCAAGAGTCTGGAGGGGACTCTTTGTTGGATCACCATGCCCGTATGACCGTGGTTACGTGCACATATATCTGCGTAGTTCTCACTGGTTGTGAAATAAGCCGCAGCTGCCGGTGTCGATGAAGGTCCCCGGCACCCCCGGTAATGACCTCATCCGGATTTCCCGTTCGAATGTACTCTTCAGCCCGCTCTCGGGCAGACCCTCGGTAGATTACACGGGATGGTCTGGACCTCATATAGTCAGCACTATTTAAGTGAGGTATCGGAGGTAGTTTCACGTACGGCCCATTAGCCGTAGCGGGATATGCCGAGCTGGTTTCACGAACTGTTTCAGGACCGTAAGGACCAATGATGAGTCTTGACTCACTCGATTGCCATGATCCATAGGGGGTATCATAGTAACTTATGAAAGAATAGATGAGTACCGTTTGAAATAATATAGATGATGGCATGATTTACTATAGCACAGTGCGGGTTCGTGTGTCATATCGTGGCTGTCCGTCCAAGATCCGTCGATGAGACATGTGGGCAATTCTCTGGAAGTGCAAAGATATCAGCTCTTACACTGGGTTATGCCAAGAAAGGGCTATAGGAGATTCGATACGAGAGAAAGACAAGGAGGATTTCGAAGACCTTGAGCAATAGAAAGCTATAAGGATTGAATCAATAACGGCATCCCTTAGTTTAATTATTATATGTCTTCTACAACCATCCCAGAAGCAAAGGGAGGAGAGGGGTCAGACAGACGCCACTGAAATCGAAAACAGAGCGATCTAATTTAGGTGCTTTTTAACGCCAGCTTGTATTTCAGTATGTGTTTCAACGGGTATTAGTTGAGATTACTGAAAGCAATACTGCTAGACTGACACTTCTACTGTGCTGATTGTATAATTGAAACTAGCCCTGCATGCTCCAAGCGCTCTCAAGTTGTGCCAGAGCTCAGTTCCTCGCGTGCTATATTGAGAAACCTCGCAGTGTGCTGAATACTGCTCAGAGGCAAAGAGGATGCCAAAACAAGGATCACTGGAAATTCCATGGAATTGTGCTAGCTTTTTATCCGATGCGAGAAGCAGGTAAAGGTGTTTATGAAGGAAAGACCATGTGATTAGCCTCATGGGGGATCACGGGCCACCTCACCATCTCCATTGGGAACAGTGGCGTTTGGACATGAGGCGAGTCAACCTGCGCGGATCATTATATTTCCGGCTGGCGTATGCGGCAACCTAAAACTCAAATCTGACAGGCGTGTGTTTCCGATTATCTTGATTCCTCTCTTCGCCAGCCAAGCCTTTTTGCAGAATGTCCACAGCATGCTGGACATGCCGCAATCGCACTATCCGATGTGACTCAAGCAGCATTCCTTGCGTCAAGTGCGAGAAAGCTGGACTAGAATGCTTTGAACAAAGACCGCTACGATGGGTGAAAGGTGTAGCAATTCGGGGTAAAATGCGTGGACATATATTTGGAGAGGACCGCAAAGCTTCTGATGAAAATCCACGGACGCAACTAGAACAGAAACAAGTCATACATTCGCGCACGAAGTCTTTGACAACAAATATTACACCCTCGTTCGCCTTGCAAGATCCTTGCATACACAATCTCGACCGGTCATCGAGATTCTATCTTGATTATTGTGGGTTCATAGCGAGCTAAATGGTCCCGTGTGTGCACTAATGTCAGACAAGATAATTTACGCGTCGCCAAGTTGTTCATTCTATATGACAGTGAGAGCAATCCATTTAGAAGGTTGCTCACTTATGCGATGGAAAATTCAACCTTGCGAAAGACTATAGTTGCTGTTGCTGCAAGACACTTCGCTAATGCAGGCCAGTCATTTGATCAGGTCAGTGATGGCTTGTCGCCTCGGTTTATCAATGCCAATTTGGATGCATTCCATTTCAAACAGCAAGCCATCAAAGCATTATCATTGTCATTATCCCATCCAGAGCCTTCTCAAAAGGACGCGATAATGCCAGCAATTCTCCTTCTAATTTTCCTTGATCTCCTCGAGTCCGGCATCGAAGGTTGGAAATATCATCTCCGTGGTGCAGAAGGCCTGGTCAATCTTTCTCACTCGATGCTGGAGTCTAGTGATAGTAAATCTATCAACGGCAACCCTGGAGAGACGGTAGAGGAGACAAGGCGATTTATCACCCGACAGTTTTCGCTGTATGATTCCTTCTTCTCTATGGTTTGTAGTGTGAGGTCGCTGACAATAGTAGTGTCTCAACCTTTGGAGGTGCACTCTCAGGTTCGAAGTCGAGTCCTGAATTTTGTATGAACTTTGACGAAAGCAGGCACCATGAATCCATTATTCGAAGCTTTCTGGGATGTCCTGTATTCCTTCTTAGAGCTATCCGTTATTTCTCGAACCAAAGACACGTGATCAAGAGCTTAGACATGCATGATGACCTCTCGATTCACGAGCATGTACAAAATACTTTGAGTATGCTTGAGCTGACAGCAAATTTCGATTGTCTGGAATGGGCGTCAAACTCCGTGGAATCAAGCGTTTCCTCAGCAGCGGAGCTTCAAAAGCTTTCTTTGCTATCTCAAGCATACAAAACTGCCACCATTCTCTATGGAAAACGAGTGCTTCGTGCTTTCAAGACATCAACCAGGCCGATAGCATCTGACAATGAGGAGTTGGTGTTGCGATTACTTGACGTGATTGAGTCTCTCCAATGCGACCCGGCTTTGTTCAAGTGCCTATTGTGGCCGACCTTCATTGCCGGTCTCGAATGCCAGACTCATAGTGAGCAAAACCTGGTCATTGGATTTCTGAAGATGCTTTGGAACCTGACCAGTTGTTTGAATGTGATAAACGCTTCTAAAATGGTGCACGACAATTGGAAGCGAAAGAATTTCGATGGCAATTTGGCGTCGGGGGAATCTGAATTATATGTAATAGAACAAGGCTGGCTGCTTATTTGATCTGTTGTATTGCTTCCATGCAATATTTGCAATGAATACACACGGAAGCCATCACAGAAAGCCAAAGGGTCATCGGGATGGTTGCAAAGCAACTCAATCCTAGTGGACTCTACAAATATGTCAGCATATCTAGCCCAATAAAATATCGGCTTAGTACTTCGTGGGTTGGAGATTACTGTTAGCCATTAAAGAATAAAAATTTATTTCATTATGCCCAAATATTACAAGTACAGCTTTCAAAAGTAGGTCGAATATCTCAGCCGTCTATCTGGATTAGTGACGACACCGCATAATTTAATTTGAGCGCCACATGCCATAACTTCCTATTCAGGCGACTAGGGCTTACCAATCTACCACTTACCCTGCCCAATAACCACTTTTCTCGGATAGTGTCTGACATTTGGAAGATTTTCCCATAGATGCGAAAGAATGTGAACGACATGTGTCAGTGCGCGGAAATTTGCCCCGGATAGCCCCACCTGGCATAACTTCCTAATCGGGTAAGTATAGTCCCACTCTCAATCGACTTCACCAGGTCCGAGAAATATCAGCTCACGAAAGACAAATTTTCTAGTGAATTATGCTGACGGGGTGCTTTCAATCTCTGTAGGACCGAGCAAGGATTCCATTTCCCGAATTTGAATTAATAACGGGGTGAAGTGAGTAATATTTAAAGGCCATATATCCCCTCCGTTTTCATTACTCTTTTAGTATCATTCAACGGACTCTCAACCACTATCAATTTCCCTCTACTTTATTCAAAGCTTCCCTCATTCTTCCGACTCTTTCCATTACACTATGTGCCACCAGGAAATTGACGCCAATGGCTGGACCAGCATCGCGGCTGATGCTGGCGCCATCTTCGGCGACCGGCCTTTTATCAATAAGCCAGACTCTCTCTCTATCACCGATATTAAATTTCCATTTGATGATCCTGTGGTCGCGAAGACTTTGAAGTATGCAAAGAAAACCCTGCATCCCGGAACCTTCAACCATTCGATGAGGGTCTACTTCTACGGTATGTTAGATGTTGCGCATAGCTCTAGTAATACCAAACATCGCATCTAACATCTGCTTAGGGATGGCCATTACCAAGCAGCAGTTCCCCGAGCGAGCTGCTACTCTCAACCCAGCGACTTGGGCCTTGACATGTTTGCTGCACGATATCGGCACGGCCGAGGAAAACCTGACGGCAACCCGGATGTCTTTTGATCTATATGGGGGCATCAAGGCCCTCTCTGTCCTTAAGGATTTTGGCGCCACTGTAGATCAGGCCGAGGCAGTTGCTGAGGCAATCATCCGACACCAGGATATGGGAGTGGATGGAACGATCACATACATTGGTCAACTTATCCAGTTGGCCACGATTTACGACAATACCGGTCTCCATCCGCACGTCAAGGGTTTTGCCGAAATGATCCACGAAACCACCCGCACGCAGATCAATGAGGCCTATCCGCGCCTCAAGTGGTCTACAGTCTTCTCCGGTGTCATTCGCAAGGAGGAGAATATCAAGCCCTGGTGCCATTCCACTCATCTTGTCAACTTTAGCAATGAGATTGAGGCCAACACCCTCATGAAGCAGTGGGAGTGAGAACCGAGCACTCAATTCTTATTGATTTATATTTGAGCTTTCGGGTCACAGTGGCTGCACCTACTAGACATGTAAACTTTCAAACGAATTCACCTCCGAAAATTGAGATGCACGAGTTCAATTTGATACATGGATCATTTATATTACGTTGTATTAAACATCAATAACCCCCCAAAAGCGGGTTTTGACATAGCTATACAGCTTCGTGTCCAGATCAAGAATGTCATCATTCCGAACATAGACTTTTCCACCTCTCATTTCTTTTCAGCACTTCATACAATCTCATTCTAAAAACCCTTCTCTCTATCTTCATTCTCCTCTAAATCAGAAGATGCATCACTGACTCCCTGTCCCATCAGTTATCAAGCTTATCATCCAACGCTTCATTACCCGCTCGCCTCTACAATGCCCACCTGGTTCCGGAAAGGCATCAGCCCGGGAACTACCATCACCCTTGATCAGCCCGTTGCTTCGAAATGGGAAGTTGTGGAGAGGCTCAGTGAAGATGATGAGCAGCTATTCGAAGCCGATCGTCGCCGTGGGGAAAAAAATTTCCTATGCCGTCACCAAACTGCTTTGTCGCGACCCTAAAATTCCAAATAAAAGCTTACATTCGAATCTACCTCCAAGTTCCCTATCGTGGTACTGAGATGGATGATCCGGATACAAGAGCCCGTCAGGCCAAAAAGCACGTCCCCCAGGAATAAACCGCCTATCAAGAACTTACTGCGCTAGGGTTAAGTTTCACCCCGAAGCTCTTGGGGTTGAAAACTACTGCACAAGACAAGTCGGGGCTTATCCGAATGGCTTCGCGGTCTACCTCGTGTGGGAGATGGTACCAGGACTCCATCTCGGTAGCAGGGCTAGCCCCGATGCGTTCTGGGATCTAGATCATGCCGAAAGAGAAGAGATTCGTCAAAACTCCTTGAGGAACTTCTCGTAAGTGGGTTACAGATTTTCTGCCTTTCATAACTAACGTCGATACTAGTTTGATAAGAGAAAATGGATATTTCCCTGATACGGCTGCGTTGCGTAGCCTGGTCTGGGATAAGAAGTCAAAAACCCTGTACATCTAAGCACATAGTCTTTATTTTCAACGTGACTACGCAAGCTAGTACTAATGATCTCTAGTTACTTGGTCGGATAAGACAGGCAAACCTAAAGAGATATTTCCCGACGTTATGTGGATAGCACACTTTAAGCTCGCCATACCAAACTCGAAGAAATGGCTCAAAAATGAATGAGATCAAGATACCTCAGGATGGAAATGGTAGTCCGCGCAGTAAATTGTTCTAATCCCTTTTCTTATTTCAGTTAGGTACCAGAAAATGCATTCAGAATTTTCCCTAGTGGAATAAGATTCGCAATTTGGGGGTGATTCTAGGAAGTCTTAGAAGTTGAGAGACATTCTCCGAAAATAATGGTTGATCTCCTCAAGCACCCTAAGTTTTATGCGCTGGTGTGATGCACAAAGGTCTCTCGACCAAACAACATCGACAAGCGCCGCCCATTCCAAGCGACGAACAGTTCATCTAGCGCCGACCGTCCCAGTAAGGAGATTTACAACTCATGTGGTACGTCAGCCAAATATAAGCCGCATCTTCTAAATAATCTTAGATCAATCCCAGGCGATGGGAGGGATTTTATAGATCCATGCACGGTGATAAGGGTAAAGAGCGCTAAACCGAAAGGGTTAGGGCTAAACCTAAGAGCGTGATATACGATAGATGGAACAACCTATCTAATGAAAACTAATAAACATGCAAACAGTAAGCGAGCAAGCAAACATGAAGCATATGATAACGATCTGTAGTGGATCGTCATATAACCCGCGAAAAGACCCATCTAGTCTCTAGATGCTGAAAGACTGGCAATGGCATTTATGGTTGCCATTGGCCTTCGAAGAAGAACGTGGCGTGGTCGAATGCAGAGAGAAATAATAACTGTCAAGTGGTTGAATAAACAAATTTTGAAGAACTTTTGTATAAGTTGAAGATCAAAGGAAGAATTTCGGTTCCGAAGTGAGAATTTAAGCGGTGCGTAGATCGGTGTCCTGCTTATTCGAAAGGGGGATAATCTAGCTTGTTGAATCTTGTTGTGGTTGTCGTACACACGCGAAGTTGATCAATAATTGTATTATTATGTACGTTGGAATGATGGTGCGAAGGAGCTGGCGAGATTGAGAAGTTGACGTTGAATCTCGGAAGGTGATCTTGCACGAATAGCAGCATCCATGTGTTGTACTTAGATGAGCGGTAAACTTCTAAGGGAAGTATTGGAATGTTTTGGCGGTATGGAAATGAAGAAGTGGGTTGGTGTTGAACTTGGACCTGATATGTCTTGAAAAGCTTAAATATCAACTAGAGCTGCTGGATCTCGCTATGAGGTTGACGAAAGTAGTAGCAAATTCAGCGCGAAGCTCTGTACAATTTTGTTGGTATTGGTGATTTATTTTGACGAAGATCAAGAGGAGGTAGCGAGGTTCAAATTTTGCACTGGAACCGTTGCCTGGAAGTTTCAAAAAGAAGAAGAAAAGTGGATTCAGAATTCAGGATTCAGGAAAGAAGAGAAAAAATCAGGATTCTGGATATGGAGGATCTGAGCAGTCTCTCGCGCATGGCTTGCTGTAACGTCTCGGAGCAGTCCAATCTCTAGCTCACAACCTAAGGTCTGCTGCCGGACTGTCCAAAAGAGGAAAGATGCTTCGAGTGAGTGAGAGCGTACTCGCAATGAGACCTCTGTGCAGTGTACGAAAGCGTGCCAGTACCCAAACCACAGGGCTGCGTAGCTGAGGATCTTAATTGTCATATGCTTACATTTTTGTGAGCAGTGGGCTACTACTGCGTTATTGGGCGGCAGTTTGGTATATATGTCCTCCTTTCTGTTGCTTTTATCACCCAGAAACCGTACATCTTTCCACCTGGGCAAGTATACTCATTTGCAGTCGTGAGTTCCACCCTACTCTACGTCTCTGGGACAACCAGCACCTAGGGACTTGCCCTAACCAGAGAGTTGTAAAGCCACTTGTGCCTGCCTATGATGAATTGAAATGCTTTTGTTAATTTCCCTGTCTGTCTCCCCTCTTCTCTTCTTCTTTTCCTCAACTTTCTATACTTTCTGCTTAAGTTACAGAAAAAACGACTTATATAATTTGTTTAACTCCTCCTGCCTCACGACACCGACGCCGAACCCTGAACCCCTCTGTCGTACCAGAAATGGACGACTCTTTGTAAGTAAATCAAAGATGGCCGCAAGCAAACTGCTAACATCTCATACAGTCCGCAGACCGACTGCGAAGCTAGGTCCCCCTCCCCCCCCCTCATCTGCTAACTATAGTACAGATACCACCACCTCCCCGGTAAAGCCCGCGGGGCCCATGGGGTTCTTTGCTGCAGTTGGTGATTCGTCGTCGTCTGCACCGAGTTCGTCAAGTCCCACTTCCGACGGCAGCTTCGCTCCGCGAGTTGACGGACTTACCCAGGTCATTACGGCTATCGGTCTAACCTTTGGACGTGAATCGGGGTCACCCGATGAGCTATCCTTTGGAGATGATGGCGGGCCGGATCGAGGGGCGGAAGTGAGTGTTGCAGCAGAAACGGTCAGGCAAGTCCGATTCCTTCTGCGGTATGGTGATTATGCTGGCATGGTGTGGAATGTTTTACGTAGGATCTCGCGACTTTCCAACACGCCTCTGCCAGACACCGTTGTCGCATTTGATGCCGAACTCGACATTGGTGAAGAAGACCAGGCCGTCGAAGAATTGGGAGGGCCCCTGGGGCCTGGCAAATTCTGAGGCGACTGGTCGATCTTCTCAACAACAGGGAGGGGATTCAAATCGACGAGTCTATGGCAAGGTCGGCAATCAAGGCGTACGCGTTGCGGAACAAGCTCTGTCACAGCAGCAACCTTCGAGGTAAGTGTCCCCCGGATATCGCCCGCGATGCCGGCAAACTCGGAGATGTGTTGCCCGATGAACTTCACCAAGATCGTGCTACCTGGGAACGTATTGTGAGATCTTTCGGAGACCTCAGGAGTTGGATGGCCGATGCTCCTCTTCCTGGTGAGTTAATATTCCACGATGCCATGTCTAATTCCATGCAGCAGGAGGAGTTGATGCGCGATCTCAACCGGGGATTGCGCCACGACCGGCTGGACCAGATGTACGTCAAAGACGGAGAGGCAAAGCGACTGAACCAACTATGGCCGGGCCGGGCAGGTTCAGATCCTTTACCTTACGTGCCAACGATGGAACCGACTTACTCGCCATCGGGCCGTTAACGAACCCGTCCTAGCGGCACACGGAACAGCGCCCCTTTTTGCATTCACAACGAAATTCAAAGGTAAGTAAGAGGTAGGTCAAGGTAAGTATGGTAAGTAGGGGGGGGGGGGGGGGGGGGGGGGGGGGGGGGGGGGGGGGGGGGGGGGGGGGGGGGGGGGGGGGGGCGGGGGCGGGCGGGGGGGGGGGGGGGGGGCGGGGGGGG